ACTATCGCCATGCCAGTCAATAGCAAAGGCTCGGTGCCTTGCCGTTTTCAGGTCCGGTAATTTGGTACCAGGTTTATGAATCCAGTGGGATTGATTTGCTGTAATAGCCAGACCCCTTGCTCCCGTCTTGCAGTCCACCAAGGACATTGGCGCCGCCGGGGGCGCAACGATCCGTCCAGCCTTGACCTGACTTTCAAGGGTCTGGCCTGCGAAAAGATTTTTTCTTCCTCCTTGTCAATTTTTTTTTTCCTTTTCAGGAGGGAGGTTCTGTGTGTGTGTGTGTGTGTGTGTGTGTGTGTGTGTTCGGCTCTGCCCTGCCCTGTCATGGCCTCGAGCTGTTTGGCTCGGTCTCGTCCTTGCGTCAGCGTCAGCTTGGGGCTGCTCGGTTGAGCATTCGCACACGGCAAACGCTATCTCAGCTGACCCGCGGTACATACAAACAGTGGAAGGTGTGTGTAGCGTTGCAGCCCTGCCCGGGCAAGTACTGTAAGTAGGCCGCGTCTTGACGGCCGCTGAGAGCCAACAACGGTGACATGCGTCAGCCAACCAGGCAGCGGTGCTTTCACCATACACGTTGGGGCATGTGCGAGTTGCTATTCTTGGGGCGCCGTTGCTTGGCCCGCGTTTGTAGGCGAGCTTCCCTCTGTGCGCGGCGCATGGTTCGTACGCCAAACGACTCGTGGTCGTTTGTCCCACGTAGGCACAGCATCACTAGCCACTGCATCGGTGATTAATCGATTGATGAGTATTGCTGCCACATGTTTGATGCTTGGCTGGCCCGTGGCGAGCGTCATCTCGTAGGGACAGGGCGGGCTGGGCTGTGCGACGGACAGAGTCAGAGTCATGGGATGGCCCCGTCGGCAAGAGGCGAGAGGCGAGAGCAATTCGGCGCGGCGGAGGCGGATTTGGACATGGAACGTCGGCCGGGCTGTCGCACGGCGAACGAGGCGGCCCGCTTTCAAACGGCCAACTAGGCCCAAGAGCCACGCGGGAGCCATGCGAGCAGCATGCAGCTCTACAGGATGCTGGGAGGGGGAGGGCGTTGGGTCCGGGACGGTGACTGTGGGAACTTTGCTGGGGATTCTGAAGCTGGGACCCCGGGTACTTGACTCGGCCACGTAGGGAGGTGCCGGACCAAGTACCCACGAGCGCACATGCCCGCACCACAGCGGTTGCATCGGCTGCTACGACACCACGTTCCACACGTTGGTCAAACGGGGGGAGCCGCCTTTGTCCGATTAGCAGCGTCTACCGGGGTAAAGCTGCAAGAAGCTGCAAGAAGCTGCAAGGCCCCAGGGAGCACGAGCATGCAGGTATCGCCGCTGTCCTCTCTGCCCCGCAGGACATGGAGCCGCACCCAGGTGTGGTCGAGGCCCAAGTACTCGATACAAGGGGACAGCCGCAGGTACGGATACTGTACTTGGCATTTCTCACTGGAAGGCTTCCAGAACCTGCATGTGCAACCGCGGCGCTCCTTACTAGGTATTCAAAGGTGGCATTCACTCACATTCACTCTCAGTTGCAGCGGGCGAGATCCAGGTATCCGAGATGAGAGGCTGCAGCCTGCACCGCTCGCTACAAGGAACCACCTGATCTGCCGTTTTCCCTGCCATTTTGGTGGGTTTGCTTCTTCTCAGACAAAGGAGCGGCCGGTGCCGAAGACCAAAACGTCTCCACCGGCCCATGATCCGTGCAACACGACAAAGCCACGGGCCGAAATAGCTAAAGCATGAGCATGTGCAATGTGCTGGCTGCCGTGGCAACTGTCGACAGGCCCATAAGGCACGGCCGATGGACCAGAATGCTCCTCTGTGCATCGCCTTCTATTCTCGAGGCCCCCGGCGGCCTGACTCTTCACCTCCCACCCATCCCTGGCCGTTTGTCGTAGCCCAGGGCCCGGCAGACACGGAGCACCGAGTTGGCCCGGCATTCGGCATCGGCTCCGTGCATGTCTGCCTTGCTGTCCATGGCGTCATGAGGCTCAAAAGGAAACAAACCATGCACTGCACTGCGATGCACTGCGACACAACGCAACGCAACGCATGGAACCCGCATCACTGGCGGGCCTTTGCAGCTCCCATCGTCGTTGGGCGTGACAGCACTCGACAATACGCATTTGTCGATACTTGATAGCTTGAGCGACTGTAAACAACAGCTATGCCAGGCATCAAAACGTGGCACTACACGGTCCTGGCCGATCGTGGCCCGGGCGAGCAAATCGACAGCGCGTGCGCCTTCACCTCCCCTATTGTTCGCGCGACAAAGAAGTCGTTGGCGTACATGCATGCATTCGTCCTGAAACAAAAAAGTTGAATGGGCCGCACGGGCTGGCCACCTTCGTCAACCAGGGGGGCCGGCAGCAATAACAACTGCAAAGCAGCAACATCTCAGAGGCGAGTCATTGGCCCTGATGCTGGTTCTATCCCAGCCCACGCTTGGCTTTGACATATTGCTCCTGTCAGACACTGGGCCGGCGGCCTCCCTCCGTGGATTCAGTCTCTCCGCAAAGGGGGGGGAAATAGTAAAAAACATCTGATGGGGCTCTCCATTGCCGTCTGACACCCCTGTTCATACAAGCGAGATATCCACGATGAGAGTCCACATTGCCGCCGACAAGTCGGATCGTGTCCAAAGTCTAGGCCCCATATCGTCGCAAATTGCACCGATTGAATTGAATTTTTCTTTCTCTCTGCCTGCCTACAGTACATACATATCAGCAGGGCACAGGGCTGCCAAGCGGACGCCGCCCGGTGGGTGCAGTGGGAACGGCAAGGCCGGATCACCTAAAAATCCAGAATTGGGGAATTGTTGAGACGGATCCCGCCGTCGAGAAGGATGCCCTTGGCGACGGAGCTTGGCTTGGCCGAGTCGATACTTTGTATCTCGCAAGTCCAGAGGGTAAAGTGGCACGACGTGTGTTGGTGCACGGAGCATGTAGAGCGGCAGCCAGGCTGGGCAGCCATTTCACCACCACTGGTCCGGGGGGCCGCCGGCCCTCAACACGTGAAATTGACCGTGGCTCGCCTCCACCTGCAAGACCCGGTCGGGCCGGGACTCTCAGGGTACCGCGAGGGAAAACTCTGGGTTCAAGGTGGGAGGCCCAAGGGGACAGAGGCTCGCCTCGTGGCCATCGCGGAGAGCTTCCGCCAACACCACGCGGCAGCCATGATGATTGAGAGACATGGGCGTGCTTGGGTAGCGGGACAAGACAAGACAAGACAAGACAAGACAAGACAAGACAAGACAAGGGCCAGAACGCACGGTTTTGCCGTCTGCCACGGCTGACAATGGCCCACGCCCCTTGTCCTTCCCCCAAGGCATCCAATGTCTCTCCGTATTCACACAAACACTTGATCCGCCAAGGCATCTTCACTTCCTTCTTCAGGCGGGCCGGGGGGCGTGAGAGCAGGTGGGTGGTAAGTCGGGCCATCTGCTCAAAGGTCACGCCCAGCAGCAGGATCGGCGCGGCTCACTTCCGGACCCAGGTCGCCGGCACCCCGTGTGATTTGACAAAGGAACCTGCAGGAATCGTAATCGTTTTTGTCCTTTTGCTGCTGAGACAAGAATATCTCTGAAAAGAAAGGTGGAAAAAGAAAGGCGTAGATGAATAGGCACGCCGTTGCTAGTCCACAACCCTTGGGAGCTGATTTGCACCTCAAGGCGCACCCTGGCCTTTCCATGGTACTGTGCTGCGCCTACTTTGCCACCTTTGCTCTGGCGATGGATGCGATTCTTCGTCGGCGCGTCCAGGCAGTCCGACTGGTGGCTACGCGTGATTACTGGGGGGTTCCCGGCACAGCAGGACTCCGGGTAGCAGGCCCCAAGGTTTGGTCGCGACCGGGTGAGCATGCCACCTCGAGAATCCCATCGCATAGTTGGCCGCAGCTCTCGTGTCACCGCCTACAGCCGAAGTTGGCGCCTCCCAGGTGCTCGCCGACTACTCGTCCTCGTTCGTTCGGCGGATGGCGGCATTCCTGTTCTTCCGTCGGGGATCGCAGTTGTGACGCCGTCGTCCATCCACCTGTTAGGGACATCCTTCGCCCTTCTCCGCTCACGACCGAGACCTACTGGCGAGGATCTGCTGTTGCAGGGTGGCGAGAGGATGCGGCTGCGGAATAGATTACCCTGGACGACGTTTCAATATAACTGGTTGCCTCCCGTTAAGATGTGCTTGTCTGCTGGCTGACTGGCTTAACTCACGGGTGGTAGAGAGAACAAGATAGGGTAGAGCGCAATTGCATACCTCCGGCTGCCTCGATCCGACAAAGGTCATTATTGCCTGGTAAAATGCAGCTTATTCGGCACATCTCCCGGCTACCTGGTGGTCGGAATCAGGTATTCTGAGATATAGGGTAGGTGGAGATGCACCAAGTTCGCCACCGCCTGCCAGATTAGTCACGAATGTAGCCTCTCCCCTCCACGAGGATACGGATTGGGAATCGCACCTTCCTGCGTCACACAACCCCCACGTCCCGTACCTCTACACTCAGTTTTCACTCACCCACCAGCGTTCATTATCGGGCAAGACGAAAATTTTCAGACAAAAATAGGTAAAAATCGCAAAAAGAAACAGGCAAAAACATACAGCAGCCGGTGTTCGCTGGTCGTCACCGACCCAACTACTAATCTGCCCCTTGCCTGGTTAATTCACCGAGATCGGACGGGATCGGATGCTTTCAAGCAGGTGTGGCCGTATGTATCAGTATGTACTGCAAGTTTAGCTAATCCATGCAGGGGTCTACTGCCCCCGCCGGATGGAAGCGTCACTGGCGACTAGAAAAGCAGCGGCCCCGTGCCCCGCCGGCATCCGCCAACCGTGACGCAGTTCGACGTCAACTCCGTCCTCGGGCCCAAAAGCACCACCACCACCGCATTCGCCGTCGCCTCGCCGCCGACCTTACCTCTCGACTGCCTAACCCCCCCTTCCCCCAGGCTTCTCTCCTCTCCACACGCTCGCCCCCCGCCCCGACCGGCTGTGTGCTGAGCCGGGCGCATCCACCATGTCCATCATCCAGCAGCACACAAGCGCGACGCTGAGCGATGCCTGGCGCACCATCAACATCGATGCCCTGACCGAGGACTCGAGCGTAAACTTCGACACGACCACCCTCCGCCCCCCACAGCCAGACGTCTCAGAGGCCGAGGTCCGCCAGCTCGCCGGCCAGGTCCGCCAGCTGCTGCGGGGCGGCGACGCAGAGGGCGCTTTGCGGGGGTGCCTCGAGACGCCCGTCTACAACGGCGCCGACGCTGCAAAGGTCAGGGAGAGCGCCTGTTTATATATGCAAATGCATGCTTCTGATACTGATTCACTGGCTTCTCTAGGACGCGCATCTGCAGACCATCATCGAGGTCCTCCAGTCAATCAAGGCCAGCGACATGAGCCCCCTGCTCAAGGGCATCTACGAATCCCCCGGCGGCACCGAGTGCCTCGACGTTCTGATGAAATACATGTGCGTTACTCACCCAGCTGCTGGCAATCCTCGGGCAAGCGAGCTGACGAGCGGTGCCGCGATAGCTACAAGGGAATGGCCATAGGTAATCCCGCCGGGGGCCTGAGGTCGCCCTCCAAGGTCACCCCCCAACCGACCGGCGGCTTCAGCCAAATCGGATCCCGGCCAGGAGCATCCAACGAGCCCGCCTCGGGATCCCTGAGTGTCCTGCTGAGCTGGCACGAGAAGCTCGTCGATGTCGCCGGACTAGGTTGCATTGGCCGGACAATGACAGACTGGCGCAGGGTGTAAAAGGACAGGCTCTCCGAGTCAACGGTTGCTTTTCTTTTCATTTACACAATATCGGCGTCCCATAGATGAAGACTGAAGCACAAGTATGAAACAACAGCATGAAAGCAACCATTGGCCACGGATCAGCACCCGAAAATGCGCTCACTGAGCCGCCTCGACCACTGTGCCCAGCTCTGCCATGCGTCCGAGGTGGGCGCATATATTCATCGCTTCTCCAGTATATCTTTCAAATCCATCTTCCCACTGCCCCTCGGCAAGGGCGTCGGCTGATTCGCGCCTTCGCGCCAGCCAATCATGTAGATGATCCTAAACGTCGCCGGGATGGACCCGTCCGGATTGCCGTGAAGTTCCCTGTAGATGGCATCGCTGGCGAGAAGAACGTCTCTCCCAATTGGGCCCAATTCCCTCCCCAACGCGGCGTTGTTCTCGCCCATGGCCTGCAGGTCCTGCATCAGGGCAAATGTGTCGGGATAGTCGACAATAATGTCTTCGACGTCCACGGTCAGCATCTTGAAGCGCGCCTTTTGAAGAAGCCCACCGACATCCCTCACGTCGGCCAAAGGGGAAACGTGAGGGGATATGCCGCCTCTCCTCTCTTGTTCTGCTAGCTGAAGGGACGTCCGCAGCTCGAACAGTGTGTCGCCCCCGAGCATTGCCCCAATGAACGGACAGTCTGGCTTGAGCACGTTGTTGATCTGCGATAGGATGCCCGGCAGGTCGTTGATCCAGTGCATGCTGAGCGAGCTCATGACCATGTCGAAGGACTCGGCCTCATAGGGAATGGTCTCTTCATCTTGCAAAACTTGCCGAGTGATGCAGAGCTTCTTATTGAAGTCATGGTCGGCATCGCGAAAGAGCAGGCTTTCGGACGAGTCGGCGGCCACGAGTTCGGATATCCGCGAGGACAGCGGCGGAGACTGGGGCTTTGAAGGATCGGGATCTGGATTATCCCGGACCAATGCTCGCGCAATGTTGCACGAGTTGGCGCCCAGGTCCAGCACCCGGGAGAAGTGCCGGTTGATGTCCTGGTTTCCAGTCAGTCGGGATCGTCCAAGGCCAGCCGTCGCCGAGTGGTCGTCCTACTAGCAACCTCTCCGACAGCCTGACTGCGACCTCGTCTTTCATGTAGTCGGCTTGGCGACCCTCTTGGGGCTTGGAGGCCGCGCGCTCCTTGTGAAGCCATTTGGTCCGTCGATTGAAGACTTGGAAGCGTGGAGCTCCTCCGGACGGGATGGCGTAGGCTCGACGGGATCCGACGGCGACCCAAGGAGACAGCTTGCACCAGCTCTTAGCCGCTGCTGAGGCTCGACAAGCGCATTCTGACATGACATTCCAATCCGCAGGTGAGGGAATGAAGTGAGCAAGCCGAACCCGGGCGCGACCAAGCCCGAGGATGTCTGGTGGTGGATGAAGCTCTGCAGTGATATGGCGTCTCGTAGTGGGGTACCGCAGGCACTGTGTGGACACTGTGACTCTTTCGCAGACGTACCGTCTTTGCACGGTGTCAGAATGGGGTATTCCGTGCACGGACCAGGTTGGGCGGCAAAGTGGACAGAGGGTTCCGCCTTCTCTTCTCATTCCCGTGCTCGGATGACAGGCGGCAAATCCACTGAAGCTGACGGTCCACCTTCCACGAGGCCTCGACCCGACACTCGCATCATCCGAACCAGCCGCCGCCGCCGCCCGTCATCCTCGCCTCGCCTTCTGAGTTGCCCGGCGCCGCCCTGAATCGACCCCGCTGTCCACGTCAACTGCCCGCGCGTCTCGGGACGCCTGTCGGTCCATGCGAGCCGCCGTAGCCGCAGGCTCTTGACCCGCCCGCGCGGGAGTCCGACGATACAACGTAGCCGCTGCCGCCAACGACAACAACCACGGTCGATGGAGGCTGATGAAAGCCCGTGTTCCATTCTTGCCGACTATGCGAGTCCCCTCATAGCCGAATAGTCAGGTGTTAGAACGCCCTGCTACGCCCTGCTACGCCCCCCCCCGCATCCAAGCTGCAAGCCTCGGCCCGTCGAGCCAGAGACCCGGCCATCCACGCACCGCACAGTCACCATGTCTGCCACGGGATCCGGCTTCCTTGGCCGCTCGAGCAGCAGCAATGCCAACATGCGAGGCCTCGTGCAATTCATTGCCGACTTGAGAAATGCCCGAGCCCGTGAGCTCGAGGAGAAACGAATCAACAAGGAGCTGGCCAACATTCGCCAAAAGTTCAAGGATGGCAACCTCAGTGGCTATCACAAGAAGAAATACGTCTGCAAGCTCCTCTACATCTACATCCTCGGATGGGACGTCGACTTTGGCCACCTCGAGGCCGTCAACCTCATCTCAGCCAATAAGTACTCGGAGAAACAGATTGGTTATCTGGCCATGACTCTCTTCCTCCACGAAAAGCACGAGCTCCTCCACCTTGTCGTCAACAGCATCCGCAAGGACTTGCTGGAAAACAACGAGCTCTTCAACTGTCTAGCCCTCCATGCCATTGCTAACGTGGGGGGCCGCGAAATGGGAGAGGCCTTGAGTGCCGAGGTGCACAGACTGCTGATTTCACCGTGAGCACACAATCTTCTTTGCGGTGCCAAACACGCCCTGACCGTCTCGCAGAACCTCCAAGTCCTTCGTCAAGAAAAAGGCGGCCCTCACGCTGCTTCGTCTCTATCGAAAGCATCCGGGTATTGTACAGCCACAGTGGGCTGAGCGCCTCATCCACTTGATGGATGACGCCGACTTGGGCGTCGCCCTCTCTGTGACATCCCTGGTCATGACCCTGGCGCAAGACGACCTGGACCAATACCGCGGGGCCTACAACAAGGCGGCAGCGCGGCTGAAGCGCATCATCGTAGATGGAGAGTACACTACCGACTACCTATACTACAAAGTCCCTTGCCCTTGGCTCCAGGTCAAGCTCCTGAGGCTGCTGCAATACTTTGCTCCATCTGGTAAGTCCGCTTGTCGTTGGCATGGCGGGGCCTGGACTCACTCCTCTGGCTCATATAGACGATACTCATGTGCGCGAGATGATCCGAGAGTCGCTGGACAAGATTCTCAATCTCGCCATGGAAACCAACAAGAATGTCCAGCAGAACAATGCCCAAAACGCCATCCTCTTCGAAGCCATCAACTTGATAATTCACCTGGATACCGAGCATGCCCTCATGAAGCAAATCTCGACTCGACTTGGCCGCTTCATCCAGAGCCGGGAGACCAATGTACGATACCTGGGGCTTGAGGCCATGACCCATCTGGCCGCGCGGTCGGAAACCCTTGGCCCCATCAAACAGCACCAAGACATCATCCTCGGTTCCCTCAAGGACCGAGACATTAGTGTGCGCCGAAAGGGCCTAGACCTTCTGTACAGCATGTGCGACTCCACGAACGCGCGAGTCATCGTGGGCGAGCTGCTGCAGTACCTACAGAATGCAGACTTTGCCATTCGGGAAGAAATGGTTCTCAAAATTGCCATTTTGACGGAAAAGTACGCCACTGACGTGCAGTGGTACGTCGACATATCTCTCCGCCTCATTGCCATGGCCGGGGACCATGTCAGCGACGAGGTGTGGCAGCGTGTCATCCAGATTGTAACAAACAATGAGGAGCTTCAAGTCTATGCGGCACAGAACATTCTTCAGCACGTCAAGTCGGACCACTGTCACGAAACCCTGGTCAAGATTGGCGCATACATCCTCGGCGAGTTCGGCCACCTCGTCGCCGAGCAGCCTCGCTGTAGCCCCATCGAGCAGCTCATGGCTCTCCAGGGGAAACTCGCGGCCTGCTCATCCAGCACCAGGGCCATGATACTGTCGTGCTTCATCAAGTTTGTCAACTTGTTTCCCGAAATCAAGCCTCAGCTGCTTCACACTTTTGAAGTTTACAGCCACACCTTGGACTCGGAGATGCAGCAGAGGGCATGTGAATATCTGACGCTGGCGAGAATGCCTACGGATGACCTCTTGAGAACCGTCTGTGATGAGATGCCGCCTTTCCCCCAGCGAGAATCTGCTCTTCTGTCTAGACTACACCAGAAGCATGCCAACACCAGCGACCGGAGAACGTGGGTCGTCGGGGGTAAGGACGCAAACACCGACAACTCGGAACTTGGCATGGCCAAAGCTGGAAGCTTGAAGAGAACATTCAGCTCAGCCGCTCCCATCAATGGCGGCAAAGCCAACGGCGCGAATGGAAATGCCAATGGAGCTTCAGACCTCGCCGGACTGGATCTCAACGCCCCTTCCCCGACGGAGCCGAAGATGCTCAAGGCACCAAATCTAGCCAGTGCCGCGCATCTATCCCCTGGATGGGAAGAGGGCTTCGAGAGGCTCATGATGAAGCCAGAAGGCGTGCTCTACGAGGACGGCCAAGTTCAGGTCGGAGTACGATCCGAATACCGTGGACAGATGGCCTGCTTAATCACTTACTTTACCAACAAGACTCCCGGACCAATGAGCTCTTTCACGACAGTCTTGGACCTGGACGAAAGCGAAAAGGGCAAGGTCACTTGGGATGTGAAAAATCTCCCCGAAAGCACAATTGCCCGTGGAAGCCAGTCTCAGCAGGTGACCATGTTTGAGGCGAAGAGGGTTTTTGCGAAAAGCCCCACGATTCGAGTGAGCTATCTAGCTGGGGCTCTGCAGGCCGTTACCCTCAAGTTGCCAGTAGCAGCGCACAAGTTTATGGATCCTGCAGAGCTCTCGGCGGAAGATTTCTTCAGGAGATGGAAGCAGATAGGAGCTGGCCCTCGCGAAGCCCAGGAAATCTTTGGCTTGTCTGCTGGAAAATCGCAGGGAAAGGAACTGACGGAACACTTTGTCGCCTCGACAATCAAAGGATTCAGATGGGGGCTCCTGGACATGGTCGACCCCAACCCGAAAAACCTGGTGGGAGCCAGTGTCCTACATACCTCTGAAGGCGGCAAGATTGGCTGTCTTCTGAGGTTGGAGCCAAACTACGTCAGTCAGGTAAGCTGCCGTCCGGCTCCCTTGGAGGCGTTATGGGTGCTGATCATGACGCTACAGATGATTCGAATGACCATCCGAGCAACCGACGAATCGGTACCGTCTATCCTATCGGCGCTCATGCAGCAGAGGCTTTCATCTGGAAAGCTGCCAGCGCCTGAACAGCGTCACTTGCCAACTCGGGAAGAAATCTCGAACACGTTTCGCAACGTCATGGTGTCTTGAAAAAATCTGGCTTGGTTGACTAAATAACATACTGCGCATATTCGGAATACTATTGACTCGGCACGCATGGAAGCGTAGTGGCGTTTGAAGGACGAGTGAGAACTTGTTGATCGGGCTGTCGGCCGGAGATGTAGCACGCAGGCCCAGGCCAATGGCATGATCGTGATCCGCTGAGATTCCAGCGATCTGTGACGCGGGTTGACGGCTGGACTGCAAATCATAAGGGACAAATGTCCCCAGTATGCCCATCGACTACTGATACCACATATATTCAATGGAAACGAACAGTGATTGTCTATGCACGAAGCCAAACACGAGCTTCTTTACCTTGATCCCCGGTAGCATGGCAGTGAGGTCAACCGGTCGCGATGAGTCGGATCGACGAGAAAGGTGTCCTGGGAACGATGTCTCTAGTGATCACTCGCCGCCTTGCTATTCTTTGAGCTTGGCATCTGCTTTTGCTGGTCTTTGGCCGAAAATGGTGCTGCCAACCCTGACCTCTCCGCTGCCCATTGAGATGGCCCCCTCAAAGTCTTGGCTCATACCCATGCTCAGCTCCAAGCGGTCCTGGCTCATACCCAGCTCCCTGGCTACCAAGTCCCGCTGCTCCCTCAGCGTCTCGAAGTCCTTATTCTGGTTCTCCGGGTCGGTGGCCTTGCTGCGGGCGATGGCGCCAATGGTCATGAGGCCGAGCAGATGGAGGCTGGGACACGACTCGACAATCTCGCGGCATAAGGCGACGGTGTCGGCGCCGGGCGCGCAGCCAGACTTGGCCTCCTCGCCGGATGTGTTGACTTGGACATGCACGGAGAGCTTGGGCAGGGACGGGGTGGCGGAGAGTAGGCTGGCACGGGTGGCATTGAGGAGCTGGGCCTTTTTGGGGGTGTCGACGCTGGACACGCAGAAGAGGTTGGGGATCTTGGCGATGGTCTTGCAGTGTCCTGGTGCCACCGTTAGGATTTCCGACGAGTGAATGAGGGTTCCTGATCCGAACCAGATTGGAGGCCACCGATGAAGTGCCACTGAATGCTCTTGGGCAAGAGGTCGGCCTTTTGGCTCAGCTCCTGCGCATAGTTTTCGCCAAAATGGGCATGACAAGCCGGCTCCTGATGCAAGGCCAAGATGTCATTTGCCGGCTTTAGCTTGGAGACCGCGACGAGTCGGATCTAGAAGTCGGTTAGCGACGGCTCCTGATTTGGAAAAAGCCCGGGGGCATTGCAACTCTGGGAGGGGGAGGGGGGTTTGTACAGGCAGGGCAGCCTCGCGTAGTTTCCTACATTTCGTCCATTGGCCAGGGCGGCGGCACGTTCCTTGACGGATCTGAGCTGGGAGGCCAGAGCCTGGGCCCTCGACGGATCAATGCGCATTTCCTCTGGGGTGTCGCCCATGGCTTGCTGCCCATGAGAAAGCGACAGGTAGGCGGTGCAGAGAAGACTGGGGTGATGGATTGTGATGCGAAGTCGCCGGTCGGGCCATCATCGGCTGTCAACGTCACCCACACGGTACCGCCTCGCCAGTACCTCTGCAACGACTTCAACTCCTACCCAGCAAACACGAAGTCTTGGCACTGAGCTATCATTCAGCGAGGCGAGGGAAGCCGCTCTATTTGGGGACTGAAGCAGGGTCAAGGGACAAAAGCAGAGCCTAATGGCTTCTTCAGACGCAAAGGTTGGGCGGCGGCGGACAGACAGCAGCGCAACTTCATGGCAGCGGACAAAGAAATCGCCAGATCAGGCCATTAAGTCAAAGTCCAGCCACACCGCGGACCCGTTCCTCCAAGACTTTTTAAGCCCGTCCTTCGATCCCGCAGCCTTTCTCAATGCCACTTTGCCGCCCCTCGGCAAGAGGCAGGGCCCCGGTCAGGGGGGACCCGAGCCGGTGCCCCTGGCCGAGCTGTCGGCCCAGGCCCAGGCACTCCTCTCGCAGCTCAACGCGCATACAACGAGGCTGTCCAACACGCTGACGCAGCTCACCGACGACATCCTGAGGAGCGGCAGCCGGCTGGCGTATGAGGTAGAGCTACTGCGGGGCGAGACGCTGGGGCTCTCGGAGAGTCTGCACGAGACGCTGCAAGACGACATTAAGCAGTTTATTCCAGGGGGGCTGCAACAGGAGGCCGCTGGCACGGGAGGCGATGGGGGGGAGTCGGCGGCCCAGCCTGGCGGAGAGGCCGAGGACCCAGACTACATCAAGCAGCTGCAGACGCTGACACTGGTGCGGTCGCGGCTGGACTCGGTCATCAAAACATTTGGCAATGCCATGGACTTTACCTTTCCGCCATCCGAGCTTTCCGTCGGCTCCTCGTTTTTATCCGTGTCGGCACCAGATCCGGGGTCCGAGCAGCAAAGCTCCGAGGAAAGAGGCCAGCAGGTGCTCAAGCAGCTGCGAGACGAGATCTCGGGGCTCCTCAACGCAGGCGACGAGCCAGTTCAGGGGATAGAGAGGGCGGCGACCAGGATCGAGGAGCTCAAAGAGCTGACGAGCGTGTGGAAGGGGACAGCCGAGGAGAAGGGGCGGAACAAGTTCATCGAGGGCCTGGCCAAGATGGTCGAGGACAGGCACCGCGAGCTGATGAGGGAAATGGAGCTGCAGGCGGCCAAGAAGGAGGGGAAGACGGCGGCAGCGACCAAGAGAAGGGGCTCGCCGCGAGAGGCGGGCCCGGCCGAGGACTCGCGGACGCTGCCGGGGGGGTTTGGGCTGATGAGCCAGCTTCAGAAGCTACGGAGCGGGCTGTAGGTGTCTACGGATGTGTCGAGAGGGAGAGGGGGACATGGGTGGCGTGAGGAAGCCGGCCAGGGCTGAAGGGGGCCAAGATCCCGTACACGTCTTTACAAATACCATGTCAAGCTCGATCAGGACAATGCTCGGCCACTCGGCCTTGTACTTGCCGGCTTATACGGAAGTCGTAAAGTCCACATTGCCTGCGTCAAGGAACCATGGGTCTGGCTACCCCAAGGGCATCATCGCATCGCGGCCATTCAAGCAGCCATGGTGGCCCCGTGTCAATGGTGCCAGTCGGCACTGTGTCGCACCGCCGGGCCAATCACAGACGCCGCCAATGGCAATCATGTGGAGCGGGCAAAGGCCCATTAAGCAAGGCACAAGCCAAAGCATAGTATTAGCCGTCGCTCCGCCCGCACCCCAAAATGCCTTCCATGACATGACAGCGCCAGGCCGGCCGGCTTTTTCCCTCCCCCATCGAACCCACAGACGCCCTCACCGCCAGACTTCAGCATTCTACCGGCGTCTTGCCCTGCGGCCTGGGAGCCGCACTGCTCTGGTCCCGTGAGAGGGATATACCTCTGACATCGTCATCTTTTGCATCATTCGAATCACCACCTCCCCCTCGCCTTTGTCTCTCGTCCTTCTTTCAGCCAGCCCGCGCCGGGAAAAAAGCAGCACAACAGCCTGCTATCCAGTGCCTCTGCTCAGCTACCAAGCATTACCCTGAACCCATCCCGTTCCATTTCACCCGGCGCGCCATGGCTGCCAGCGACACAGCCGCGCCCCCGGCCCTGGGTGGCAGAGCCGACCGACCCTCGCCTCTCCCCACGGCTCAATCCAAGCGAGATCGAAAGCGCCAGGTCGTCATGGAACGCCTCGCAGTCTTGACCGAGAGGTTCCAGCACGACAAGGACTCGGCCTACCGTGACCAGCTGCAACGCATTCAGTTCGAGCTCAACAAACTCCAAAAAGTCGACCCCTACGCCGCCAATGCCGTCGAGGCTGCAAGCGAGGTCCAGAGAGAATACAAGCAGGCCATGGGCACTCCTGGCCGTGCCGAAAATGCCCGCAGCCTCATTGATATGGCCGGCATGAAGTTCCCACAGTTCATGTCCGACGTGCAGGATGTTCTGGAGACCCGCGACTTCACCCTCACCCAGTCCAAGGTGGGACTCCATTTCCCTTGGTGCCCTGCGAGCCGCCTGTTAACCATGAAGCCTTGTGCTTGTCCAGGACGAATACGACCGCAAGGTGCAGGAGTACAAGACCACGCACACGTTCAAGGTCGTCACGGCAAAGCGAGAGCACGAAGCGCTCAACAGCACGATGCGTGATCGTCTCATTAACCAGCTGAATACCAAGAAAGCGCGGCTGAGCAAGGAGAAGGAAGCGTTTGAGATAAGCGACACGAACGCTCTGCTTCTCAACCCAGCTCAGTTCAGCCTCACCAACCCGGGCAGCCCTGGCGGCCACCCCGGCAAGAGGTCGACGCGCAATCGCAAGGATGTTGACGACAGTCACGCCTACGGCGAGAACAAGAAGCGGAAGCGCAACGGCGGCGACGAAGAAGGCTCCCCGGTGCCAACACGACGGGCCTTGGAGGCCAACGCCACCACGCCCTACTGGCAGTCGGAGAAGGCCCGGAACGAGGCTAGGAAGCATGGAGCCGTCTACACCATCACCAGCCTCTTCACAGAAAAGGAGCTGGCAATGTACTACAACGCTTCGGCCCTCGCGGCCCACAACTACATTCTGCGCCACCGCGTCAACGGCAGCGCCTCGTCTCCCGAGGGTAGCGACTCGGGCTTTGGAGACAACGACGTGGGCGAGGGTGAGGCGCCGCTCGCGGCCCCTGCCATGGAGCGGCAGGTGTCGCATGCTACACGGAGCACGCGGGTCGCGGCAAACCAAAACTCTGTCGACGACAAGGGACTCGGCGTCGACACAATCGGCAGCCATGAGCTGGCCGCCAACCTGGAGATACTGCACACCCCGGAATGCCCACCGAAGATGCCCCAATCACTGCCCACCCAATACGTCAAGAACCCGTTGAGAGGCTCGGAGACGTCTGTGCCAGGCACGCTGTCCGATAAGGAAGTGACTGCGGACCTGCAAATCATCGCTGGCCTCAAACAATACGACTCGACCCGCAAGCCGGGCAGTCACCTGGAAAACCCCAAGGGAGTCCGCAAGACGTTGGAAGCAGCTTCGGCCCCCTACCAGGTCAGCCGGTTCGGCCCGTTGCTTCGTCCCGGTTACTCGGGCATACCACCACCGGAGTCGATGCGCGACCCTTACGGCATCAGCGCCCTCATCAGCAACGTGCGCGACCTTTCTAGCCCCGGGCGCGGCAGCCAGTCTTTGAACGGCCAGTTGGCTGCGGCACCCATGAGTCGGCAGAGCAGTGCCGGCGGCGTGGCTATGAGTCGACAGGGCACCGCGGGCAGTGGCCGAGGCAAGACTCGCAGAGGCTAGGACGGCGATTTACTTTTCGGGTGTGTGTGTGTGCTTTCACCATCATGGCTGCATTTTCAGGACCAGCGCGGCGTCGGTTCATTCTTGTGATGCATTTGCTGAAGCGCGACATTCTTCGCACTTTTGGCTCACGACGGGGCGAGCGAGCAGGTCGCACGTGCTCCCGGCCAGCTTGGCGGAAGCAGCAGCAGCCGCCGCTGCCACTAGAGTCGGCAGCGCCCCTTGCAAAGGCGAAGAGGGCTATTTTCCATTGCGATTATCCGGTTTCCTTTCTTCTCCCCAGCCAGTGCCTTTGAAGACAAGGCCATGATCTGGCCAAGGGGGAGACCATGGTTTCTTTGTTGCTATTCACCCGATGCTGCTCCGCCGAGGCCGCCTTCCCTATTGAGAGCGGACTGGATAGCTTGCGACGGGAGGGCCTGGCCTTGTTGTTGGGCCGGGAGTGAGACTTTCGGGCTACACACCATGGAGCATATACGAGGTAGATGCGATGTACTCAGGTTTGCCAAAAAGGGGCTTGAGCCCTGAATTCACACCAATCCTACATGATGCCGCTTTGTGTCGGCTATTTGAGTGAATGTCATGAACCGAGACTGCCTCATTTGCTTCATTATGCCGTACCCCAAGTCCAATGCTGTTTACTTCCTGATGATTACGTTGCACATAAATGGCGCGCCCGCCTACGGGCCGAAGACGAGAGCACGGACCTCGATGCTCTCGCGGCCGACAGCATCGGGGCGCGATCTCGGGTCGACAAAGGCGCTATGGGGCACCCGGCCGCCGATGTTGGAGCCGGGCTTGAGGGACTCGCTGTCGAAGCACTCGAGCAGCAGCCTCTCGTCACCCGTCATGCCGCTGAGGTAATACCACTTCTGCTCCGGGTTGTAGCGGATGGCGGCCGTCTCGCCGAGGTAGCCGTCCGGGTAGCGGTGCTGGATTGGGACTACGTCGTGGTCGCGGAGGGTCGAGGTGGAGGCAAAGGCCAGGGGGAAGGACTCGACGGGGTCCTTGTTCAGGGGCCGCCAGACGTTGACGATGCGGTAGCGGCGGCGGAGTAAGTCGTCGGCCTCGTCGGGAAAGTAGCGGCGGACGCGCTTTGCGACCGAGGGGGGCGTCTGGTCGATGTGGACGCGGGTGACGGGGGCGCGGGGGGCGCCCGGGCCGGCGCGGCGGACGGTGTGGTCGAAGATGTGGACGCGGTCGGCGCCGGGGATGGCGTCGAGGAGCAGGCGCTCGACCTCGGGGTAGTAGTTGCGGCGGATGGAGTCGTCGTCGACAAAGTCGGGCTCGCTGGAGGGGGGTACGCGCGAGAGGAGCTGGAAGGCGTCGCGGTCGAGCGAGAAGTCGGCGCCGAGGCCGGGGGCGGCACGCAGGTCGTGGATGCGGGTGTCGTGCGTGGCGTCGGAGAAGTTACGGGTTGGCTCGCCGGCGGGCGGCGTGTCGACGTAGTTGAAGGGAATGGCGGCCTTGTCGGCGGGCGGGTTGTAGTAGTTGAGGGAGGCGGTGACGTCACCGCGGGGGACACGGGAGGAGTCGGCGACGGCCATTGCGGGCTGCGTTGATGGAGAGTTGATGGAGAGTTGATGGAGAGGAAACGGTGGCCGGGGGAAGCAAGGCAAGCAAAGTCGAAGAGGCCTCGGGGGTCGCGTCGCCAGGTGGAAAGGGGTGGTGATGTTGCGGTTCAACGACTTGGTAGACGCTGCAGAGACAGGGCCTGTTCCGCCATGACGACGGCGATGGGGGCTTTTAAGCAGGCCGGGCCCCTCGGAAGACGGAAGGTTTGGTAGATTTCAAATCAGGCCGTGTCTGGTGAGGTGAGTATCGCGATGGCACGAGGGAATCACGTCAACGTGACAATTTGTAAGGGGGCTTAATAATTGGTCCGGAGCTAGCAAGTGCAGCGACGGAAGACGCGAGAGAGGCAGGCTTTGCACGTGCATGAGCTTGTGTTCTATCTACAGTGTCCCCGTTACCGGCACGCATGGCCGGTTGGGCATTGAGTAGGTACTAGGTAGATTAAGGTATCTAGGTACCGAGTCGAAACGGCCCACGCTACGGTATTTGTATGGCAGTATTTGATTACTGGATTACCTAAGTAATAGTACCTTACCTACTTAGGTACAGTACGTACGTACGGTGGGCTCGCTCGCTCTGCCGGGCTCTTTGGCCGGGCCCGTCGCATCTGCCACGCGCTGTATCCGGGCTCGAGAGCGTCCGGACACAGCACTCAATCCTAGCTCATCCCAGGGGCTCACTCGGAGGGCGCCCGCCACGGTACCTGCTTGCCTTCGCGAGCCCTCTGCCCGGAACAAGTCATTGTGTAATTACTGTAACTACCTACCCTGTCAGGCACTGCGGGTTTCCAAATCTACCAAACCTGCTTTTTTGGCTTCTTCAGCAGGTCCAGTACCGGTCGAGCTTGGCTGCCAGGGTCGGCCAAGACTAGCCACAGCGACCCCTACTAATGAAACCATTGGGCCGAGTTCCCAGTCGTCGTGGCAATCTCTCTCTCGAGCTTTGATACATCAGCTTCTTTGCACCCTCACCACCACCCCCATGAGTCCTCCCGGCGAGAGAGCGCGCGCGCGCAAAAGGATCAGAGCAAGACACAGCCAATGCCCTGCCAATTGAGTCCGCTTGCACTCCGCCCGCAGGCAGCCTCGGAGGCAGTCCCCGCCGGCAGTCAACTTATACCCGTCAACAAGCCATGCCCTCGCCTCCCAACACCGACGCCATCCCCCCGGCCGCCGGCATGCCCTCGTCGTCACGGGAGCCGGCAGGCCTCCCCGACCGCCACGTTACCGCCGACAGCATCGAGGACGCCTACGTGCGCTTCATCTTCTACTGCAACCCGGCCCTGCCCCACGACGCCGACACGGCCAGCTTGCGCGAGGCCTTTCGCAGCCCGCCCCGGAGCGGCGGCAAGGTTTTCCACCCCTTCACCATCTTTGGCCTCGTCGCCCGCTTCTACGCCCGCGACATCAAGACCTGGACCGAGTTGACGACGCTCCTCGGCGTCGAGCCCCCCGACCTCTCCAAGGATGAAAGCGCCCAAAAGGTGGCCCAGTACGGCGTGCGCTTGAAGGTACGTGTTGGCTGCTTTTTGGGCTGCATCCCCCGCTCATGCAAGGACAGAAGTGGATGAACTCGATGCATGTCAGAGCCTTCTTTGAGTATCTCATGAGCATGCCCAACGACTATTGGACCAACCTTCCCGCCGACCCCAACCCCATTGCCTGCCCTGTCCGCGATGGCGTAGCCGTCGAAGACGACATGGCCCTGCGCGCACTCATCCCGCACATACGCCCCAAGAGAGGTCGCAAAAGACCGGATGCCGATGAGCCCGTCGCCTCCCCCGCCCAGAAGTCGCGCCTCTCGGATCCCTCCATGGTCGATGACCACCCGCAGCCGTGGTCGGCACACCCACCCGGACAAGGCCCACTGCCGGCCGCCGCGGCAGATCCGGAGCAGGACGGTGACGAGTGGGGGCGCAACGATTCCCTGCAGACGCCCCTCAGCCGGTGGCCGCAGTCGGTCGTGACGCCATCGTCGCGCGGCACCTTCTGGGACGACACTCTGGAGCCTCGGTCCGCCGTGACCCCCTCGAGACCGAAGCCGTCCAGCCACAGGAGGGGGGCCAAGAACGTCTCTTCTGCCTGGAAGCCAGGCGGCATCTGTGCCGGCGCGAAGCAACGAGGACGGCCCCCGGTCAACCGCACGCCCGTCGACGGACCCAGTCCCGCCTCGCAGAGCTGGAAACCGTTTCAGGATGTCGACCCAAGCTTTACCGGGCCTCCTCCGGCGATGAAGCAGGAGCAGGATCACTACCAGCCTGAGCCTCCTGTGAATGGCCAGCCTGCTCACACATCGTCGGCGGCACCTGCGTATCAGCACCACGAGAATCCTCACAAAGGGTCGAGTAGACCCTCGCGGCCGAGCATCTCGCTGCAGGTCCCGGAACGAGAAGGTGGTGCCGTGCGCCTGGCCACGCCGCCATCGCCTCGGCAAACAGAACCGGCGGAGAGTGGACAACAAGGCAGTGGCGCCGCCGCCGCCGCCGCCGCTGAACAGGGCCCGCAGCAAGACGCCTCGCAGACGAAGCAAACGTCCAACGGCTGGGAGCGGCTCGCAAAAGAGGCGACGGACGCGTACGAGCAAGCCAGCAACGTGCCGAGCAACGGGTGCGAGGGCCCGGAGAACATGCCCGAGTACTACTTTGAGAAGATGGAGGACCGAACCAACGTGGACGCGCTCGTTTCGTACTTTGTGCGCTCCATGTCCGACTCGGAGTGGGTGGACCTCGAGGGCAACCCGGACGAGCCGGCGTCGGTGGAGGAGTCGACGGCGCTGGTCAACGCCATGCTGCAAAACATGTTCAAGACGTCGACGTCGCCCCAGGCCTTTCTCATCAACCTGGCGGCGCTGGCGGGGTCCATGACGCTGGTGACGACGCGGCCCAAGTGCGTGCGCATGGGCGAAAACGACGACTCGTACGTCTACAAGTGCGACTGGGAGTACCGCTTCGGCCACGTCAAGGGCGGCTTCACCATGCCGCAGTACGTGCCGCGCACCATGTGGAAGAAGCCCGAGGCGGGCCCGCCGGACGCACAGCAGCAGCAGCAGCAGCAACAGACGCCGCTCACGGCCGAGGACTGGAAGAGAAAGTACCAGGCGTTGGCCGAGGAGGTGCACAAGCGCAACACGGAGCTGGCGGAGCTTCGGACCAAGGTCATGACGTCGCTGGGGCGCGAATGGATGGAGCCGTGAAGCTGCTTGCCTTGTGTCCCGTCTCGCTTTTCTGTTGGGCATACGCATCATACCCCCTCCCTATCTTGACGACATGTTTCATTCTTGGTTATTTGGCCGGCTTCAATGCTTTGACGCGGCTTGGGTTTACTGCATCACCAGCATGCTTGCCACATATCCCTTCGGGCCCCCGGGCTTGTTTGTTTCGATTTTCTCTGTACAGGCATAAGAAGAGTCTCCCGCGATGGAATCATGTGCATTGGAGCGACTGGCACGCCTGGCAACTAGATGCTTTTCATGAAGCAAGAACAGACTTGTCGAAGCTGCAGGAGGCGTGACTGGATTGACCAAGCGATTTGGGGTCAGCCCTGGCGCAGTGGTGTAACATAGGCTGCAGAGAGGTATCCGCATGTATGTACTGCACTTCTGGTATGTAAGTCATCGGAGATGGGACAAGGCGCCATGTTGCACGTGGCGAGAGTGGTGGACTTCATGTTATACGCATGGTACAGTACAAGCAAACGGTACTATGCTTACGGCGATTGGCGGCCATTGAACGGGGTGGGAAATGCTGATGCCTTGCCGGCCGCGGCGTCATCAGCGCGTACGAGGTGTTTCTGTCGGTGCCTAGGGAGGAGGCATGGTGGACATGTAACGAGAGGAGCTCTGGGAAAGGTTGCCAGGGGGTCAGAGAGGAGGATGATGGGTGGTTGCTGGAAGCGAACGAATGTCTCCGGGCCTCTAATAATAAGTCGCCGTCGAGGACACGGTACGGAGTACGAATACCCGCAGGTGGAGATGGTGGTGGGGTCTGGGGTGCGGAGTGAGGAAGTGAGGACGGACTGGATCGCTTAATCTGGGGCTGAAGTTGGGCTGAGCGAGAAGGACGACGGGAAGCGGCAATGGTGGCAACGATTGGTCCGACCGCCTGCAGGAAAACAGTACAGTACTTACGTACTAAGTACCTCCATAGGTACCTAAGGTACTGCTCACCTGGGAGATAAGGTACCTGCCTACCTTAGGTACCCCTTGTGTACTGTACTGTACACGCCCCAGGTCGAGCCAGATGACGAGAGAGCGGAGAGCAACCGCAATGAGTCGGGTGCTCCAACTGTAGTAGCGGGTCCAACAAGGCTTAGCTAGGGCCGGGCTGGCGGTTGGCTCGCGCTATTGTCACCGAGCACAATAAAAGCGATGCCGGGCGACAATGCAAGACGTGAACTGTCTGTGCCAATAGCCAATAACAACAGGTCGAAACAAACGGGCACGGCGTATTGTTCACTGCATTGCACGTACTGTAGATGCGGAGATGCGGCGGTTGGAAATGGCGACTTGTTGGCTTTTTTGCTCATCAGGGGACCTCGAGTTGTCGGGGCGTGCGTGCGCAAGCCGGTACTCGGGTGTTTTGCGACGGGAGGTCCAGGTTCCTCAAGTTTGTGCCCGAGCCCAAGCTTCCGGTCCCATGAAGAATACATAGTACCCAGTCATCCAGTGCTCTGTACCCGCTGTATGGTGAGCATCTCAGAAGCAGCAGACCTATTACATGCGAGACGGTACGAGGCAAATATTTCAGCTGCCACCAATACTCTGTACTGTAATTACTGTACTCTCAGGCGGGGGAATAGCGTGTACAGTGCCATGTCCCGTCAACCCGACCTGACTCTGTGCAAGCCCACCGGTTCAACAGTCGTGCTAATGCAAGCCAGCGCGCGCGTTGACCTGCGACTCGCCCCGTTTGAGGACATGCCGTGTTATACCTACTAGGGTAGTAGCCGGTACCGGGAGGACAGGGAGCTGATTGAAGCTTATTGCCAATCAATCAAGAGATGAATCGATCCCTCGTCGTCGAGCAAAGGCCTCGCCCGCGTCCATGCTTCCGTCAGCGCCACTCGCCAGGCCTCGTACAGTACAACAACCAATGTGCAGCGCATTGCAGTGCAGCCCTCCCTGTCATCTAGGTACAGTACCTACAGTCTTCTTCTTTCCTCCTGTGCGACCTCGAGACGCCATCATCCATCCCCTCTTCATACAGTACAATCCCGCCGCCTTTTTTGTTCTTGCGCCTCCTCCTGCTCTTCCTCCTCCTGCTCCTCCTCTTCCTCTTCCTCCTCGTGATTCGTTGCGCGACCATCTCACGCCTCCACCTTTCCCACGCCGTGTCGTGTGGCGTCAAGCCATCCCAAGACCGAGAGTCAAAAGTCTCATCGTCGCCCGTTGGATACTGTCCTTGCGCGTTTGGGCCCCTCATCACCTCCTCCCCCCCGCCGGCCAAGACCCTCCACCACCCTGCCCTCCACAGCTCTCGGGCCAGGCCAGGAGCCGGGGGCTTGTCTTGCTCCACCTCCAGTCCGCGCTGGGCAATGGCTCCGGCTGCATCCTCGCTCGTGTGCTCAATCTTGCGACCTTGTTCTTCTTCTTCCTGCCTCGGGCCTTTGTCGCCTTGATCAACCTGTCCCTCTTTAATGGCCCTTGCCTTGGGCCCGATACCCTCACCACCAATCCGCACTCCGCCTGCTCCCCATCTCAGCTGCCCGGTCGCTGCACTGTAGCTCGACCGAGGCCCGCATCGGTTCCTGTCTCCACCCTCGATTGCCTCGACTTTCCCCGGATTTTTGCGCCTTGTCACTGCGGCTCTCGCTCCCGTGCCTGGCCTGCCCACGATGGCATCTGGCAGCGTCGTCGACGAGGCCACAAGGTATGTCTCATTCCTCGCTCTCGTCTTTCTCCTCTCGTATCCCTCTCATTCTCATGTCCCTCTTTCTCCCCACAATCCATTCGGGGACGAAATGGCCATTCCCGCCTCCCGCTCTGACATTGCATGCGCCCGCCATGGCACCTCGAGTTCCCACCGCCACTCCATCGTCGCCTCCCACCCCTGACTGACTCCTCCAGAACGCGCAACCGTTTCCACAACTCATCCACGACCGAGGCCGGTCGTCGGCCCCCCGACTCGGAGCGCCATGTTGACATCAACGCCAACGTTGAAGCCAGGTGTGTCCATGCACTCCTATCTACTCTCCCTCTGCGCCATCTCCTGACACGTCCTCTCCCTCTGCTCGCTACAGAATCAAGAACCCGCTCATCGGTGTCACACGACGAACTCTTCTCTCCGATGTCGACGAATTCTGCCGCCTCAAGGGCCTCGACGCACACCGCGACATATTTCGCAAGGGAGCTCTCGTCGCCCAAGACCCCACTGGCTACGAGGACATCACGGGCGAAGAGGCACTGACCGACGAGGAAATCGAAGTCCTTCGCAACGAGGTCCTCTACAAGTGGCGCGTTCCAAAGGTCCTCTACCTCACCATCGTCACCTGCTCCATCGGCGCTGCTGTCCAGGGCTGGGACCAAACCGGCTCCAATGGCGCCAATCTTCAGTTTCCCGCTGCCCTAGGTATCGGCTCTCAGAGCATCGAGGATAAAATCCTCGTTGGCGTCGTCAATGCCGCTCCCTACATCGGGACGGCCCTGTTTGGTTGCTGGCTGTCGGATCCCATTAACAACTACTTTGGCCGCCGCGGCACCATCTTTATCGCCGCCAATTTCTGTCTGTGGCCCGTTCTCGCTTGCGCCTTCTGCAACACCTGGGTCCAGCTTCTTGGCTGTCGCCTCCTGCTGGGTGTCGGCATGGGCACAAAAGCAGCGACAGGTGGGTTCCCATCGTCCCTTCGTCCTTCGTCCTTCGTCCTTCGTCCTTTGTCCCTCGGAGCACATCTTCCCCAAACCTCTCCCTTTTCCGAGACTAATCCGCCGTGACCAGTCCCTATCTTTGCAGCAGAAAATTCTCCGGCGCCCATCCGAGGTGCCCTCGTCATGAGCTGGCAGCTGTGGACGGCCTTTGGCATCTTTCTTGGCACCTGCGCCAACTTGATAGGTCTTAGCATAGGCGAGTACGCCTGGAGATACCAGCTTGGATCGGCCTTTATCCCCGCCGTACCGCTCGTCATACTCATTTTCTTTTGCCCTGAATCGCCTCGCTGGTACATCAAAAAGGACCGATATCAAGACGCCCTGGGTTCGCTGCTTCGCCTGCGCAACAGTCCCGTCCAGGCCGCCCGCGACCTGTACTATATCCACGTCCAGCTGCAGGTCGAGCGCGGGTTCATCGTCCACGGCAACTACGTGGGCCGATTCATCGAGCTCTTCACCATTCCTAGGCTCCGTCGCGCAACCCTCGCCTCGTTTGTTGTCATGGTTGCGCAGCAAATGTGTGGTATCAATATCATCGCATTCTACTCGTCGTCGATTTTTCTCGACACCCAGGCCACCACTTTTGAAGCCCTCATGGCCACGTGGGGCTTTGGACTCGTCAACTTTCTCTTCGCTTTCCCGGCCATCTGGACCATTGATACCTTTGGGCGACGATCTCTCCTGCTCTTCACATTTCCCCAGATGGCCTGGACGCTACTAGCAGCCGGCCTCTGCACCTTGATTCCAAACGAATACAGCAAGGTGCACATGGGCTTCGTCTCCCTCTTCGTCTTCCTCTTCGCCGCCTTCTATTCGCCGGGCGAAGGGCCCGTTCCCTTCACCTACTCGGCCGAGGTGTTCCCCCTGTCGCACCGCGAGGTCGGCATGTCTTGGGCGGTGGCGACATGCTTGTTCTGGGCCTCGGTGCTCTCCATCACGTTCCCGCTGATGCTCGCCCGGCTGGGTGTCCTCGGCTCGTTTGGGCTGTATTCCGTCTTCAACATACTGGCGCTCGTCATGATCTTCCTGTGGGTCCCCGAGACGAAGCAGCGGACGCTGGAGGAGCTGGACTACATCTTTGGTGTCCCGACGAGAGTCTTCATGAGGTATCAAGTCACCAAGGCCCTGCCCTGGTGGTTCAAGCGGTGGATTCTCCTCCGCAAGGATGCGACCCTTGAGCCTCTTTACCGCCTCGACGTGGCCGACCACCAGGAAGACGAGCAAGAAAGCACAGACAACGGCTTCGAGAACGACAAGGCCAGAATAGAGATCAAAGACCTCGCCGGCTTTTCGAGTAGGGCGACGACGGAAGCCCAAGCAAACTCCCCCGCTCCTCGGTGAGGCTGCGATGACGTTTTGTGGATATGAATTTCATGTCCGGAATTCTTGCGGATTCCAGACTCCCTTTTCCCCAGCATTGGAAAAAAAATACTCTTCATTACTTTCGAATACGATACTTGGCGTCCAAGATTGGCATACAGCGAACTCCCTATATTGGGCAATTCTTTTGTTTATTCTCTATGATACCACGACGACGGCAAGGAAGAGATGGAAGCGGAGAACGATGACGTGGCACGATACCCTTTGATGTACCTTATCTGTCTTGATGTACTCGGCGATGGCCGGCGCGTAACATTGCGGACATGACGACCTTATTGCGACAGTACATTGAATGACACTTGATGACTTCGCGTGTATAAAGCAGTGGACATTTTGAGTTCCGGATTCGCGTTGAGCAAAGACAGGCAACAACCGGATGAGCTGAGGACGAGCGGATCCCCCATGAATAATGGCGTCGACGTGGACGACTGGGCGGTAGCGGTTGGTCTTGACGATCTCAAAAAGAACTGGGCTCTTGGCGAGAGACCCGTGCGGCCCCACATGAAAAGTCAGCGTCGAGCGCAGGCGTTGGCTGCAACGAGATGCGGCTCGACCAACGAATTCAGCCGTTGGAAGTTTGCGCTGCCGACGACGAATTGTGAAGCACGGATGGCGATATTGGCAGGCGATATTGGCAGGCGATGGTGATGGCATGGGCACAAGACGGAACCCAGTTGATGGGCGTCCTGCCATGTTTGCTTCCACGTTTTGTTGGAGCAAAGGCAACGAGGCTGGCGATACGGGATCTCGCAAACCCACAGTTCAGCTGGGCTTGGAATACCAGACCGAGGGCCATGAGCTGCTGTGCTATCCGGGTACTGCGCACTGTACATGCAGATGGATGGCGATGGAGTGGAGGGGATGAAAAGATCCATCCGTGACGAAGACGCACGAGAGACTCGGTTTTTGGGCCGGGCTGAGAAATGCAAGGATCGGCAGTCAGGCTAGATGCCAGTCTACGGAGTGACGGCTTCTCTACCAATACCGATGCCAGCTGTCGAGTCTCGCTACGGGATGCATTATGCTTGGTGGTGGTGGTGGTGCATACATGCCTTTGCAAGGTATGGAATAGGCCAGAAGAAGCAAGACACAACTTTTGGAGGCAACGAAGTCCCGCCGAGAGAAGAGCACAGAAGTCCAGGTGCCGAGCTTGCAAACGTCATGCTGATGGATTGGCAGCGAGAGCTTCCAGAAGCGTAATGGAACCAACCCGCCCAGCGGGCGATGACATAGCCAGACAGGCAGCCCCTTGATTCAGTTTGCGGCGGCGGCCCGCGAGCGTCCAAGACAGTGTGCCGGGTGGAAATGAGCTGTCGTCAGTTCTCTGGCAATCAATCTGCGGGCGCGAAGCACTGGAAAACAAAACCCCTGCATTGGACCAAATCTTGACTTGAGCTCCGCGAAACTCCACTTCTATTTTTACTTGAACAACAATGCTGTTCTCGAACATTTTCGAATGGACGGCGGCAATGCTACAGCGAAGGGCTCGAGGCAAGCATGTCCATGTCCCTGGCACTTGGGATGGGCCCCTTTTCGAGTGGTACAGTGTCCGTACAGTGTTGCTCTACACAGTAGGTCAATGCTGGATGCTTTTTTAGCCCAGGTGATTGGCTACACAGCACTCCGTACGAGGCACCGAGGGACGCGGGTAAACGCAGCAGCACCCCTTACTAAAAAGAAAGGCGGGCGCCGGTCCCCTGTTTCATTTTTTATTTTTTTTTGCCAACAAGCGAACACCGAGTGGGCAGGCGTCTGGCCTTTGTCTCCAAATCTCTAATCTTACATTTCTGGCTGCCCATGCGTGGAGCCGCGATGGTGAGTGAGCATGTGCATGCTGTACATCCATTCAACGTCGAGTCTCCCCATGAGCATTGCGATGGAAAATGAAATGAGATCAAGGGTCAAGAGTATGTCATGGTGGGCAGCGGAACAACACGACGAGATTTTCACCCCCTGGCCCTCGCAGCGGCAATCGGACGAAAGGGGGGAGTCCCGGGGAGGCCTGCCAGAAGACGTGCTGTAACCGCGCCAGCACCTGCCAGTGACAGGCCTCTTTGCCGGGGCATGGCAAGGGCTCCCGGCGGCCGCCTTACCGCACTGTGCCCCTCCCCCCCGCCCACCACCACTTTTCTGGAGCTCGGCGTCTCAGGAGGGCTGGCCGTGTTCCCGGTGCAATGCCTTGGATGGAACGCGAAGGGCCTGTACCGCCGGCCGGGCCCCTGCCGCATGCTCCACTGTGGCTTCCTGCGGGCTCAAGTAGGTGGCACCCAATGCAGGCACTGTGCGTGTGTGCGTGTGCGTGTGCGTGTGCGTGTGCGCGTGAGAGATCCTTGGGGAGATCATGGCAAGGAGGAGACGACACGAGGTTGGAAAAGACGACAGACCACCTCTTGTTCCACTTCTTTCCTCCCCCCTCTACCGCTCTTCTGCCTCGTTTCTTTCCTTGCCCATTCCCTTGCCTCCTTTCCTCCCACCCCCACGCGTCACTCTGCGCTTCTTTGTTTCCTGTTGGTTTGTTTCCTCCCGCTCTTCATCCGTCCTCCAACCTTGCCTAAAGACTCTCGTTCTCTCGCCTCGACTTCTTCACCTCCCCTCCTCTCCTCCTCTCCTCCTCTCCTCATCCCCTCCCTAGACGTCCTTTTTTTGTCAGTTTCCTTTTAGCAGCGACGTTCATCCCCGGCACTCGCTGCCTCCGTCTAGACAATCCGCCCTCAATCTGGTCGAGCATCGTCCATCCCACCGACTTTCCTGGAGCCGGTCTTCAGCGAGCTCTGCGGGTGACGACGAATTCGAGCGTCCTGTCCTCGATTGCCTCTGGGCCCTTCAACCGTTTCGGCTGCCCTGCTCGGCCTCTCATTTTAATGAATCGCTCCGACGACACGCGTTGGACACGACCTGTACACCCTTAAGCTGCATAGATATCAGTATACGACGCCCATCACCTCGACAATTCGCCCTCTAGACGCAACCAGTTCCGTTTCGCAACCGTCTCCCCTTCACCTCGAACCACCTGCTTGGCCCGATGTCCAGCAAGCGCCACTCGCTAAACTCGCGATCCTCGGGCTTCATCCCCCTCTCTGGCGGCGGCGCGAAAGACATGGCCGACGTCGGCATCCCACTCTCCAACGTCAGGAGCAACGTCTCGACGACGGGCGCCCGCAAGCCCAATCCCGGCGCCTCGACCAGCTACGACTCCTCCCCGACCGAGAAGAGCGGCCTCCACCATCGCCATGCCGGCCGTCGAAGGAAGTTCGGCGAGGGCCTCGGCCGCACTGGCACCGGCAACTCTGACGACGTCAGCGTCAATGCCCTCGGCAGGATCTACGCCAAAATCGTCGGCTTCTCCGTCGTCACGCGATACATGGTCTACGTCATCCCCGTCGGGATCCTTCTTGCCGTTCCCTTGATTGTCCTCAGCTTGACGGAACACAGATATGATCTTCCCGTCGGCAGCAAACGGGGAGAGAACGGGGAACCGGAGAAGCCTGGCCCTTCTCTCTTCAGTCTCTTCCTCTGGATTCTCATCTCCTGGCTCTCGCTCTGGGCCGCCAAGATTGCTGCATGGTTTCTGCCAAAGGTCTTTATGTTCTTCTGCGGCATCGTCAGCATGGGCGTCCGGAAATACGCAACCGTCCTGCAGAACTTGACCATCTCCCTGTCCCTCTTCTTCTCCGCCCTGGCGTCCTGGATGACCTTCAAGCACCTGTTCGAAGCCGCCAACAAGGACGGCATCAACTGGGTCGTCGATCTCCAGCGCATCCTTGCCGCCCTCTTCGCCTCGTCGGCTGTCCTCCTCGCCGAAAAGGCCATTGTGCAGCTCATTGGCGTCTCCTACCACCAGCGCTCCTTTGCAAACCGCATCAAGGCGTCCAAGCGCGAGATTTACCTGCTTGGCCTCCTCTACGATGCCTCACGCACCCTCTTCCCCATGTACTGCCCCGAGTTTGCCGAAGAGGACTACGTCATTAACGATAGCATCGAGATGATGTTGCGCGGCAAGAAGGCGAAGGCGGGGAAGGCGGCTGGCGCAGCCACTCCCATGAAGATCATCGGAGACGTTGGCCGCTTTGGAGACAAGGTGACATCTGCCGTCGGCAACATTGCCCACGAAATCACGGGAAAGCAGGTCTTGAACCCCAACTCGGCCCATTCGATTGTCCTTGAGGCTCTCGAGAAGCGCGCGCCTTCGGAAGCTCTCGGCAGGCGCATCTGGATGTCGTTTGTGCTCGAGGGCAAGGAAGCGCTGTACATTGATGACTTCCAGGAGGTGCTCGGTCCCCCGTACCGGGACGAGGCCGAGGAAGCGTTCAACGCCATCGACAGCGACTTGAACGGCGACATTAGTCTGGAGGAGATGATGCGCAAGGTCGTCGAGGTTGGCAAAGAACGCAAGGCCATTGGCGAGGGCATGAAGGACATTGGCCAGGCCCTCCGAGTCTTTGACAAGGTCTTGCTCTTCGTCGTCCTCCTGATTGTTATCTTCATCTTCCGTAAGTCCCCCCCCTTGCGCGCTGCACTCGCCTCCACGGCTGACGCCTCGCAACAACAGTCTTTTTCTTCAATAGCAGCTATATCCAAGTCATTGCCAGCGCCGGGACGGCCCTCCTGTCTCTGTCTTTCGTCTTCGCCACCACTACTCAAGAGTTCTTGGGCTCGTGCATCTTTCTTTTTGTCAAGCATCCCTATGACGTTGGCGACCGGGTCGACATCGGAAAAGTCCAAATGGTGGTGGACAGGATTTCCCTTCTCTACACTGTATTTACGCGCATCGATCTCATGCAGGTGGTACAGGTGAGCCGATCCATCTGAAATCTCTGGCCTGCTTTGCCATGTGGCTGACTCTTTGACGTTGTCCAGGTACCGAACATCCAGCTCAATAATCTTTGGGTCGACAACATATCTCGCAGCAAAGCCATGAAGGAAACGGTTGAGCTCAACGTCTCTTTTGACACGACCTTTGAAGACATTGAGCTGCTGCGACTGGAAATGGAGGACTTTGTCCGATCCCCCGACAATGCTCGCGACTTCCAGCCCGACTTTAACATCAGCGTGGCGGGCATCGGCGCTCTAGACAAGATGGTGCTCTACATCAGCATTAAGCACAAGTCCAACTGGCACAACGACGGCGTGCGTGCCGTTCGTCGGTCCAAGTTCATGTGTGCCTTGACCATGGCGCTCAAGAAGATTCCCATCTACGGACCGGGCGGCGGCTCCGAGGAATTGGGTGGACCCACGAATCCTTCCTACTCGGTTGCCGTCTCCAATGATTTCGCCGCAACTGCCCGAAACGAGGCTTCCAAGAAGAAGGACGAATCGCGCATGGTGCCCACGAACGCCGACCAGACCGAAGAGGAGGCTCGCGCAAACGAGCAGCATGCCGCCACGGAGATCAACACCCGTCACCTCGTTGTGGAGACGGAAAGCCTCTGGAGCCCTCGAGAAAACGAAGACCGATCTGCAACGCCTCGCGACATGGACGACCACCGTCGGTCGCGGGACATCGAGTCCGTTCGCACCGAGCTTATCAAGCGAGCGAGCACGCGCGGCCGGCGAAAGGCCGGCGAGGGCCTGCGGAACCTCACGCCCACAGAGAGTGGCTACGCCGGCTCTGCGCCCCATGCGGTCAGCTCTCGGCTGGAGACATTCGACGAGGAAGCCCAGACGGGCATGTCCTCTCCCTACCGCGGCGGCCAGACCGGGCTCGAGGTGGCAGAGGAGGAGCGACTAGGCCTCTACCAAAGTGCCTCGCAGCGCTCCCAGCCCGGCCGGCACCGGGGACCGAGCTTCTCGTTCAAGGACTCGCGAGGATTGACGCCCGGCCATCGCTAGTGGTCGATTGCATGACGGACGGTGCTGGGGACGGAGCACGGAATACAATACATACTCATCAAAACCAACCAGGCTGGAGCTGGTATAACGCAATTTTTCAGACGCAAATATGTGCTTGTGCATCTTGGAGGCGCGCAAGAGGCATTGAACATAGTCATGCTGGCCTTGGCCCAGCGTCGGCTCTGCCTGCGGCACGGGTTGTGGAGTGCCATGGGCAGAAGACCGATTTGGATGCGGAAAAGTGTTTTTAGTCGTCAAGGTATCGCAGATACTTTACGTCAATATGTTTCCGATGACCTCTTGTCCTTGTCACTGTGACGCTCCAACTACTGTCTGTTTGCAATGCCCTGCTCAGCAAACATGTTCAGGGGGCGCGACGGTACCGTCCTTGGGACCCAGGTCGGTCTTGAGTACACGCCCAAACAACTCCAGCAGTACCTCGAAGCAGACCTTTGTGACGGCCGGGTCGTAGCGTCCCTTGCTGAGCTCGTCCCTGATGAATGCGTGCTGAGCCCAGGCAAACTCGTGAAAGCTAAAGACGACACGGGCGTCGCGGAGCTTGGCACGGATGAGGTCCCGGCCGGCGTCAGGGACGTGGGTGTCTTTGATGCCGAATATCATGGCCACCTCGCCGCTGAGCTTGGGGAAGAGATCCAGGGTGTGGACGGAGCCGGGAGGTGGGGTGGCGGAGGTGTTGGGGGAGGAGTGAGGGCCGAGGGTGCGGGAGTGGATGTCGGTGGCGAAGTATGAGAGACAGGCGCTGATGCGGGCGTCGAGCTAGGGTTTGGACATGGGGATGTTAGGGCATCTGTCCTACTTGAAGGACAAGGGACCGGTGCGACTCACGGCGGCGCGGACGGCGAGGTGTCCGCCGAGACACATGCCGGTTGCTCCGATAGCCCCGGTGCAGGTGGGCAAGGAGAGGAGGTGGTGGATGGTGGCGCGGGAGTCTGCGTCGTAAGACTCCAGAGTCTGCGCATTGGATAAGATGTCGTCAATGCCCATGTCGGAGGCGGATCGGAAAACAGCGCACCTTTTCAACCTTGAACTTGTTGCCGCGATCCGTGTCGGCGGCATCGTAGCTGAGAGGCTCGGGGCCGACAAAGTCGTGGTACGAGGACGGGGCGGCGACGATGTAGCCGTGGCCGGCGATCTGGCGGGCGAAGCGGGCGACGGGGCCGGTGACTTTTTGGAGAGTGGTGAGAAGCTGGATTGGCGGCGGCTGGGGTGAAGGAGACTGCAGCAGACCTTGGTAGATTTCGCTGAAGAGGCAGACACCGGGAAAACGACTGAAGCAGCCAGCCAGTCAGAGAGATGTATGCATCAAAGCAAAGGGGAAGATGAAGACTTGCGCGTTGGGATAGCCGGGAATGGTCGGGTGGAAGAGAAAGAGTCCTGGCGGGACATGAGCGAGCGAGGGAGAGTGATGGAGAGGGTAGGGGACAGGCGGTACGCATGCTGCTGTCTTTGCCGTTGGCCGACAAGGCAACGTCGACGTGTTCCTCTTTGACCAACATGATGCCTTTCTGGAGTATGGAGAGGGACGATAGATAAATAGAGAGGGAGGAGTCGTGATTGATGGCGGGGTGGGACAGGCACGTACTTGCTTTGGTGCTGCGCGATGCGAGGCGCCTTTGACTTACATACTGTACATACAGTACCGAAGGTACTCGGTAACAGTACAGTACGAATACGTCGGCGTGCTTCTACGATGCCGGCCAAGCCTTGGCATGCGAACGATATGCCGTCCTCTGGCTGATCTCGGATGGTGAGACGGCGTTTTTGGAGCCTTCATCTGTCACCATCTACTGCGTACGAATAGGCGTGCAAAACAAAGGGCGCTACTGCACCCGGCGCCCTCGCTCCCATTCGACACCAACTTTCGCCCCTCGTCAGCGTACCTGGTCTCGAAATGAAATGGAGATTGTTCTCGTGATGCTTTCTTTGTGCTGTAACCTCAAGCGTACTTTTACTTTCGGGGCGCTGGCCGGAGACGGAATATCGCGTGACTCCGGCGCATGCTCTTTTAGTGGCGTTGGACAGTGACCTCGCACACATCACAAGGGCCAACGATTAACTTATCTGGTCACAACTCTCTCTTTCTTGCATGCAAGCCTGCAGGCCTCGGTCCATCATCCCCGTCCCCCCTTTTCCATCTCCTCAACCCTTGACCACCTTTTTACATGTCTTTTTGCTCCCGTCTCGCGCCCGCTGAAATCGCACCTAATGTTTTGTTGAAGCTCCCGCATTCTCCCGCGCTACCATGAACGGCCACTTTTCCGCCGTCGGCGACAAGCCGGAGGGCGGCGGCAGCTACGAGCACGGCGTCCAGGTCATTGACGAGGACAAGGAGTTCAAGTATGGCGCGCTCTCTACCGGCCATTGGGTCCCAGTCACTGACAAGGTCCCTGCAGCGCGAACCTGACCGAGTACCTCCACGTTAGCCATGTGGCCGAGGCTGGCTTCAACTACCACCTCATCTCCGTCTTCGGCTCCCAGTCGACGGGCAAGTCGACCCTGCTCAACCACCTCTTCGGCACAGAATTCTCCGTCATGTCCGAGACGGAGCGCCGCCAGACCACAAAGGGCATCTGGATGTCCAAGAACAAGCGCGGCGAGAGCGCCGGCGCAAAAATGGCCGACAACATCCTCGTCATGGACGTCGAGGGCACCGACGGCCGCGAGCGCGGCGAGGACCAGGACTTTGAGCGGAAAAGTGCCCTCTTTGCCCTCGCCACCAGCGAGGTCTTGATTGTCAATATCTGGGAGCACCAGGTCGGCCTCTATCAGGGGGCCAACATGGGCCTGCTCAAGACCGTCTTCGAAGTCAACCTACAGCTCTTCCTGAGAGACAAGCAGTATGTCCAGTCCTCAACGCAGCCCACTGTATCATGCTGACGAGCCCAGATCTACCCCGAGATCCCTCCTCTTCTTTGTCATCCGCGACCATCTCGGCACCACGCCCCTGGCCAACCTGCGAACCACCTTGACCCAGGACCTGACCAAGATCTGGTCCACCATCTCCAAGCCCCAGGGGCTCGAGGGCTCTCGCATCGAGGATTACTTCGACTTTGGCTTCGCTGCCCTTCCCCACAAGATCCTCCAGGACGACAAGTTCAAGAGCGAGGTCCAGAAGCTCGGCTCGCGCTTCACCGCCGGGCACAGAGTTGGTAAGCCGGGCAGCCACGCCGACCACGAACTTGAGGGGGGCCTCTTCTTGCCCGAGTACCACCGACGAATCCCCGCCGATGGGCTCTCGGTCTATGCCGAGGGCATCTGGGACCAGATCGTCAACAACAAGGACCTCGATTTGCCCACCCAGCAGGAGCTGCTGGCCCAATTCCGATGCGACGAAATCTCACGCGAGGTCCTCGTTGCCTTCGACCTCGTCGTGACACCACTTGAGGAGCAGCAGAGCGAGGCAACCAAGCTGGGCAAGATCCTGGTCTTGGCTGACTTGGGCGCCACGGGTGTCAAGGTACGCGGAAACTGCGTCAAGGCGTTTGAGTCTCAGGCGAGCCGCTACCACAAGGCAACGTACACACGCAAGAGGCAGGAGCTGGAAGCCAAGGTGGACACGAGGCTCAAGGCGCTCTATCAGGGACAGCTGACGGCGGCCCACAAGGCGGGAGTGGCGGCCTTTAGCGAGGCCGTCACCAACAAGGTCAAGGCGGGACAAAAGGCCGGCGGCGGCTACGAATTCGCCGAGATTGTGGCCCACGAAAAGAAGAAGACGCTCGAGATCTTCGAGGCAGAGGCTACGAGCCTTGCCATCGAAGGGGTTGCCTGGACCGGCTTCAAGCCGCAATGTCAGCTGTTCGAAACGGAACTGGACGAGGTCAGCGCGAAGCTGCGCAAGGAAGAGATGCGACGGCTGGCCACTCGCGTGGAGCGCTGGGTCAAGTCACGACTGGGCGACGCCGTCGGCCTGGAGTTCAACAAGCTGGGTTCCGGCAGAGGCGGCTCCGGGGCGCCCGAGACGGGGGACAAGCCCGAGACAGAAAAGGACCTCTGGGACAGAATCTGGACCGTCTTCACCGGCGTCGTCGCCGAGGCCGAGGGCCGGTTCGCGGAGCGTGCCAAGAGCTTCGACGCTAGCAACGAGGAGGCCGAGGTTGGCATGTGGCGCCTGCGCCGGAAGAGCTGGGTCGGTCTCCGGGAGAAGATTGATGAAGAGGTGATGGAGGGCAACATCCTCCTGAAGCTCCGAGAAAACTTTGAGGATAAGTTCCGCTACGACGAGGCCGGCGTGCCCCGGATATGGCGCCCAACCGACGACATCGAGGGCCTCTACACCAAGGCGAGGGAGTCGACGCTGACGCTCATCCCGCTGCTCTCGAGGTTCCGCCTCTCCGAGACGTACACTCCGCCGGACCTGCCTGGCTTTATCGGGCCCCAACCCCGCGGCGTCGAGGTCGCCGACGAAGAGGACCTGCCTCCGATTGGCGGCGTGGACGAAGTCGAGAGCAGGAGCCTGGAGGAAGAGATGACGGTCCTCAGCGAGGGCAAGCGGCAAGACCTGGTGGTGCGGTTCAAGAAGACTGCCGACGGGGTGTACGTCGAAGCCAAGCGTAGCGCCATTGGCGGCGTCGCTCAGGTCCCGTGGTACTTTTACGGCCTGCTGCTGGCATTGGGCTGGAACGAGATCTTTATGGGTAAGAGACGGCGCCATTGGGTTCCCTCGACTCCTTGTGGCCACATCCGCTGACGCGCAGCCTATCCCCAGTTCTGCGGAACCCGTTCCTGTTCATCCTCATCATCATGATGGCTGGAGGAACATATGTGGCGTACGCGCTCAACCTGCTGGGTCCCATGATGCAGATGACCAACGCGGCCGCCACCCAGGGCATCGACATTGCCAAGCAGCAGCTGCGCGACTTCATCGCTAATTCAGAGACGGCAAGGCAGGCTCTGGCCGTGCCGGCGACAAACGGCACGAGCGGGGCGGACGTTGACATGGACCGGCTGGACAGCCGGGGGAAAAAGACACGTCCGGCGGCGGACGAGGACGACGAGATTTGAGAGATGTGGCTTGCTGTTGTGAGTATCGAGAGTTCCTTTGCTTCGGTGAAAGTGTACAACCAACCTTATTGGGTAGATGGTCTAGTCGTGTGGTCAAGCGAGGAGGGGAAAAGTAACTCTAGGCGCAGTGTGGACCGCTCGAATGCTACCTGTTTTACTCGCGATGCCTCGTGGTGTCGGGGCTGGTATCTATCCTAGTATCTAAGGTACCCTACAATGCCAGTACCCGCTCTTGTGTCATGCGATGCAAAACCAACCAACGTCTAGAACGCCTCGAGTCCCACGGACGTGCCGAACCAGGCCCCTAGCTCGTTGGACTCCTCGTCGTCCGTTGCGGACGAAAAGAAGTCGGTCACGCGACTCGTCTCGCCGTCATCGAGCACCGGCCAGTCCACCTTGACGCCGCCATTCCCCTTACCCTCGATCATGTCTTTGGCCGTGCCCCAGCTGAAGCGACACTCGGGGCCCCAGCCGAAGACGGGGTGCATGTTGCTCTTCATCCAGCTGACGCACCGGGCGTCGGCAGGATAGCCGGAGCCCCAAGCCATGGCGGTGTCGCCGTCACCCGCAGGCAGTGGGCCAGCGCGGGCCCTGTAGAGCTCCTCGAGGGCGGCGTCGCGGGTGACCTTTGCGCAGACGGAGGCGGCGCTGACGCAAGGGTAGAGGCTGTCTGCCTTTTTGGCGACGGTGATTTTGGCCGTGGGAAAAACGCGCTGGAGCTTGGCCTGGTAGGCGGCAGGTTGGCCGATGGTGTCGACGTAAATCTCCTGGACGTTGACGCCGCGGGCGTAGACGCCCTTGATGAGGTCGACGGTGGCGTCCATGGCCTGGGCGTTAAGGTTGTAGACGCCGACGGGGCGCAGCATGTTGGCGGCGATGTCCCTGGCGGAGAGGGCGGCCGTGGCCCAGCCGCACGAGGCGTGCAGGTCGGAGCCCGGGGTGCAGAGGGTGCGAACGAGGGCGGAGCGCACGGCCGGGGTGAGCACCTTGGAGTCGTCAAAGTGGTGCGTGTCGCGCAGCAGCGGGTCGGACAGCGGCAGGGGCAGGAAGAAGACGCCGTAGACCATGGGGCCGAGGACGGGGCCGCGGCCGGCCTCGTCGACACCGAGGGCGCAGGGCGGCGGGGGGGCGGAGGATGTCGCGTCGGACGGGGCGAGGAGCGAGGCGGGGATGGGCGAGAAGTGCGAGTAGGAGGCGCCGGAGAGGAGGGCGTCTTTGTGGACTGAGGGCGGGATGAAGGTGGACGAGGCGGGTGGTGGCGGTGATGCTTCTTCTTCTTCTTGGTCTGGGTCTGGGAGAGGCATGTCTATGTCGACTTGCTGCGGCAGAGGAGCGGCAGCCTCCATGGCGACGGGAGGAGCTGTGAGGGGCCTCGAAGAGATATCGAGGTTGAAGCAAAATGTTGATCCAGATGTTCGTACGGATACGGCGATGTCGAGGTTAAAGCGAAAATATTGATCCAGATGTTCGTACGGATACGGTATGTATGGAGGTGAAGTCGGTGACGGGCAGCAGCGATAAGAAGCATTGATAGGGAGACGCGTCTGGCCGCGGCGGAGCGCGAGCTCACGGGCAGGGTTCCTGTATTTAGTGCACTGTAGGCACGCTGCTAGCACACCCCCCTCCCCCCCGCTCCCCCGGCCCTCGAGAGCTCTCTTTCTTCAACACGTCAACAAGGTACCTTCGCCGGCTTCGAGGCGCGTCTGCCCGTTAGCACCTGTCGCAACCAGAGCCGAGATACAAACAGCCTTCACCTTTTTTTTTGGCCGGGCACCGACGGCAACTGAGTTCGCCACTCCGCCCCTTCGCGAATCTACATACAACAAGCTCTAAAGCAGCCGCCGCCGCCGTGGTGCGCGCAGCTGGACAGCAGCAGCAAGAGCAGCATCCTCAACCGCCATGGCTCCGCGGGCGAGGCGCGGCGAGGCCTCTGAGCCGCAGGCCTTTCATGAGCTGGGAGTCCGTGGCCGGTAGGTTTACCGCTTTTCGCACCAGCGTTGGCTCGACTCGCGCGCATTGCTTGCGCAACGACTCCCATGACAGGGCTCTAATGGCCCGGGTTTTCTTGTAGGAAAACCGGCGTCTTCCTGCCCGATGGCGGAGAGCGCGACGAGCACGGCATGCAGCCCCTCGAGGCCATCTTCTCGTCGCCGCAAAAAGCCGCCGCCTCAGCCAACGGCGGCGCCGACGACTCTGGCAGCGAGGACATGGATATAGCCTCCAGTGCGTCACCTCGCGCGCGTCCATCATCACTGCGAGACGGAATGGCTGACACTTGGCGCTCCAGGTGCCGGGCCCGGGCCTCGAACCCTGCTTAAGAACCAGCGCGACATCAAGTATCCCATCCCCAGAAGCCGATCCCCGCTCAAGACGAACCTCAACTCCGCTGCGCGTAAGAACCCGCACATTGAGCGCCTCTCCTCTCCCGCGCGGGGCTCCGTCGGCGCCGAGGATCGCGATGCCACGGTGACGCGGAGGCTCGACTTTAACGCTAGGGCCGCAAAGTCGAAACTCGGGGGCGCCAATGGCAAGCTCAATGGCGTCAACGGCTCGACAAGGGACATTGCGGAAGAGGACTCGATCCTGAGTGGCCACGCTGATCTGGACGTCGGGGACATGGTGGAGGAATCCCTGCAGATGATTGACGCTATGAGCGGCGGCAGCGACGACCATGATGACGAGCCTGAGCCTCCCCAACCGTCCATATCTGAGGATCTAGCAGAAGAGGAGCAAGAAGAGGACGAGCCACCTGTTCGGCGGGGCAGAGGGCGTCCACAACGCGAGGATCGCCAGAAGCAGGGAACCCAAAAGAGCCAGCCGGCCAAGAAACGACGTTCACTTAGGAACTCGACTGGTGGTGACGGCGTAGATGGCGCAGAGCAAGAACAAGGAGCCGAGGCCGACGACGACGACGAGCCCAGGCAACCGAAACGGCAGCGCACACAGGGCCCCGTGGCCCCGAAAGCGTCGGCGGCGGCAAAGACGAGCAACTCGGCCAAGGCGCCAGTCACGGCAAAGACGACGGCAGAAGCTCAAGCAAAGGCAGACAACAACAAGCCCAAGCCGAGAGGCAGACTTGGCCGAAAAGCAAAGGAAAGGGGTGCCGAGGAAGAGACGGGCGAGGCGTCCTTCATGGCCCTGCAGCGTGGCCCGCCCATGCCCAAGTCGCGCGGCCTCGTCTCGGTTCGTCGCGATGCCGACGGCGTGACGCAGACGCGGTCGGGCCGGCACTCGTACCGACCAGTTGCCTACTGGCGCGGCGAGCAGGTCATCCGGGAAGACGAGGAGCAGAGCGACATGTTCCACGGGGGCGACTTTGTGCTGCCCTCGATCAAGGAGGTGGTGCGCGTGGCGCCCGATGCGCCGCCGTCGAAGCGCGCGCCGCGGAGCAAGACGCGCGCCAAGGCCACGGCCGGCAGCGGCAGCAAGCAGGCCGTGGACGACGACGAGGAGCTGGAGGAGTGGGAGATGAACCCAGGCACGGTGACGGGCGAGATTGTGCTGTGGGAGCCCGAGCACGAGGAGCACCCGCCGGCCGACGACGAGCCGGTGCAGGTCATGGACGACCGCGTCGCCATCTCGGCCGACGCGATCCAGACGTCGGACATCAAGGACGCCACCTTTCGCTTCGCAAAGACGCTGACCATGCCCTTTATGGGCGCCGGCGTCGTCGACCTGCCGCCCGGGTCCGAGAAGCGGCCCAAGAACTCGCGCAAGATGCACATGGTCTTTTTCGTGCACTACGGCAAGGTGCTCGTCACCATCAACGAGGCCCAGTTTCGCATATCGGCCGGCGGCATGTGGTTTGTCCCCCGAGGTGAGTCTCTTGTCACTCTCCCCCTCCCCTTTGACGCGCCGCGGCCTCGACGGCTGACGGCCCTCTCTTGCGCACAGGAAACTACTACAGCATCACCAACGACTACGACAATCCCGCCCGCATCTTCTTCTCGCAGGCGTGCGAGATCCAGGCACCTCAGCCCAATGAGTCGCCAGAGCAGTCGACGATGGCGCTCGGGTACTAAAGGCCCTCCCCCCCTTTTCCTCTCCTTGTTTCTTTTCCTCGCCAACCTTATTGTCGTCTCGTTGTTCTCCTTCCGAGATTACGTGGGAGAACAGATTGTCACAGTAAGGGATGTCAGCCAAGGTGGCCTCGGAGGTTGTACATGATTGTGGATTTACGCCTTTTCCTTCCTCTCCCGCTGTCTCTGTCACACACCCTACCTACTCTTCCTCCCGTCTTGCTCACGACGTCCCTTGGCATCATGTGGCGGCAAGAATGGTAGGGAAGGGGAAGGACTGTTTGTCGTTACTCTTTGACACGGGTCAAGCAGGAGCCTTGCAGGAAGGGGAACCGAATGCGTCGGCAGCGGGCATGGAGTGCGGCTCGCGCGTGCTGGACGAGACTAACAAGTGCTTTGGTCCCTCTCCCGTTACGTCGGTTCCTTTCTCCGAGTCAGATAATGCAAAAAAGGCTGGACGGCCTTGTGGCTTTTGGCCATCTCGGACACAGGGTACTCCTTGGCCATCAGTGAGATCCGATGCGTGGTTTGGCCAAGATGATTCGTCTTCAGCTCCGTGACGCTGGCTTCGTCTGTGCAAGTTGGCCGAGTTATCTCGCTGGTGGATTTCCATACACGCTTTTTCCTGGAAACAGAATAGTGTCTCCTGCCGGTTGGCCAAGCATCGAGTGCCTATTCCCAGTAGAGTTTTTGCACTTCTAGCGCCATATACCTCTCCTTTTGCGGGGAACTATTAGTCTTACGGCCGTGGGCCCGCCCTGCTGCTATCTCTTCGCGGCCTGCCTGTAGGGGGTTTTTAGGATCTATATTTTATAATAATCCGGTTAATATTTTGAGTATTGCTATTTGCACATTCGCCCCATTTTTGAGATACATACCAACAACGCCAGCCCGCCCCGTCTATTTGTAGCGGCCGCGCATGGCAGGTAACGGTACCGCCCAAATGCCCGCACCCGCCCATACACACACAACGCACTTTTAGCCACATAACGCATGCCTCTCAATTCGCTCAAATAACGCATTTCCGAGCCTTCAGCTCGAAGTTGCAACAATCGGCCCGCCAATCGATCCGGCCCCTCTGGCCTCTACGGCTATATCGGCGGCGGCCGCCGACGCGCCGACTCAACGATCCCTCCAACGCCTCACGAAGCCGGCGGCGCGCCCCTCCTGCCGCGTCCTCCTCTTGATCCCCTTCCCCTTATATTTCCTCGAGCTAACGATCTTTATTGTGACGCTGCGAGAGACCGCGGGCTGCGGCCAAGTTCATTAATCTCGTCGCGCCCCCGGCGCCTTCGAACGCTTGCGTTGAGCCGCCTTAAGCTGGCCTGACTCGAATTGGGTAGCTAGGATGCCCTTATAGCCGTTATAGCCTGCTATGACTGTGATGCTGTCTATGACGCCGTCTATAATGCCGGCTGTAATGCCCTCGCTGCTTGACGTTGGCACCGACGAGGACCTTGATTGCGGCGACTTCCTCCGGCTGGAGACAAGGTCGACGCTTTGGCGACGGTCCTGTGCGTTTCCATCTGGGGCTTCTTCGAGGTCGACATTGGGAACGAGGGCGTGATTTATAGCCACCGAGTACACACGAAGTAGAGCAGTATAAGCGGGATCATGTGTCGGCATTGCGGCGGGGACGTTTGGGCAACGTTGTACGTCCGTAGCTCGGTGCGTCATCTGATGTTTATGATGCTTCCATGGGTGCCTGGTACTTGGTTCACCGTAGCCGGCACATCGATCTTGTCCATTTCGTGTGTGTATACTTCGTACAAGCGAACGTATTACGCATTTTCTGAGCGGCTGACGCCAGTTCGGATTGACCGCAGGTATGCCGGTCAGGCTCTCGACGAGGAACGCTCCATGTTGCAGCAATCTCTTAGCCTCGAGGGGTGAAGCCATTGATGCAAGTCTCGACGTGGCGCGTCAAGTCCTTGCTGGCACATGCCGGACGCTATTGTCCTTGTACTTTGCGGCCTGGGATTCCTGTTCGCGGGATTCGGCTGCGGCTTTGGCCAAGAGCTCTTCTCTCGTCGCGACGGGGGAAGAGTCGCCCGCCGGGACGTTGCTGACCGACGCGTCGGAGCTGCTGAACACTTCCAGGGGCATTTTGACTGAAGAAAATCCGATATACTGATATTGTCCTTTCCGTCAGAATCGACTCTTTGGTGTAGATAGGGGCTACTCACCGTCCGAGACTTGCTTGTCGTGGACGCATGGCACCCAGACCTACCATGTAGCAGGAGGAAAGCCTCGATGCTAGGAAAGGTGGGGAGAGGAAAACAAGCTGATCAAGGAGGAGGGAGCTTCTTTACGTTGCAGAAGGAACAGGACGATGTGCTCATGTCATCGCTGCCAGCGTGATTCACTCTTGATGAGGCTTCAAGCTTTGTGATTCACGGCTGCGAAGGCCAGAACCAACCATCTTGCCCGCCATGCTCTGCTCGTTTGACTGCTCGTTTGACTGCTCGTTATAAGTTACTACTCATCTCATCTGTTCAAGGACCTTGCCGTCCGTCCGGGTACAGCAAGTCCAAGCTCCTTGCCCCCGTCCTTCAGCCACAAGCAGCAGCTCAGTACTCCTCGTTGAGCACCTTCTTCAGCGCACCCATCTCCCGCTCCAGCTCGGTGATCTTGCGCTGCGCCGCGTCGAGCTTGGCAAGCAGGTACGTCGCCCGCCCCGCCGTCTCGCCTGTCTGCCGCGGCAAGGAGCCGAGGAGGGCCAGCTCCGTCTCGGCTGCGTCGATGCCGCGCGCTTCGACTTTCACTATCTCGCTCAGCACCGCCAGGTCCATCTTGGCCCGCAGCACCCTGTCGCCCACCAGCCGCGCAAAGGCCGCCTGGTACAGCGGCTTGCCCGCCCGGATCTGCTGCGGCCGCCCCTGCCGCGACTTGAGCGAGATAAGCTCGGCCCCGGCCAGCGCCTCGAGCGCCGCCTCCCCGCTGGCCGCCGACGGCGTCGTCGATGCCGAAAACGCCGGGCAGAGGAGCACCTGGTTGTAGCGCAGCGAGGGGGACTCGGCCAGCGACTTGACCAGGTGCCACGCCTGTTCGGCCGACCACTTCTGCTCAGTCTCGCCCGTCTTGGGCAGCAGGAACATCTTGACAATGTCTGTCGCGCTCTCCTCCACAATCTCGTCCACGGCCTGCTGGGGGCGCTGCCCGGCCTTTATCCGCCGCGAGAGGAACTCCAGGTCCGTCAAGCGGCCACCCAACGTCTCGATGCACTTGTCGAGCTCGGCCAAGTTGAACTGCGACTGCTGCTTCTCACCCTTTTCCTCACCCGCCTCGGCCTCGAGCCGCTGGTCATCCTGTAGTCTGTTGACGACAAAGTTCTTGGCGGCCGAGGAATCAAGGTCGTCAAGCGAGATGGTCCGGAAGACCCGGTCGGGCATCACCTTTGACAGGGGCTTGGAGTAGGCCGTATCGCTTGTGAGGAAGATGACGTGACAGATATTGTTCTGCACCAAGGACGCTGCCCAGTCGGCAATTTTTTCATAGACAATCGACTTCTCGTCATTCTTGTGCAGAAAGTTGTCGATGACGATGATGGGCTTCCGCTCCGGATGCGCCTCAAGGAACGCGTCTTCGGAGAGGGCGGCGTCCTTGTCCTTGCTCGAGCGGCCCGAGAGAGCCACGTCCTTGAGAGCGGCGGCAGTCGTGTGCAGGATCTTGCTGATCTGGGACTCCAGCGTTTCCGAGAAGCCGGCCTTGACGCCCGTCGTGCCCTGCACGGCGAGGTCAATCATGCTGCTCGTGCTGTTAGCCCACGAGAATATCGGGCGGTATCCGACTGCGCCTCCAAGTCGTTTGATGGTGCCCGCCTCGCCGCTGGCGTCCACGATGGGCCTGCAGTCAATCACAAGCACGTTCTGGCGCCCTGCGAGCGACTGGTCCAACACCATCTCGGCTTTGCCCGAACCCCGAGGGCCTGTAACGACGATAAAATTATCGGAGCTCCCGTCCAGCCAACCCTGGAGCTGGCCGATGGCGTCGCGGCGGTGATTCCAAACGGTGCTCAACCCCCCCCCGAGCTCTTTCTTGCGGCCAAAGGTGAAGCCGTCCGTCTGCGATTTGAACCACTTGTAGATTCGTGACTCAGTGAAGCGCAGAGAGTGCTGGATGTGGGCTTTGATGAAGAACTTGCGGATGGGATCAAAAATCATAACGGACGCTCCGGCCAGAAGAGCGGCCAGAATGGGTATTACTATGCGCGGGTGGCTCGTCAACCAGTTCCAAATGCTATGCGCCTTGACGCGCCTGACGTACGAGAGCCGCAGTACCGTGCCGTCCTTGCCGCCGCCCATGGCCTCGGTCACGACGAAGCCGTGCAGGCAATTGCGCGCCATGATGGCGTCGCGTACCCGTGGGAAGCCGATTTGCGCAAACCGCGGCGTCTCCTTGGAGTCCCACGGCTGGGGCAGTATGTCGGCAATCTTGCCGTATTTGCGAAATAGACTGTACAGAGTCTCCTCGGATAACTCTACGGGAGTGGCCCCCGGCGTCGAGGGCACAAAGTCGACCTTGAGGAGGGGCGCCGGAAACCTATGAAGATCTTCGAGCCAGGGAGTCCCGCGCACCAAGCGAGCCTTGATGCCTCGAAACGGGCTGAACCAGGGCTTGAGCGGCTGCTGCTGGAGCTTGCGCTGCAGCGTGCCTAGATGCCGGTTGTTAGCAAACACGGGTGCAAACAAAGCGCATGGGCACCACGCCTCCTCACCTTCAATGTCTGACGGGCTCACGCTCGCATCGTACTGCACCTTGACATAGGCTCCGCCATCCTTGAGCCGCGGCAGAATCTCCGTCACCTTGAGCGGAATGTCGGCCGGAATCGCCCTCTTGACCAGCCGAATGGGGTCCAGGATGCCCAGGGTCGAGTTGTCGAATCGCTTGAGCAAATCGGCCAGGTCCCGGTCCGTATCCGACCAGATCCTGAGCACGGCACTCAGCCTGATTGGGAAAAGGTCTGCACGGGTCAAGGTCAGCGTACTAGGCAACGGCTATGTGAAGCAGATGTTGGCGGTTTCTTACTATCAAAGAACAAGAGCGACTCATTGGGCTTTACGGAAAAGCGCCCGCTCTCCTTCTCCTCCGCAATGGACGACGTGCTCTCCCATGCTCGATGCGCAAGACCAAGGCGGGCTCGCCGACGAGCTGTCGCGCTGGCCCAGACGCATGGTTGGCTCGAGGAAATCGAGGTTCGCACGCCCGGCCGACTTGATAGAGAGGCAGAGCCTCGCATCGCAATCATGTCGCTGTGTATGTGCGCGACATGGACGTGCACAGGCTCGGCAGAAGAGGAAACGCTGGTCCTTGTTGTCGCACAGCTGTAATTGGTGGCCTATGAGGTCATTGGTCGTCCCTGGAGGAGCATGGACAAGCGTCAGTGGCGGATGATGGCAAATCTATTTATCCGCCTCCAGCAGCTTGCCCATGCCCAAAAAAAGTGCTTTTCGATGCATCGTCTCATTGGACACAACACATTCAGCCTGCAGCCATCACGAGACACGGATCATGACGACTTGGTCCGTCCCCTCACTGTCAAGACTACTTTCTCTATCTACGCGTAACTACTCTCAACCCCCGCAATACCACGAATACCTGCTCCAGCCCGCACGCCCACCCACGACACGAGCTCTCTTCCCTTCTTGAGATCAAACAGTAGTTACAGCATACCATCGAAAAAACACCAGTCGCAATGGGCTGGCTTTGGGCATCGCCATCGCCCACGGCTCCCACGCAGCCGCAATCCCTCCCCAAACCCGACCCGGCCCAGAACGCAGCGCCCAACGAGCCCGTCGACCCAGAGATCCAAAAGTTCTTCGACCTCTTCAAGACCGACGCCGACAATACCTCTAGCAATGAGCCCCCTCCAACCCCTGCGTCACGACAAGACTCCGACTCCGACTCCACCTCATCATCATCACCATCAACCATAGCGTCATGGCTGTCTCTCAAGGCCGCCCCCAAATCAGCCACTCCTCCCGCCCCGGCACCTCCCCGCGATGCCCTCGCCGAATCCCTCCTCCCCACCGAAATGTCATGCCGCCAGGCCTTTGATCTCGCTTGGGCCTGCAACTCAATGGGCGGGCAGTTCAACTCCGTCTACCGCTACGGCTCCATGCGCTCCTGCTCCGAGCACTGGGACGACTTTTGGTTTTGCATGCGCACAAAGTCCTACACTGGCGAGCTCAAGGAGAGTATGATTCGTCAACACTATCGGAATAAGGAGTATGCAAAGTATGGCCCCCAAAAGCCCAGTAGCGAGGACATTTGGGAGAGCCGCACGCAAAAGGTCTCGCCAGGCACGGCTTTCTCTGAGCGCATCGACGAGCCCGAGGTTGGTGACGACGAGTGGCGCCGGAGGGAGGCTCGGAGGAGGAGGGAGATACGGCAAGGCTTGGGGTACGGCGAGGTAGCATCATGAGTGAGTGTTGAGGCTATTTCCAGCCATATCAACTCGGCATTCTGCAACCATGTAACATGACTTTATTACGTCCAGGAACATGATTGCTTTCTTCAAAGATAAGGATTTCACCGCAGCCCAACAAGATCAATCAGCACCCGTGGGCAGTGGGTTGGGAGCCGAAGCCGGCCAGGCGGCAGAGTCAATCACGGTCAGGGTTGCAGTCTAAATGCATCATAATTCTATATGACTTGAATTTCCCAGAACTCATTAAAATACACAATCCAGGCTTTTTGCCCAGTTTTTGATTCCCTGTCCCGTTTCCGTAAAATGCAGCGCAAGACGCAAAATCTAGTCATCTCGTAATTCCTGAACCCCGGGAAAAGCCTCCGCATCGTAAACGCATTACCAATTTGAGCGACAGGACAGACGTGAGGGTATCAACAAGTTTAGTCGACCTCCTCGACCGTGGGACCGTCGTCGCCGCCAGCTCCGGGGGCAGGGCCGCCGGCACCGGGGAAGCCGCCAGGGGCGCCGCCGGGCATGCCAGCACCCTCGCCGCCAGAGCCGTAGAATTTCATCATGATGGGGTTGGCAATGGCCTCCAGCTCCTTCTGGTGCTCCTCGTACTCCTCACGAGTGGCCTGCTGGCTGTCGTCGAGCCAGGCAACGACCTTGTCGATCTCGGTCTTAAGGGTTTCCTTGTCGCCGGCCTCGATCTTCTCATCGACCTTGGGGTCGGACAGAGTGTTGCGCAGAGAGTAGGCGTACGACTCCAGACCGTTCTTGGCAGCAACGCGACGGCCCTCTGCCTCATCCTCCTCCTTGTACTTCTCGGCATCAGCCAGCATGCGCTCAATGTCCTCCTTGGACAGACGGCCCTTGTCGTTGGTAATGACAATCTTGTTGGACTTGCCAGTGCCCTTCTCGACGGCAGAGACGTTCATGATGCCGTTGGCGTCCAGGTCGAAGGTGACCTCAATTTGCGGGACACCGCGAGGCGCAGGGGGGATGCCGGTGAGCTCGAACTTGCCGAGCAGGTTGTTGTCCTTGGTGCGCTGACGCTCACCCTCATAGACCTGGATGAGCACACCAGGCTGGTTGTCGGAGAAGGTAGAGAAGACCTCGGACTTCTTGGTGGGGATGGTGGTGTTGCGGGGAATGAGCTTGGTCATCATGCCACCAGCGGTCTCAATGCCGAGCGAGAGAGGTGCAACGTCGAGCAGCAGGATCTCGTTGGTGGACTTGGACGAGGTGTCACCAGACAGGATGGCAGCCTGAACGGCAGCACCGTAGGCAACAGCCTCATCGGGGTTGATGGACTTGTTGGGCTCCTTGCCGTTGAAGTAGTCGGTGATAAGCTTCTGGATGCGGGGAATGCGGGTGGAGCCTCCGACGAGGACGATCTCGTGGACCAGGCTCTTGTCGATCTTGGCATCGGCAAGGACGCGGTCGACGGGCTGGATGGTGGAGCGGAAGAGATCCTGGCAGAGCTCCTCGAAGCGGGCCCGGGTGATGGAGGTGTAGAAGTCGATACCCTCGAACAGAGAGTCAATCTCAATCGAGGTCTGGGCAGACGAGGAGAGGGTACGCTTGGCACGCTCGCAAGCAGTTCGCAGACGACGCAGAGCACGGGCATTGGTGGAGAGATCCTTCTTGTGCTTGCGCTTGAACTCGTTGCAGAAGTGGTTGACAAGGCGGTTGTCAAAGTCCTCACCACCCAAGTGGGTGTCACCAGCCGTGGACTTGACCTCGAAGATGCCCTCCTCGATGGTCAGGAGGGAGACATCGAAGGTGCCACCGCCCAAGTCGAAGATGAGGACGTTGCGCTCGCCCTCAACCTTCTTGTCCAAGCCGTAGGCAATGGCAGCAGCAGTAGGCTCGTTGATGATACGCAGGACATTGAGGCCGGCGATGAGACCGGCATCCTTGGTGGCCTGGCGTTGGCTGTCGTTGAAGTAGGCAGGGACGGTGACGACGGCGTTGTTGACGGTGCCACCGAGGTAGCTCTCGGCCGTCTCGCGCATCTTGGTCAGGACCATGGAGGAGATTTCCTCGGGGGTAAATGTCTTCTGCTCGCCCTTGAACTCGACCTCGATGACGGGCTTGCCGCCCTTGTCGATGATCTTGAAGGGAAAGTGCTTCATGTCGGCCTGCACCTCGGCGTCGCTGAACTTGCGGCCGATCAACCGCTTGGCGTCGAAGACGGTGTTGTGGGGGTTCATGGCGACCTGGTTCTTGGCGGCATCGCCAATCAGGCGCTCTGTGTCGGTGAAGGCAACGAAGGAGGGAGTGGTTCGGTTGCCCTGGTCATTGGCAATGATGTCGCAGCGATCTTCGCGGAAGATACCCACGCACGAGTACGTGGTACCCAGATCGATACCGACGGCGGGAGCCATGGTGTGTTGTGGGTGTATATGTGAGGAATGAAGAAGTGTGGTAGAAAGGAAAAGGACCCAATCAAATGAGTTGTCAAGAGATGCGGTGCGGGAAGGAGGAGGGCGTGGTTGTGGGAGGAAGAGTGTGTGATGTGATGGGGGAGAGAAGCTTTCTGCCGAGAGTGTCGGTAAAGAAGGGATCTAAATACAAGGTGGTGGCAGGCTTCGATGTGCTTCTACACTATTCCAAGGGAGCCCACCAGAATTTTGCAGGGGTTACAGGAAGGCTCTGGCAACCGCACGAAGGCACCAGGTGCTGGTGGAATGAATCTTGTGGCGAAGGGCTTGCGCCTACCTTGTTTCTTCTGGAGAGCCTTTTCTTCCTGCTCCTTTTCTCGCCTTTTCTTGTGAGGGTGAAGCCTCTCGCTTCCGGGCGAATCTTCCATTGATGTCATGGAGATGGCTCCCGAATATTCCACGGCGGGTCCTTGCAGCATGTTCCCGGGACCTGCTGCGACTCGCAAGGCGCTGCCGTCGGCGAGTAGCGCATACAAGCCCCACCCGGGCCCAGCTCGCTGCCCCTCTTTTCCCTCTTTCCAGCACACGGTTGCCCCTCACTCCAGAGCTCGTCACCGAAAGCGGTCCAGATCAAATGCCTCTTCCGCTACGCCTTGCTGGGCGAGCCCATCAGAAGAAGAGGTGCGCACTGTAATTACAGAGCCGCCAAAGACATTCCTGGGCCGGCAGTAAGGCAGTACGTTATGTAATAGATGATGCGTGCCTCACCACACGCACGAATGAAAGCCTCCAAGGCAAACTCTTGAACAAAGCTGGAATGCTTCCACTTTGCGCCCCCATAACGAAAGGCTGGCCAGGCAACAGGCAACCAACAGGCTGCCAAAGTCGCCACCAGACCGCTCTCTCGCCTACAGGTGCGTGGCTTTTGGGCTCAGACTTTTCCTACAGTTGCGGCGCGAATTACGGAGTATACGTACTTCTTTTATACTGTACGTACTAAGGTACCTTACTTTTAGCTGCACTGCAGCTCGAGTGGGTGCTCTGACAAAAAGGCTCAATAAGGTGACCATCCATCCACAAGAGAATTTTTCTCATGACCAGTGGCCATTGGTGTATATCAAAATCGCCTAGTTACTTGGTATGCTTTCTTCTTCCAATTCACTCTGCTTGTCCCTCCACCCTCCAATCCTCCAAGGCTCCTTCACGACCAACTCCTCCCTGGCGGGCTTGGTCGCTTACACCGCGGTGGGCCTTGGCTTGGCCTCAATTCTGCCGTGCGAGCTCTCCAGTCTTTGATCCTCCTCTGTATCCTTGGTATCTTTCCACCGGCTCCAGAGGTGGGTTTTCTCATAGACAGCACCTAGGCCGTCGCCGTCTTCGTCGGCGAGTTTGACGTTGCCGAGGAAGAAACATGAGATCCACGACTATACGTCAATGTTAGTCCTATAGCAGTGCTCAGGGCGGGATGCCTTGCGGACAAACCATAACCATCAAGGGGGTAATGGCAACGAAAGCCCACACGACACCCATCTGAGTTTGATCATCAGCCACGTTTCTCAACGCCGCTGCACTGGCCTTCGTTCCCTCACCTTGGCCTTGTAAATGGCCTGTTCCCTGGTGCCAACCGGCTGATCCCGCAGCCTTGAGAAGTCGCCGTCTTTCGCATCGAGTTCTGAAATGTTATTGAAGATGGAAGACATAATCGTCAAGCCAATAGTCCCTCCAAGTGGAATGGCAACGGCCATCAACCCGATGATGGAAGCTCGATGTGCCTTGAACATGCCAATGCCGTGCAACGGAGCCACCATGAATCGGAGACCCATGCCAGCACCAACCATTGCCATCATGCCAAAGATGGGCGGCAATTGTTCCTTGAACAGGGCCCAAGTGAGGACCCCTATGCCTATGGCTTCGATCATTGTGCCGAGGAAGAGCGGAGGGAATGTCATTCTCGGCCAGCGATTACACATCAAGGCACTCAGATAAACACCAACTGCAAGCGTTCAAGTCAGCACTGACTAGAATGGCAACGCTGTTGGTGCTCCATCGTACTTCCCATGCCTGGCGTAAAGAAAAGAATCTGAAGGCCTGCTTTGTCCGAGCTGTTCCCCTAAAACCCGCATGAGCCGATGTTGGGTTTAGCCCCGGAGATGATGCCTTACCTTGACGGCAATGAAATAGACATTACAAAAGTAAAGCACCTGCATCCATGTTAGAGGGTGTGGGTATAATCTTGGGCGGAGGACAATGGCAAGAGCTCACGGCAAACGTCGCTATGCCTGTGGCACATTCCGTATAAAAGATCAATCCAATGTCACGGCTGGTAAGGAGAGCCCACGGGATCATGGGCCGTTGGCGCGTCATCTTCTTGGACAAGACCCGACCCGGGGCAAGCATCCGCTCCCAGACGAAGAAACCTGCCACGAGCAAGCACCCGATGAGTAGCGAAGAGATAACGGCGGCAGACTTCCACGGGTACGTCACGCCGCCCCACGTCAGGGCCAAGATGAGGAGGCCCAGGCCCATGAGGAACAAAGCTTGCCCTCCCACATCGACGGTTTTGAGACGCGCGGCAATCTTGGTAACTTGCCCCGTCTCGGCTGTTTCATCGAGCTCGGGGACGGGCTGCGGCCCAAGAAGATCCTTGCGCAGTATGGTAAAGATGGCGAGTAGTGCAACAGCCCCCACGGGTAAGTTGATAGCAAAACACCAACGCCAGTTGGCTTTTGTAAGGTAGCCACCGATGACGGGACCCACGGCGTAGGACACGCCTCCGACAAGGGCAAATATGGCCCAGTTCTTTGCGTTTTCCTGCAGCGTCACACGGTCGGCGAGGATGGTGCGGACGACAACGTTGAGTCCCGCGGAAGCCACGCCCTGGAATGCGCGTCCCAGGAGCAAAAGCCCATACACGTTTGTCGGCGCAGCAGTGCATATGGTGCTGCCAACGAGCATGAGCAAGACGGCAGCGACGATGGCGGCATATCGACCAAAGATGTCGGCCATCTGGGCCCAGAAAGGGATGAAGGCAGCCGAGGTGAGGTTGAAGGCAGAGACGATCCAATTTTGCTGCGAAACCTTGTCAAAGTCGCTGGCAATCCAGGGCAACGCGCTTGCGATGCTGTAGGCAAGAATTAGATTCATTCATGTTGTGTGCGAGGATAGAAACCCGTACATGGTGGCATCGAGCGCCTGGAGTGCATAAGGCCAGACCAGGCCGAACACCATCTTCCACCTGTACTTTCTCCTCGCTCTCCTAACGTCGGGGGTGGCCAGAGGCTCAGATCCAAGACAGGATTCGGGCAGCATTGGCGGCGAAGTTGAGTCTCTCGTTGGACTCGAAGGGGTAGTGGACAGGTGATTCGCCATGACTTGCTGCAAATTGCAAAATATGGAATCTCGTGACCACGTTGCTCTCGGCATGTCAAGTCGGGATCAGTAGCAGGGTGTTTGGAATACCAGGAGTACAGAGACGTGGGCAGCGACGTGTAAATAGGCTTTGGCGTCGACGCCGATCTAAGAGGCTGCCAGGGCGTTTGTAGCAATGATGACGGCTTACTGGGGGGCACATTGAGGCGCAACGCTGGGCGCAGGCGATGATGCCGGCGGCATGGGATGAACATGGGGCTTGAAACCGAGAGTCGGAAGACGAGGGCAAGGGGGGGATAGTTGAGCCGGCGGCCAAGGGCAGTCACTGATTGGTCGTGGTTGGGGATGGCGAGGCTGTGCGCTGACATGAATTACGTACTTTGTAATGCTGGGTAGATCCAGTCTGGTACCTACCTAGGTATTTACCTACCTAGGTACCTAGGTAGGTAAGGTACTGAAAAGACGCAGAAGAGGACGAAGATGATTACGGGCCCAAGCCGTGGGCGCGGGCACCAGCCTTAAGGGTGTTAAACTAGTCATATTATCCTCTAACAAAACTGGAGGCACCTCCGTTAGAGATGACTGGTTGGTATTGTGGTATATATTTCTCTACAAAGGGCTCGTGCCGCTCAGACTGACTAAGCTAGGCTGGCCCAATCAGGGGCTGCACTCAACAATTACCTACAGTACGTAGGTACCTACCTAGGTATCTACCTTGCCTTGTCTTGATGCAGATAGCATAACACACGGTTAGGTAATCAAGCAATATTCAGCAAGACGAAGAATCCAAAGGAAAGCCCAGTTTCGAACAGGGAGTCGTCTCTCTGCACCGCCATCTCTCCCGTCTTGGAGACCTGTGAGCTCCCGTTGCGGTCACCCTTCCTGAAAGACAACACGGATAAAAACAGGCACATTTCTGCAGCGTACATCTCTTTGATGCTCTACGTTGACTTGGCCGAGGAAAAAGTTGCTCGACCAAGAAATCTAAAGCAGAAAACCCCCGCATAATTATAGGCTTGCCCACGGGTCCCACGGCCAAGCTTCCCTTTGTCCGAGGCGTTTAAAGCCTCCGTCTGGCACGGCTGGCGTGCACCCATCCATACACATACAGTACAGTACACTCACTCACTCACATACATATACCGTCAGCTCTCGCCCACATGGGACCATCACCACCACCACTCCGTCCATGTGAGCACGTCCAGACTGACCTCGTCCTTGCCTCTTCGGACGCCGACCCCCATCTTCTGGACCCCACGCTCTCGCAACAACACGGGCTTGCCTTGCTTTTGATGGTGAGTTGTCGGCTCCTACGTCTCTCCCATCCATCTTCCTTGTCCTCCTGCCTCTTCCAGCCTCCCAAACCACCACGGAAAGCCGCCCTGGTTACACGCCTCTCATCTGCAACATCTCCTTTGGCCCGCCCACTAATTACCCCGGATCCGCATCCCACCTCTCCTCTTCCTCCATCGACCCGGCTTTCCAGCCAGACCCACTAGGCGCTCCGGAATGATCCAGAGAGGTAGTTGGATGCGGGGGAGCTCCACTCGACAAATCCGTCATCTTGTAGCGGCTTGTGACAACCGCCTCCCGGTACCTGCGTTGCTTGCCTTCCATGTCCGACTTAAAAATCGCCGGCCTCGCTTCACCCTCCCCTCTGCCTGTCCTTTGCCTGTCCTTTGCCTGTTCTCCTTGAATCCCCTGCTTGTACAGTCGATTCCATACCCGCCAGGGCCCCGCCGGTGATGCCAGCCTACTGCCTCCAAGACTGCCACTACTTCTACCGCACCGCCCTGCGCGGCCTCAGCATCAGCACAAGCGTCTCGCCGCTCTATTCTTGAGCCACCGCTGACACAATGACTGCCAAAGCCCGCGTCTTCAATCATTCAGACTCGTTGGCAGAGAAGCTTGCCGAGCTGCCCGCCCTGCCGACTACCCCCCGCACTCTTCCGCCCCAAGGGCCCGGCCATCTGACTTGTGCTTACACCCGAGTCCCCATGGCTACCTACAGGGCAAAGGAAGAGACGGCTGGAATTACCTTTGCGGCTCAGGACAAACTCCCCAAGCTGCCCATTCCGGATCTGGAGAGCACCTGCAAAAAGTACATCGAGGCCCTGGAGCCACTGCAAAACCCTCGAGAACGTGCAGAGACGCGACATGCTGTCCATGAGTTTCTCAAGGCCGATGGGCCCGATCTGCAGGAGAAGCTCAAGAGATATGCCCATGACAAGACGAGCTACATCGAGCAGTTCTGTACGTCGTGCCATTTCCCTATCCGGGTTCCGGCCTCATGATTGTCCAGACTGACGTTGGCCAGGGTACGACTCGTACCTCAACTTTGACAACTCCGTCGTGCTCAACCTGAATCCTTTCTTCCTCCTCGAGGACGACCCAACGCCCGCGCGCAACAACCAGGTCACCCGGGCGGCATCCCTGGTTGTGTCGGCCCTCGAGTTCATCAGAGCCGTGCGAAAAGAGGAGCTCCCGCCAGACACCTTCAAAGGCACCCCCCTGTGCATGTACCAGGTTTCGCGCCTCTTCGGCACGGCCCGAGTCCCGACGGAGAATGGCTGCCAGATTGTGCAGGACCCCGAGTCCCAGCACATGGTCGTCATCTGCCACGGCCAGCTCTACTGGTTCGACGTCTTGGACGCCAACTCGGATGTCATCATGACCGAGAGGGACATCGCCATCAACTTACAGACCGTCATCGAGGACGCCGCCCAGACGCCGATCCAGGACGCCGCCAAGGGCGCGCTGGGTGTGCTGAGCACCGAGAATCGCAAAGTGTGGTCCGGTCTCCGAGACGTCTTGACCAGGGTTCCCGGGTCGAACAATGCCGACTGTCTGAGCATCGTCGACTCGGCTCTCTTTGCCCTCTGCCTCGACTACACCGAGCCGCTCGACGCCGCCGCTCTCTGCCAAAATATGCTTTGCGGCACCAGCGAGGTCAAGAACGGCGTCCAGATAGGCACTTGCACGAATCGATGGTATGACAAGATGCAGATCATAGTCTGCAAGAACGGCAGCGCTGGCATCAACTTCGAGCACACGGGCGTCGACGGACACACTGTTCTGCGCTTTGCCAGCGACGTGTATACCGACACGATCCTGCGTTTCGCTCGCTCCATCAACGGCCAGGCCCCGACCCTCTGGACATCCACGAGCCCGGACCCGTCCAAGAGAGGGCTCGAGAGCTTTGGCGACGTCAACACGACCCCGCGCAAGCTCGAGTGGGATATGATTCCCGAGCTGTCCATAGCCGTCCGGTTTGCCGAGACGAGGCTGGCAGATCTCATCGAGCAAAACGAATTCCAGTGCCTCGACTTTGGCTCCTACGGGAAGAACTTCATCACTGCCATGGGCTTCTCCCCGGATGCCTTTGTGCAGATGGCGTTCCAGGCTGCCTACTACGGCCTCTACGGGCGAGTCGAATGCACCTATGAACCAGCCATGACCAAGGTCTTCCTGCATGGGCGCACCGAAGCCGTCCGAACCGTTTCGCCAGAGTCGGTCGACTTTGTGCAGACCTTCTGGGCCGACTCTCCCCTTGAGAAAAAGACTGAAGCCCTAAAGCGAGCCTGTCAAAAGCACGTCGGCAGAACCAGAGACTGCGCAAAGGCTCAGGGCTGCGACCGACACCTATATGCCCTGCTCTGCGTCTGGCAGAAGTATGTCGACGAAGACATGGACAGTGGCGTGAGCAGTGTCGGTCAGTCCAGCTCCATCGATGGATACTCGCCGCCAGGAAGCCCCGAGAAAGAATCTGCCGGGCCCATGGACGGTGTGGCAGCTGGACACGGCCGTGAGCGCGGCAATAGCACCAACTCTCGGCCCCGAGACAACCATCCTCTGCCGTTTATCTTTGCCGATTCAGGGTGGGACAGGCTTAACACGACAGTCTTGTCCACGTCCAACTGCGGCAACCCGTCTTTGCGTCACTTTGGCTTCGGTCCCACGTCCGGTGACGGCTTTGGCATCGGATACATCATCAAGGACGAGTCCATTTCGATTTGCGTATCGAGCAAGCACCGCCAGACGAAACGCTTCGTCGATACGCTGGAGAGCTATCTGTTGGAGGTTCGGCGTATCCTGCGCATTACAAACCGTAACTCGTTTACGGCAAAGTCTTCTCGGGCCCGCGAGGCATCCCGGTCGCAGCCCGTGAGCAGGCTGAAATCGAGGGGGCGTCTCATCACCAATTCTGAGCCGGTCAAGATTCCGCGATCCAATGACGCGGCATCTATGGCCGAGGATAGCGCCACGGTGAGCGATGACGATGAGCTCGGTGGATGTAAGCGCCCAATCTCCTCGCGTCCTGCTTGGTGTAATCTTGTTTCCTATGCATCACGAAACGTGCTGACCAATATGCCATTTGTTAGACGGCTTCTTCGACGCCGGAATGCTTCTCCAAGCACTCAAGGCTCGGGAAAAGGGAACGGACATGGCCGAATCCAAGGTCTCGGAACGGGCCGCCATGTATGCGAGGCGTAGAGACATCGGTAAGAAGTTGCGGCTGATTACAGAATGACGTGGACAGGGCCATGGGGGCGATTGCCAGGCTGCATGCATTCCAACAGGATACTGGTCTGCGTGATGCGTGACGGGTTATTTTTTACATTGGAATACAATTACATACAAAGATATGCATCAAGAGGGCACTTGTGTACATTTCGAAGTCGTTTACTTCCTGCCGTTAAACGACATGCTCGTGCTAGTTTTGAAAAATTCGGGCCGCCACGGATGAGTGGCGGCCTGGCGTCTGGTGCGGCAAAGAAAGGCTTGCCTCGACAGCATAGAAGAGGGAAGGGGAGAGGAGATCAAAGCGAGGAGAGGATGCACATGGGCACACGCGGGGCACGCGCGTCGTCACGTGACCCCGGCATCCGTCCTGGATGACCTTTAGGGTAGGATCGCTGTCGCAATTCAAGCATGATCTGGTTGATGAATTTGTGCTCTTGAGCTTGATGGGCTCAATTGACGCCCCGTGCGAGATTTCTACAACCTCGAGTGTGGAGAGAGGAGGTTGGGAGGTGACGACGCACCCCCGACAATCCGCGACGGAGTTGAGAGGCCGAAACGCATCCTGCCGCTCTCCATCGCAATGCATCGCCGTTTCCTGCAGCGGGCCCTGGACGATCACAGCTCACCTCCGCACCACCACCCACGCACCGCGTCCCGCCATCCGCCGCTGTCGGGCCGGCATCCATGACCGACCTCGTCCGCATCCTCCCCTCCTTCCCGGTCGCCCCCTTCGCCGCGCTCCTCGCCACCATCGAGCAGCACGCCCTGACCACCACGGACCTCCTCGCCCTCCACCCGGCCGACATTGCCAAGCAGACGCACCTGTCGCTGCTCGACCTCAAGCGCCTCATTGCAGCCGTCCAGGCCTCGTTGTCCGACGACCTCGTTCCGGAGAAGCTCCTCCTCGAGGCCTCGCCGCCGCCAAACCCTGCCTCGTCGGCAGCCGACACCACCCCGGAAGACACGCGCCCCCCCCGCCCCACGGCCACGACCCGGGACGTGTCGGCCGTCGCCTTCATCAGCACGCTCGACCATGGCCTCGACGCCGCGCTGGGGGGCGGCGTGCCCGTTGGCTGCATCACCGAGTTCGCCGGCGAGAGCGGCGCCGGCAAGACGCAGCTGCTGCTCTCGCTCTGCCTCGCCGTGCAGCTGCCGCCCCCGCGCGGGCCCCGCAAGCAGGCCGTCTACATCTCCACCGAGTCGGGCCTCGCCACGCAGCGCCTCAAGCAGATGATGGCCTCCAACCCCGTCCTGGCCGCCGTCGACGACCCGCCTTCGCTCGACAACATCTTCATCACCCTCACGCCCGACCTCGAGTCCCAGGAACACATCCTCGAGTACCAGGTGCCCGTCCTGCTGTCGAGGCATCGCATCGGCTTGCTCGTCATCGACTCCGTGGCGGCAAACTACCGCGCCGAGTTTGAGCGCCGCGGCTCCCACGGCTCTAACATGGCCGCTCGGAGCGCCGAGCTCGTACGCCTGGGGTCTCTGCTACGAGACCTCGCGCGGAGACACGGCATTGCCGTCGTTGTGGCCAACCAAGTCGCCGACCGCTTCTCCCTACCCCCCGCGATCCGCAGTATCCCACCTCGAGGCATCCCGGCCGGCACCCAGGAGACACCATTGGCCTCGCGGAGCGCTGGTCCCGCGACCTCCCTCGCGAGCACGCCCTCATCCCCCTCACCCTTCCCCCCCTTCCCGGAAGACGTCCCCCCCGCGCCGCCGGCTCTTCGTCTCGACCACCAGCAACGCTGGTTCACCGGCTGGGGCGACGACCCGCACGCCTCCGACCCCCCCAAGACGCCGAGCCTGGGCCTGGTCTGGTCCACCCAGATCGCATGCCGTGTTGCGCTGCTCAAGCGACCCGTCTACGGGCGACCCCGGAGGATCGCCGCGCCCCTCGACGCCGATGACGACGACGTGGATGCCGCGGCGCCCACTCTCAAGTCCTGGAGGAGGTGGATGAAGGTGGTGTTTGCGCCGCACGTCGGTGCTTCCGGGCAAGGCGTGGATGGTTCCACCGAGTTCGAGGTCACTACGGGAGGGCTCACGGCCGTCAAAGCAAAGACCGCCAAGTCTAGCTAGTGGACGCATTCACGAATCCAACAGGGCGGATGAAGACCCGCCAGTTGGTAGACCTACTGACATCCAACATGCTGCAAGGCCACGGCCACTGCGGGCCACCCCGAACATACACGTGCAGGACAGAAGTGATGTAGATGCAATTTGTTTATCAAGGCACCGTCTTGACCCAGGTATCATGCCCGCTCCCCCTTCCGCGTCAGAAAGCCTCCCTACACCCATTACTCTACGCCGCATCTCATCTCCCGTGCCGCGGCCAATCATTTCGGATGGGGAAACTCATCCTCCAGCTGGAGACGCACTCCGACGTTCATGCTGATGAGTTCCTGCACCAGCAGCTTTGCCGCATAGGGCATCGACATCTTGGTCACCTCCCTTGTGCTCTTACAGGTGTGGCAGTAGCCCTTGTATCCGAACAGCCCGCACTGCTGGCAAATGTCGATCTCGACGCCGTCGGAGCTGATCATGAGCCGCTCCAGCAGGAGCTGAGAGGCACCGTACGCGATCAGGCAGTCGCGCTCCATTTCCCCCAGTCGGAGACCGCCGTCCCTGGAGCGACCCTCGGTCGGCTGCCGTGTGAGGATGGCCCTGGGCCCGCGCGACCGGGAGTGCATCTTGTCCTGGACCATGTGCTTCAGGCGCTGATAGTAGATGGGGCCGTTGAAAATGTAGGCCTCCAACGGCTCCCCAGTCAGGCCAGAGGTGAAGTAGTCCTTGCCCTCCCACGAGAAGCCGTGATTGAGGAGGACCTGGCTCATCTCCTCGACCGGATGCGACCGGAACGCATCCCCGAAACCGTAGTCTTTGCGGCCGTCTAGAATCGAGGCTTTGCCTGTCAGGCATTCAAGTAGCTTGCCGACTGTCATTCGCGAGGGGAAACCGTGAGGATTCATGATAATGTCTGGTGTCAGGCCGTTGTCGGCAAATGGCATGTCCTCCTGGTCGACAATAATGCCAACCACGCCCTTTTGACCGTGACGGGACGAGAACTTGTCCCCAAGCTCCGGGCGGCGTGTCTGTCGTGTCTGGACCTTGATGACGGTCGTGTCCTTCTCGGTCTGAGAAATCATGACCTTGTCTATGTAGGCAGGATCGGGTATTCGATATGAGATCGCAGAGTCGCGATACTCGCTCGGCCCGCGGTCCATGCCTATACCTGTCGTCGTTAGGTCCAGCGGTGTTTCCTTCTTCACCATGACTTCCCCAGACTTGACTCTGTAGCCGACCGTTGCGAGACCATCGTCATCTAGAGCCTCGTACTTCTCTTGACGATGCTTGGTGTTGCCCGAGATCTCATTGAGGGGGTCGCCGATTCGTTCTCTCCTGCCATTGGGGTACTTTTGAAGCTCCGTTGTGTATTTTCTGAACACTTGACACCGCCCAAAGCCCCTGTCGATTGAGGCTTTGTTCAGCACGAGGGCGTCTTCGATATCGTAGCCAGAGTACGACATGACCACCACGGTGGCATTTTGCCCTGCCGGGAGCTTGTCGTAGTGAATAAGCTGAATCGTCTTGGTAATGACCATTGGCCGTTGCGGGTAGACCAAGGTGTACAGAAGAGTATCGATTCTGTTGAACTGATTGTGTGCAATCGCCCCAATGGCTTGCTTACCCATGGCACACTGGTACGTGTTTCTGGGTGATTGATTGTGATGCGGGAAAGGGATCAGGCCTGCCACGGCTCCTAGAAGAGTGAACGGCTCAATTTCCAAGTGCGTCGTGCTCTTGGTGATCTGATGCTCGTAGAGGGTGACGAGTGCATCGTTTTCCTCGTTGACGTCGAGATACTCGACGATGCCATTGGTCAGAAAGTCATCAAACGTTACTTTTCCGAGCTGCAACAGCTTGAGGTGCTCGGCCTTGAGCTTCTGCTGCCCGTTCTTGACGATGATGTACGGCCGACAAATCCGGCCCTCATCCGTTGCGATATGCACCGCGTTGAAATGTGAGTTGATGTTGATGCTAACAAAGGGTGATATCCAGCCCCGGCGACGCATCGTGCGGAACCTCGACGCAAATCTCTTGGGATACCTTGTCAGGGCAAACGGCGTGCCGTTAACGTGTATAGTGTAGGAACCCTGGCGATGCATCTCGGCACCGGAAAAGTTTCTGATGGGCTCGACCCCGGTGTCGAGCGTGAATATCCACCTCTTGATGGGACCCTCTTCAATGTTTGTGGTGATGTGCGTCATCAACGCAAGGTTCTTGACGAGACCGCAGGCTTCACCTTCGGGGGTGTCAGAGGGACAGAGCATGCCCCACTGCGACGGCTGGAGAGCTCGGGGGCCAGATACCTTTCGCGTCTTCTCGAACTGGCTGTTTATTCTTGTCATCATACCGAGAGCACTGATGTAGCTGAGACGACTCAGAACATGCGTGACGCCGGCTCTGTTCATGTTGAAACGTTTGACACTCCAATTTCCCGTCTGGATGGCACGATTGATGCCCAATCCGATGTTATTAGCATGATTACTGATCATGTGGACGGCATCGAGGGGAACGGCACGGTTGTTCTTCTTCAGGAACTTGTCAATGGACATCTTGACCTCGCCCATGAAGCGTTTGAACAAATCTTCGAAGAGGAGCGATAGGAGCTGTCCTGCCAGTTCCAGACGCTTGTTTCCCACAAAATCTCGGTCGTCGACCAGCTTTGGGTCCTGAGAAGCCATGAGAACTCGCCGAGTCATCATGGCGACGTAGATGGCCTTGGGATAAAAGTCGAGCCCCTCGATCGGGACATGCGCTATGACCAAGTTGGCGAGGGCATCGAGTCCCTCCTCGACGCTGTTTCTACGGACTTGGGGCCCAAACTGGCCCTTTCGCGAGCCCATCTTGACCCTTGAGCCGATGTACTCGAGGGCCTGGTGCTGCGTAAAGACGCCGACTTTGGTCGCCTCGTCAAAGTTGATGAGAAACTCGTCTTGATATCTTCCGTCGGAGCCGGCAACCAACTGCATGATCTCGTAGTCGGAGAGACCGCCGAGCGCCTTGAGCACGATGACGATGGGTATTCCTTCCACGAGTACGTTGTGGGTGAGAACGATGCGGTCCTTCTTCAACGTAACGTACGTCTTGGACTTTCGCTCGTGGGTGGAACTGGTGACGGAAGCCGAGATGATATTGTTCTTCTCATCGGCCTCGACAATGACACGATTCTTGCTGAGTTGTTCCTGAATCAAGATGACCTTTTCCGTGCCGTTGATGATGAAGTAGCCGCCGGGATCCAAGGGACACTCGTTCATCGCCTCCATCTGCGCATTGGTGGCGCCACTCAGCCGGCATTTGCAGCTCTTGAGCATCACCGGCATGCGCCCCAGAGGCACGCCCTTGCGGACAATCTTTTGCTTGTCGCGGATGTACGCAATGTCCACCAAGATGGGGGCGGCATAGGCCATGTCACGCAGCCGGCACTCCATCGGAGTGACCTCGGTGCGGGACTTGGCATCGTTGTAGTCTTGTCGGCGCGGCCGTTCGACACGGATATCGGTGAACCTGGGCAGGACGGTTAGGCCATCCCCAGACGTGACGAACGGGCTGTAACAAACTCTAGCCAGAAATTGCTGTCGACATCGCTGCGGATGGTGCGGTTGGTGCGCACAATGTCCTTGATTTCGTGCTCAACGAAGAAGTTGTACGAGTCAATGTGCCTTTGTTCAGGTCAGCATGCGATCGGAGAGGGCAAGGTCGAGGGAAAGTGTGCGCGCACTGTTTGACGAGGCCTTGACAAAGTTAGAGCAAGCCGCGAGTCGCCGGATGCAGAGAGGAAAACTCACCCTTGACCTTGAGGAAGGCGGGCAGCAGCTGGAACTTGTCTTCCTTGGTGGACACGGGATCCGTGAGCTTCTTGCCGTTGTAGAATGGCTCCAGGAGGGCCTCGAAGCCGTCGTCTGCCAGCGACATATTGAAAGTCACCGCAATAGAGGCATCTGGGCGTTGGCGCACCGAGATATCGTCACGGGCTCGGTCTGACGATGGTGGCCTGGAAAAAAGTTCCGTCTACCAGAAGACAGACTTGTTGGTGTTGCTGCCCCGCGAGGCTTGGTGGGGGACGAGTGGCGGGGCGTGGCTGGTGTCAGGGCCCGATAACGATAACGGTCCATGTCGTGCGAAATGCCGTCTCGCCTAGGTATGATCAACAGCCAATCTGCTCTGATGAAGGAATGATTTGTTTTACTGTCTTTAGTGTGAGAGGGTGTGCTGAAGGCCTACTCGTACTTGCCATGTCTCAATTTGAAAGTCTGCGCTTGATAGCGACAAAGCATCATCCGCGCATGACGGCTTAACCAAGCGTCATGCCCCATCACGGCCATCATCTTCTACAAGAGACGCCAGCCATGACAGGAACCACATGAAACAAGAAAAACGGTCGGGCCGCTGTCTCGTAGCCAGCGTCCCCTTTCGGCTTGCAGGGAGAGGGGGGAGAGGGGGGAGAGTTGAGCAACCCCAGACTGATGCGTTGGCGGATTGGAGGCATAGCTGCATGTACTGACTGTGTAAGTAGATGCTCGGCGGCAACGAGAGCGGCGCGGCATCCGCTCCAAACGGCAACCCGGGAAGCCAATCAATCTACGGATAGCAGACTGCCTACCATGGAACCTAATGTTTACTGTACAGTACCTAAAACCCACCTGTCGTATCGTCCGTCTCATGTGCCATGGCTTGCAGACCGTTCTGTTGCGAGCAAGCGGATATATCCCGAGGCTCCACCAGCCGCACCCAAAGCTTACGGTCGTCAACTCGACGATTATAGCGAGGCCTCAACCAGGTTGGGTCTCGTGGGAACGTCTGGTCGACAACCAGCTGATTGGTGCCCTGGCTAAGAATAGGCTGGTGGGATCCTTCAATAGGACGTCGTGGGACCGCAAAACAAACCGAAGCTGGGGAACGTGGCGTTGGCAGTGGACAGTGAGGGTGATGTTGACTTTCCTCAAAACCCTCCCCCACATTGGTCGTCGGCCAACTTTGACGATAGCTCCACTCAAGGCGAGCCAACTTTGCAAAAGTCGGTGAGAAAGCTTGGCCAGCGGATCAGCCGTTGGGCGCAGCAAGGTGTAAGCATGTACGTATGTCGGGAGTGGGTGAAGAAGGCGATGCCTTGCATCCAGTTGACCCCAGGCAAGTCTCGGGGGCTACGTGTCGTGGTGCAAGGGCAGAACTGAATACCCCGTACCTACCCTGCCTACTGTACAGAGTACTGTACCTATCGTTTGGGGTTCACTCTCTCCAGATCTTGCACGGTACGGTACGAGTGCTATACCCAGGCAGCATGTACATGGGTGGGCTCCAGCCCGCAGCCGCGACGTGGCCCTGGGTGCGGGACACCGGACACAGCATACGGAGCATATGCGGCCGTGATGCGACGAACGAAAATGGAGCGAGGTGCCATGCGGGGAGGCGAGGCGGGGGAGATTTTCGGGTTCCAAAATGCCTCGCCGTATGTACATCCGTAGAGCATCCAAGGGCTGGCTGGCCGAGACTGCAAAGAAAAGCAGGCTAGGCTCGCCGGTCCGTAGGAATGACGTTGTCCATGTCAGTTCACGATGTTTTCCCAGTCCAGCAAGACCTCCGGCCAGGATCCGGGCGCGCAGCCATCAGACGAGGCCTGGCGCACCCGTCCTAGCACCAAGAAAGGCGCCCAATAAGGAAGAGCGCTGGCCGCGTGGGTGAAGAGAGAGGACTTGTCGAACCAAGTGTCAGCCGGTTGTGGTGGGGAGGGATCCGTAACGGGAAGAAGAGGTCGCGGGTCGCGAGTCTTGTCAGACCTTGTCAGCCTTTACATGCAGGAATGGCTAGACTCGGTCTGCAGACAGGAAGAGCAAAAGCACAAACGGGGGAGAGCAGTGAGTGATTGGGAAGGCAAGCTTCTTTTGGGTGAGCATTCAGTGGACGTGCTTGGATGAACTCGGTAGTGCCGTGCCCGTTGGATTGGTCGCGTCTCCCTCTGTGCTGCATGCATGCACGCAGTCAATACTGTCAAATATTGCTCTGCGATTGGCGACTTGCCCCTCAGCAGCAGCGTCCAGGGCCTCCCGACGGCGAGGCTTGGCAATGTGACGTGCGATTTGCCATCGGTCCGTCAGCCCCTCGTCGTGACGCCATACGGTTGCGAGCGAGATCCTGTATCGGCCCTGTGGGCTGTGGGGGTGTAGGCATGCGGCTCCGTTTTTTGAGTTTGTGCCGACGGCAGATGAGTCCATCACGGCCCTTGCCCTTGGGGAAAGAGGCAGATGTCGACAAAGGTCCAATGACCAAGCCGATGCGTGATGAAAAACCGAGCTTCTCTCAAGCATCGGCTCGCCGTGTCAAGTTCCAGCTATACCTCTTACAGTGCACGCGCGGGCCGGCAGTGTTGCCGTAGGTACTGTATCCGTACTCCGTACAGCGAGCGGGAGCCCTTATCGGGCTTGACGCTATGCCACTTTGTGCCAGCTTCCCCCAACAACTTCCGAGGCAGGTGGCTCAGTGCTAACTCACAGGAGATGCTCGAGGTAACACACTCTGGACTGTACTCTGTACTGTACCTGTCATCTGAGCACTCCGCACAGCACGCGATGAGAAGCCACTCATCACCGCAGATGAGTCGACTTTGGCCGACTCCCTCTGGCACACCGGGTAGAGTTCCTTGTCGACACTCTCGAGTGCCAAGCAGGACATGCAGGGACCTCGACAAACCGCAGGGCGCCGCGAACGAGTGGAGCTGCCAGACGACACCAGACAAAACGTACCGTACCGGCGCAAAGTGGGCTGTGGATACTTGGGCTCTCTCTCGTGCCCCTCTCGCTCTTCTACTGTAATTTGCATCTTTTATTTTCTTATTTTTTTGCGCCCAGAAAATAATAAACCACCTCTGGTGGCAATTATGTACAGTACGGGCCAAGCCCCAAAGCCCGACGCCGACGAGCTACAGGCTGGCGCTCGATTCGGTGGTTGGAGGCTGTATGTTGCCGCCACCGTCTACCCTCGTCCGCGTAGCATGAAGGGTAAATCCGACCGCTCTGTGCTTGCTATTTGAGCGCAGCCCCATCCGTGAATGACCTACTTTCTACTTTCTATTAGTGTTTCGGATCAACGAAACTCGGGCGGCATCTTCAGCTTCAGCCCGGCAGAAAAAGGTTGCGGGCGCTACCGAGTCCCTCGCCGGCTTCAGACCTCCCGACGGCCCTGTTAGGCGGTACCTCGTACGGACCTCCGCCTGCCAGACCAGGTAAGGTACCGATGCACACAATAAGGCAGCCACGCTCCTAGGCGATCTGCCAAGGCCAATGGAAAGTATCTGCACCGTGCCCCGAGGCGCCCAGAATGACTGCAATATGCTGTGTAAGCCACAGACGTACATGTGCACTGTACTGTATGCGCGAGAGGCATGTTGGCCGGCGACTACTTGTAGTAGGTAGTGATAATTTGGAACCCAAGGTGTGCTTGCGTACTCGGCAAACACTTGGTCACCGTAGGTACGCTGTTGCTAAAAGCAAATCACGGATAGGAGCTGGCAGGTGGTGCGCGTGTAGGAAAAGGTGGTTTATGCAATGGCATGCCTGATAGGCCGGCCCTTTGATTTGCTCCATCGCCTTGTACGGGTTACTCGGGAGTTTGTGCGAGGCGTACGAAGTAATAAATACCGGGCTCTTCTGCGTGGCTTCAGCATTTGGAACAAGTTACGAAGTACATCTACGTCGACATCCGTGCCTAGCCCGGCGCCAGCGGCAACCGGCAGGCCAGGCACTTCACCAGTGGGCGGCATGGCGGCATCCAAACACCAAGGGGCCCCAGCAGGAGGGATCCTCGTTGCTAGCACTTTTGCAACTTGTGAAAAAGGGAAAAAAGCCTGGCGCCACAAATCAGCAACACGCGTTGAGGTGGGCGGGCATTGTCTGTCCATGCTCATTCATCCCCCCGGCACATGCCATACCTCCTGGCAGATGAGAAAGTACCCGCGTCTTTTCTGCTGCGCCCGCAAGATTGCCCGGGATCGTGGCGGGTGTGCAGGTACTTCCCGATAGACGGCCAGGTACTCGCGATACTTGGTACATACCTACCTAGGTAAAATGCTCACACTCTCTCCCGCCCCCACCTCGCTGGGCCCCAAGGCCGATGGGCTCCCAGGCGGGCGGCTACAGGCCCATCTGAACCCTGTCGTCGTCTTGTCCCCGTCCCGTCACCCCTCTGGCCCTCTCTTTGTGCCGTGCTCGGCTACTGCTCGCCATTGTCCGCGTCTTTTGTTCTCTTGCATTGTGTGTCGCTCTCGCTCATGGTCCTTCCATCGCCGCCGGCCTCTCGCTCCTGGCTCCCGGGCACACGCCAGAGCCCTATCTTGCTTGTCGAGTGAAGCGTTGATTTGAAATCGTCTTCGCTGCTCAGAGTAAGTGGTCCTCTGCCTGCCACCTGCCCTGGACTGCCCTGGACTGCCCTGAACTGCCCTGAACTGCCCTGAACTGCCCTGGACTGCCCCGGTGCCCTGACGGACCCCTATCCCTTGCTATCGACTCTCTTGGACGTCGCCGTGGCCGGAAAGGACACGATGGCCTAGGATTGGGAGACGTACGAGCAGCGCGCCTTGCTGCTCTCCCGGATGCACGCTGCCATGAGCATGTGCGTGCGGAGCATCGTGCTTCTCTGTCATCTGTTGACATCGGCGCGTACCCAGTACGGGCACGGAGAAGCCGAGCACCAACAACTAACTGGCGGGCCACGACGTTGAGTCGTCTCCGAGGCTCCAACCCTCAGTCCCCCTGTCTGGATCAGGCCTGGCCCAGAACCCATGCCCACACAACACATGTACCCCTCGCCCCGCCACCCATCATTGTCCTCTCTGGTCGCCGTGCCTCATCTTCGGTCTCCCTCTGCTGTTTGCTAACCTTCTCCTGCTCTTGCTCATGCCTGCAGTATTGGAGACTGAGCCCGCGGTGCCAATTCGGCCTTGACGACCTCTGTCCTCCGCTTCTGTCCGTCATGGACGAGTCGCGCTTCCGATCCCAGCAGTCGCCGAGGAACGAGACGCCAATGACCAACTTTGTCTCGCCTCCTCGCAACGGCGTCCGTCTCCCGCAGCAGACTTCTCACGACCCACGCTCCAATATGCCTCGACGCTTCACTACCGACTCGAGCCGCGTGCCAACCCTATCTTCCGTCACCTCGACCATGACCTCGCCCCAACGAGGCCCAGCCCTTGATGCCACTCAAGAGTACACCGTCCGTCTTCCCGCTTTCCAGCCTGCTTGCTTTGTCGGTGAACTGACCTTGAGCGAGAAACAGGCGTTGCATCAAGTCCAACTAGTACGTGTGCCCGCCTACTTCCCGACCACGAGATCCATTTCGGTCAAGACGCAAGCTGGTCTCCGGGCATCATACCCCCCCACGAATCTTTCTCTCCCCCGCACTCGCCCTCGGGGGTAAGCTGCCAAGGCAGCCAACGGGCACTGACCAGCGCGCTGCAGATAGAGCAAAAGAAACTCGAGTATGAAAGAATCCGAGAGCGGCGACGACGATTCGAAATCGAGATGCAGAGACTAGACCAGCAACAGAGACGGGAAGCGCAAGAGCTCGCGCAAATGGAAGAAGAGATTGGTAGACTTGGAGGGCCCCAGTCGGAGCCGACGACGCCGCCCGAATACCATGATAATTCCGGGTTCCCCTCCATCTTTTCGCGGCCGAATCGCTACTCGACCTCGAGCCTCGCTTCTCCGCCTGGCTTGTACAATCGACCGGCCCGCTCCGGCTCGCAACTCACGTCCCCGCCTTCTGGCATAATGCAGCATCGGTATGGGTTTGAAGAGCCGATGCCTTCCCGATCTGTGCCAACAACACGCCGAAACAGTGACGATGACGAAAAAGAAGAGGCGGTCCGACAGGACCCAACCAGTCACAGATCGACTAATGCGTAAGTACTCTATCGTCCCTGCTTGCTCTTCGATTTGAACTTGGGTGCAGAAGAGCTCGCCCGCGGCGAATTGGCTGTCTCCGCGCGAGTAGGCGCCAAGTCAGCGCAGAAGCGTAGTGAAACCAGGCTGCTCTGGTTTGGCGATGTGCTCAGCGGTGAGCTGCGGCACAGCGAGAAAGTTCTTTGCTGGCCCGAGGGAGCAACCAGCTCACATCGACGCATCCGGAGCAGCAGGTGCTTTGTGCTTGCGCGGGCCTCGGGTGTGCAGCTCTTTCGAGGCGGAGACCTCAAATATTGCTGCAGCACGAGGCTCCGCTGCCTTCGTTCCTTTAATCCGATGCCTCAGGAGCGAGCGCATGGAGGCACTGCTTGACACTGGCCCTATTCTCAAACAGCGCACAATAGGAGCGCTCGAGACAACAACCCACGTTGCTTGCCCAAAAAGCTGCTGCTATCCGCATCAACCATTTCACCATTCTACTCCTATTGTTTCCTTTCTCTTCATTCACACCTTATCCACACACTGCCCCCCTTCAACCCCGTCAGTTCCTAGTTGCCCACACGCTACACTATCTATAGATCTGACTGGACTGTCTCTGCGAGTCGGGTCACTACTCTGGGCTCTTCCCGGACTGTTCTGCCAAACGCTTCTATCCAGGAAACTAACTTCCCACTTCAACAATAGCCTCAACCGATATTCAATGCCCGTGACGAGGTCGAGAAACGGACTGTACGACATGAACCTGGATCAGACGAACACGACACGCTTTCTATTCGGCGACGACGAGCCAAAGGCGCTTCCTCGTGGCCAGACCCCGGACGAGAACTTTCCTACCCTTGTGAGGCGTGAAGACCAAATGGTGAGCATTGTTTTCCTGTCGATTTTGCCCTGTTGTCATCTTTACTCATGGCAAGTGCCTTGCTCGTTGCACGAGGCTGCTTCTGCGTCTTGCAGTTGGCTTGAATGCGCCTCTGGTAGCTTGGGCAACGAGGCGCGCGGCCTTTCGCAGTCCGCACTCCTCTGTTCAGCACAGGCGCTGCCGTAGCAGCCTCGCTAAAAGTTTTCCCCTTCACGCTCCTTGAACGCCCCCCTTCTCCCGCTTTTCCCGCAACCCAATCCTCTTTCTCGCGCGTCATTTGCTCCTTCACCTCTCCAACTGTCTCGCCTTCACGCTTTTGTTTGCCCTGGAAATCAGCCGCCCTTGCGAAGCACCGTGTATCCCGTCGAGAATCATCGTAAATTGCTTTCTGACCTATGCTGTTCTTGTCCAGTTGTCTGCGTCGTCTGCCGCGCTCGATCTTGCCTTATCCCCATCCCCTCACCCCGAGCCGACAGCTGCCAACGGTTGGAATCGTGTTAACCGTCACCGGACACAGCAGAGCCTTTCCTCGATAAACGGCTCATCCCCCAACCAAGGCGGAGAAATCTCTAACATTGGAAGCCGACCTGCGTCGCTTCGGAACTCCCTCGACCTCAAGTACTTCTCGGGAACCACGTCTGAAACGAGTGGCGGCATTTTGTCCTCTCAAAATCACCACAACATGACTGCCACTCCTCCGAGACTTCAGAGCTCGTTTTCCGCCAACGACGTCCCCACGGTCAAGAACCCGTCGGGCCCGTCGATCATGGGCGTCAATGCCAACAGCCATGCCCAGCAGCATTTCCACAACCACAACGCCAGCATTGGCCGCATTCCCGCTGGAGCAATGCCGACCAGGGGGCACACGCGCGAACTCTCCAACGACAACAACCTGAACAACGGCCGCGAGCAGGGCAGTGCTTATCCGTCAATCCAGTCGGCCCTTCAGGCAAGCGCGCCTCCATTTGGACCCGGTCTCACGAGTGCTGCGCCCATGACTTCAGCCGCGACTGTGTCTTCCCCCACCAGCACCTCGATGAACCAGTTCCACGGCTTCTATCCGGCAAACGGCTTCGCCCCGCTCAACGCCAATACTGGAGGCAGCTTTGGCATCCCGATGCTTGCTGCTGGCATGCAGCAGATGACCATCAATGGTGTCAACGGCGGCTCCATGTACCCTGCCCAGAATTACACTGGATATGGCTCGGTGCCATTCAATCAAGGAGGTGGGCAGCCTCGGGACAGCCAGGCGCGTGTGATGCAGCATCGTCGCCAGCTCGACAGTGAAGGTATTGAGACCCGGATCCCCTGGCGAAGAGCGTGTATACTAACCAGACTTACAGCCATGTCGCGTTACCACAATATGCCTCTCGAGTCCTTTCGCGGCCAGATCTACGAGCTGTGCAAGGACCAGCACGGCTGCCGCTACCTGCAGAAGAAACTTGAGGAGCGGAACCCTGATCAGGTGAACATGATCTGGCTTGAAACTAACCAGCACGTCATCGAGCTTATGATGGACCCATTTGGTAATTATTTGTGCCAAAAGCTCCTCGAGTTTTGCAATGACGATGAGCGAACCGTCTTGATTCAAAATGCGTCTCAAGATATGGTGCGCATTGCTCTTAACCAGCACGGCACCAGGGCTTTGCAGAAGATGATTGAATACGTCAGCACCGCACCGCAGGTCCGCCTGATCATCGAGGCTCTCCGCTTCCGCGTGGTCGAGCTCATCCAGGATCTGAACGGCAACCACGTCATCCAGAAATGTCTCAACAAGCTCACCTCCGCCGACGCTCAGTTTATCTTCGATGCCGTTGGTAACAACTGCGTCGACGTTGGAACGCACCGCCACGGGTGCTGCGTGCTACAGCGCTGTATCGACCACGCCTCGGGCCACCAGAAGGCGTGGCTGGTCGACCGCATCACTGGTCACGCGCGAGTCCTCGTGCAGGACCCCTTCGGCAACTACGTCGTTCAGTACATCATTGATCTGAATGAGCCAAGCTTCACTGACCCCGTTGTGCAATCGTTCAAGGGCTGCATCGGCTTGCTGTCGCGTCACAAGTTCAGCTCGAACGTGATTGAAAAGTGTCTGCGCTGCGCTGGACCTGAATCCAAGGATATCATTGTGGACGAGCTTCTTGCTCCCCAGGAGATGGAGCGTCATCTGCGCGACTCGTTCGGGAACTATGTCGTTCAGACTGCTCTCGAATTCGCTACGCCTCACCAGAAATACCGCTTGGTCGAGGCTATTCGACCTCTCTTGCCGCAGATTCGCAACACTCCGTATGGGCGTAGAATCCAGGCCAAGATCTCCCTCCACGACAACCGTGGCAGTGCCGCGTCGAGTGGACAGGCCACTCCTGCCGACAATACTCAGGGCCAGATTTCCATTCGACCCGGCCATGCCCGGGCCATGTCCGGAAATGCTCCTGGGCTGCAGAACAACGGGCTCACGAATGGCGGCGTCACAGGACTCGGAAGCCAGGGCATGCGCCAGAACATACCGCTCTACGCCAACAATGCCACACCTCCGGCCTCGGGTTCCGTTCAGCAGGGCCCCGTCCACCAAGGCTCCACCCACCAACCTCAGTTCAACCAGATGGCGCCCGCCGGTTACTCGCCCGCCCACCCTGCCAACCACCCGACGGACGCCGGCGAGCCTCGTTGGCTGTAACTCGTTTGCCCCTCCGGTGTGCTGCCACTCAGAGCAGGGCTTGTCTGTACAACGCTTCCGTCTACGATACTTTCCCCTTGTTACTGGGCGGTTTAAAAACTTCGCAAGCACGGTTACGACACTGCCATGACCTCATGATTTCCTTCTTGCCCCGTGTTGAACTGGCTCATGAACAGACCGTCAGCTTCGCACGACCAAGCAACACTCCTTCATGCGACCAACACAGCACTCTTGCGCGGTGCTTTGTGTGTACATTAAACAAGGAAGGGGGTCTGAAGAAAAGTTCATTGGTTAGTGTCTCCTGCTCGCTAGCAGCGGGCAGACCAACGGCCGCATCCTGTATGTGTATTGGGATCGGAATCTACGACTCGCCCGACCCGCATAGACGCATTTATCTCTTCTTCCTCTTCATATTGCTGTTTTGTCTCTTTCATTTTCCCCCAAGTGGGCTTTTGCCATTTCGATTTCGACTTCACGGTTTGTCTTCATCGATTGATACGATCTGGACCCGACAGAGAGGTCCATGACTTTACGGCACGACTGTTACGATGCATTGGATTCTATGCGGCGGCAGCGGACTTGCTTGTGCATTATGGGCCCTCACGTCTCTTGACACCGACGGGTGGGCGCAAGCCTCGATGTCGAGGCCTTGTCTCGCTGCCGCATCTCTTCACTTTGGGGCAACCGGTCATGCTACACGCACACCCGGTGTAGGCTTCATCGCTGGCTCGTTTTCATGTGGTCTTTCCTGGCTTTGGGGCTGCCCGATTCTCGGGAAGACGCAGGCAAACAATGGGGAGCAGTTGTGCAGCCTGGAATGGAAACCGCCGTGGGAGATAGGGATATGGGGAGGTGGTGAGGTTCGCGCTTGGCACTTGTATGAATTCCGAGATAGGAAAAGAAAGTTCGCATTTTGCTTTACTGACACGACTGTTGCGCCGTCTTGCAGTCTGGTTTTGCTTGGTGCGGGAAGCAAGTGGAGGGAGGGAGCTGCTACGGAAACTGGCATCCAAGATGCCCATTGGCTCCTTGTCAAGCAAATTCTAGAGAGCAGGTAGCGATGGGTGCGAAGCCTGTGTCATGCTTTTTCGATGCCAAGATCCTGAACCAAAAGGTATGAGAGGCCACTCAGGCAAGGTCTCGGAACGAGGGCTTAGACTGTACAAGGGGCAGGCTGGCAAGACGGCGGAGCATCGGCATCACAAAGCACGCAAGGCCTAGACATCTGTGCCCATCGAGATAACGGGATCCATTTCTTTACCGGATATACCACGGTCTCAATTTCTTTTGTGTTGCCGTAAAAAAACCCAACCGAAACGTGAAGGCCTCCAAGTGTCCTCGCCCATACCAGTCCCAAGCACCACGCAATGCCCAAGCCAGCCAGCAGTCCCGGCGCGGGAAAAGAAGCCAAACACGGGAGCCACCCTGGTCCCGAGGCGAGGCGCTTATCGGTAGCGCCACAGAGACAGGGTGTTGTGGCGCTTCCAGGTCTTTCTGCGGCCGGCGCGCGTCTTGTTGTAGCGGTGGCCCTTGTTGAGGCCGCGTGACTTCTTGCCTGTGGCGGTGAGGCCGCGGGCCTCGCGGTGCTTGTGGACGGGGTTGACGATCCAGTTGATGCGGGGGTCGATGCGGATCGCCTTGTGCTGGGGGTCGACGAGGATTACCTCGTAGTACTTGTAGGTGGAGTCCTGGTTGATCCAGTACGAGTTGAGGACACGCAAGTTGGCGCAGCGGCGACCGACACGCTCTTCGGCGGTGGCCTTGAGCGAGCGCTGGTACTTGAGCTGGTTCACACCCTGGTTGGTGGGCTTGCCTAAGCATCAAGAGTCCGGTCAGTCACCAAGTCTGGTACGGGGTCATCGCTCCTGTGCTTTCCGGAGGGGGCGCAGCATACCATAGGTGGCACCCTTAGGGACGGGGCGCTTGCGGCCACCGCGACGGACGCGGACGCGGTAGACAACGTAACCCTGCTTGGCCTTGTATCCGAGACGGCGAGCCTTATCGGGGCGCGAGGGGCGGGAGGCGCGGTGGATGACGTTCAATTGACGAAGCTATATTGATGCACTCTCAGCAAAGCGTTCAACGAGTGTATAGCACAGGCGAGCGTCGGCGGCCGCAGGGCTCAGAGCTTGTCTCCTCTCGCGATCTCCCTCGGTTGCGGACGGAAAGTCTTTCGTCCTCGAGAAATCAGGAGAGTAGGCAAAAGCCCGCAACCGCCTCGCTCGCCCACAGGTCGGAGAAGTCAAACGTAGCCGGGGCTCATCGTACCTCCCAGCAGCGCACTCGGAGGAGGAAGCGCATCACATCGGACTGCTTCTTCTTCTGAAGTTCCTCGACATACTTGAGGGCACCCATCTTGGCTGATGCGCGAGAAAGACAAACGTCAGCCCAGGCAACTCGTCTTGCAAAAAGTCAAACAGAGGGAAGAGAGAATACGAACCGGCTTGAGTGGTGAGGTTTGCTGCGGGTGGTTAGTAGTGCGAGGAAAGAGGTTGACTCGGAAAAGTCCAATCGCCAAATTCCCAGGCGACGTGGGAAAAAATCGAGAAGCAGTTTGTGGGTTAAGCGACGCACTAGTCCCTATATGGGGTGGCGTTGTGGGCTTTGTATCTCGGTGCCCTCGAATGGCGCTAAGGCTGTCTGAGTCAGCCAGGTGAAGTTTGCCTCACCGAGCGGACTTGGAAGTGAGCCTTAACCGAGACCTCTCATGCAAGGGGGACCAAGATAAGATCGACACCCGCTTGGCTTTGGCACATCAAAGTTCCCTGAACTAGCGAAATGGTGACAGGAACTGAACATCGTACATCATCCATGCGATTTCTGTTGCGCCTCTGGCAACAGCCCTACGGTTCCTGAGAGGACTCTGAAAATATCCCGAGCAGTCATCCCCCAGGTGACGTCTCCCCGCTGTGGCTTCGCCTCGGCGAGAAGTTCCGTCGCCATGGTGTCTATATCGCTGCTGCCGTCGGTCTTTGCTCGATCCTCAACCAGGCCATTATTGGCATGAGGCATCACAATGCCGTTCAAAATCCTGAATGCCACCCCCATTGCGCTCTCGTTCAAGGCCCTGAGATTGGCCTCGTCCTGATCCCAGTGAGTCCGCGTCGGCTCCTGGGTGTTAATGCTGCCCTGGTTCAGAATTTCGTAACTTCTGACCAAGTCTTGAAGGCTTGTCAGGCACTGTTGCGCTCTCTGGAATGTCTTGTTATCGCTGTTTTCTGGCGTGCCATGATGCAGAACACGGGCCATGTCAGGAGTTATAGATTCGGTGATTGCTGGTATGTCTTTGCCGAGCCTGCAAATCGGGTCAAAAGCTTGCAATACAGCGGACAGACTCTGACAACGGGGGACTCACGTTTCCTTCGTCAACTGCTTCTTCATGAGCTTGGCAATCTCCCCGGCCTTCCTGCGCATCTCCATCTTGGTGTCCTTGACGCCTTTCGCTGTGTTCATGGCCGACGGCATGAACTCTCTAGCGATGCAACGCAATGAGTACCTGCGACAAATGTTGTGGCTGGCGGGCATCGTTACCTGTCGTCTGTGTCTCCTTCAAAGAAGGCTGCCCCATCTTGACATGGCTTCTTGGTAGCCTTGCTGGTCTTTGGCGCTGCTCGGGCCCTTTTTCTCGAAGCAGGCTTTGCTTCAGGCTCTTCCTTCTCGCTTTGCTTCGCTGACGGCCGAGTCAGTCTCCTCTCTTGCCGAACATGTTGGGAGAGGCTCGTACTCTTCGCTGGCTGATTGGGGTTTCTCTTCCTCGTTGCAGGAGCCATGCTTTTTGGCCGTGAGCGTGGTACAGTCTCTCTCGATGCTGTTGTATCCCATACGAGACATGCGTGTGTTGGCAAGCTGGAGAAAAACGTACTGCGCTGAATCAAGGCGGTGTGGCACCTGTCTTGACCGAGGACTGCTCGTGCCTTCCTTCTCGGTAGGAGCCCCGTCGCAAGACACGTGCCCTCGTGGTCATCTCCAGATGCGTCAATGACATGCATCCTTCTTTTGCTCCAGGCGGCCGGACATACAAAGAGAGCACATTGAACTGTTCGTCCTGCCAACATTCCTCAATGAAATCAGCTCGAGTTCGTTCTTCTAAGCTCTTTACTTAATACCCGCGTATCAACCCTGCCCGAGGTACTCGTCCAATCTGAATACTTCGCAACCGGCGGGAAAAGATGTAAAGGAAAAAAAAGTCCGTCCAGGAAAACAACCTTCTGGTCCGTACATGTCTTCGGTCATGCCCAAGCCATATCCTTTTGTTTTGCGTATTAAATACAGCGTCGATGTTGTTTAGGTACTCAAGCGTCTCTGTCTATGTCCGGCCGTTCCAAGTGAAGTAGAAGCAAAGCCGCCTCCAGTCTTCCAAACCCCTGTTTCCTGTCTTTATAGTAGTGTGCTAGGCTCAGCATCCCAAGTGTCTTCGGTGGTAACCGATTCAAACAAATCGCAAGGCGGAAAGAGAGAAGAAGAAAACTCCGACCAACAATACAACGTGATTAAGCAGACAGTTGGACACTGCGGGAACGAACTGCAATATTTCCTCTCGGACCGAAAACTGCCGATCCGGCTCTGAAAAAAAAGGCACGTGGTTCTCGGACAGCTTTGCAACAAGGACCAAAGGCCGTGTTAAAAGCCGTGGAACAAGGCTGCATCGTTTCCAAGCATGTCCGTATGACCGTTGTGTCGGGCTGAAGTCTCGACGGCCGGCCAACTAGTGTGTATTCAGAGAAAGTCCCTGGAAGTTGGCGGTCCAATCATTCTGCGCAGGAAGCGGCGAAATGCCCTGAGAATGTGGCCCAGGACTGGGCACACCCTGCGAAGCTGGCCAGCGCTGGCGAATCGACTGGAAGTCTCCTGCCTGATGGTACCCTGTATGAGGAAAGCCTTCGAGCCCTGGCAAGAGGCTTGGAGTGTAAGATGCTCCACCCCGGGGATTTGCAAAGGCCCCGCCGCCTGTTCCGTATGCGTAGTTCGATGCCGAGTATCCGGAAGCCGTCGCAACTGGCCGGTCGCCCCCGAACGGCTGGGCGAAGGGTGCGCGGAATCCACGAGTACCTTGTGGTCCCTGGACGTATGCCTGCGACTGCTGCTCTTGGGCCTGGTGGTTCTGGCGGCGTTCTCCACCGCTTGAAGCACGCCCAGCACCTACAGCACCAGGTCCGACGCCACTGGGAGCTTGGATGCCCAGTGTCGGGCTTGCGAACGAGGCCGGGTTTATCGCTGACATCCAGATTCTAGTCTTGTATATTTTGAACAAGTCGGTGACAAGAGAGTTGAAGTTGATGTAGGAATCGGCGAAGTAGTAGAATGTTAGCTTCTTCCAGTCCCTATCTTTCTGTTAGCGTCATGCCGGAGCTCAGTGTCAGGGGCGGGGTCTGCACGAACATTTGGAACTCGGCGTCGAGAATCTCCATGTTTAATCCATGCTCTTTGACCTTTTGCATGCAAACTCTCTTCGCCTTGGCCTCCTGACCCTCCTTGTCCCGCAAGGAATGAACCTCGTGGTTCTGGGCGAGTCGCTTGATCAGCTTTGGTCGAAGATCACCTGTGCTTGGCTCCTGTATGTGGTTTTGACTCGGAGGACCCATGCCGCCGACGGCACTTCCATGAAATCCGCCAGTCGAGGTCAAAAGGTCAGGGCTAGCACCCTCTTGCGCCGCGGCGGCACCTTGCGAGTACATCATCAGCCATTTGTAGTGCTCCTCTGCGTAGTGCTCCTTCAGCTCCTTGGCGGTCTGCCAATCAACGTTGTCCTTGGCCACGGTGCCGAGGTCAGTGCCGCGATCGGCCTCCACAATCACCAGATCGCCCGGCTTGACGGTTAGTCCAGTGCCTTCTTGGATGTAGAAAACATCGGCCCTGGCACATTTGAACAAAACCACATGGAGGAGCTGGTTGTGTCTTGGCTGCGCCATTCCGTAGATATTGCGGTGGGGAGACGGCGCTCGGTTGGCAAACTGATCCTGCAGCCCGAAAGAGGATCCGTATGGGCCGTTGAAGGCTGCCTGGAGAGTGTTGGACCCGTTGCCAAAGAGACCCGCGGCTGTGTGCGGTAGAATGTTAGAATGCCAGCTGGAAGACTGAAAATTGTTTTTGGAGCGGGAAAACTCACGGTTGCCTGAAGAGGCTGAGAAGCCTTGGCCGTCAGGGAATACGGAGAACCCTTGAGACGGCTGGCCGTCGGCCGCGTTGGCATCGAGAAACGAGACCGAATCGGCGATGGAGCTAATGGACCCTTGACGTGTGGGCATGTTCGCAAATGAGTGACGCCTGCTTTGCGAAACATCCCCTCCAAAGAATCCGGGCGAGCTTGACCAGAGAGCCTTCTTCAGATTCATATTGTCCACTTTGCGATTGTCCATCCCAGGACCGCGGATGGGACCTCCGCCATATTCGCTCATTCGTCGAGCACTGCTGCGCCGTCCAAAAGGATCACCGGCCTCGTTGGATTCATCCAGCTCGTCGATTGCGTAGTCCGACTCTTCGGGAACAGTCTCTCTCAATGGATACCCGTTGGCAAGATAGGTTGCTCCGGTCGAGGCGCGTGGACGGATACGGCTGTTGTACTGCTGCTGCTGACGGAGCATAGCGTTCTCCCGCGTAAGCATCTCAATGGTTTTCGAGTCGGACATCTGATGGAAAGAGCCTTGAAGGGATTCTGTTGGGCTCTCGTCGTCGCCCTCCACCTCCTTGACCTTGCTGAGGACCGAGCCATCGTTTGCCATTTCGCTCAACATGCTTGGCCGCGATGGCCGATGCTGCAGGGCCGGGTGTCGTGCGCGGCCCAAGGCTGCCGACGAGCACATAGACGGCGGAGGGGCGATTTCAGGATCCAGCTGCCCTACCGAATAAGACTGAGAACGATATGTCTTTGGGGTTGGATGCAGCGGAATTGCAAAGGGGATTTGCGGGTTCGGCCCGGGTTCGCGCGAAACTGGGGATGTCTGCGTCAAGCCAGCATCAGAGCCAAAGAAGGAGTTGGTGCCGCTTCCGGGCGGGACCGTCGAAGTCGGCGAGGGCAAGACTTCGCTGAGCCTTGAAGGTGCATCTTTGCGATCATTCCAGATACCGGTTCCCCACGTAAAGGCCGACGTGCCGGTGGCGCGACCCATGACGGAGGAAGTGGAGTGCGACCCCCAGGGCCCGTTGCCAGCCTCGGCAGACGGCGTACTTGGGTGAGATGCCGTGGGAGACATGGAACTGCTAGCAAACGAGCCTTTGCGGGGACGAGAAAGGGTCTGCGTCGTGTCGTTGAGCCACGAAGATCGTCGAACTGGCTTCTGAGGCTGCACAACAGAGGCCTGGGGCACGTCTGAGCGGTGGTCAAGTTCGTCTTCAGAGCTGGCCAGCGCCTCGGAGTCGGGAGTTGACGTTCGAGCGTTGACCTTGTCCAAGAGCAGGTTCTGGCTGCTCTGGGCGCCGGCGGGTCCTTGGCTCAACTTTGAAGAACGTCCGGTCTTGAGAGAGACAGAGCTCATGATTGGCGCTGCCGACGGCGGTTCTCGTAACACAAGCGCGTACCGTCAGCTGACACCGACCAACGCAGACTTGGATACCTGCAAAGAGGTTTCGCTAGAAGTGACGCCGGCGTAGCCCGAGAGTGGGACGTATTCAGATCCCTTTTGAAGATGCGCAAGGGGAGATCGATTGGAAGCCTGGCGAGTGATGATGGCTTGCCAAGGGTGTGGCGCGCGGAAATATCCTTCTACTTTGGCGGTGATGGAGGAAAAGGCTATGTGAACGTCAGTCGACCGGCTTCATGATGTTCAATTCGGCTTCAAATCAGGGCACTCGGCGACGCGCCTGAAGGCATGTCCTTGAAGGGATGACGCCCTCTTGACGACACGAGCCACCAATGAGCTCATCACCACGACTTGCCCATACGACCTTGTGCGATTTTTTTTTTGAGTTTGTGTGTGCACAAACATACCAAGCGACTACCCGAGGCCATGTGAGGCACAGAAAAGGCGTTGACGTACCAGGAATGAATCTTGAGAATATCTATCTTTGACAACTCGATACACAGACAGCTCTAGGTCGTAACAAGCGGTAGAGATGGCAGTGCGACGCGCTCGACTGCCGTGGGTGAGGGGAAAGGTAGGGGCGGCGAAGAGCTGTCTTGGACAAGCCGGCGAGGACAGAAACGAGTCGTAAGGCGATTATTGTAACGGAGGCTGTGAGAAAACGTCTAAATCGTGCGTCTAAACCCAGAGCCCAAAAGAAAAGGATGCGAAAAGGATGGCGAAGAGGTCAAGCGCAGGCGGGCGCATCCATTCGCAGCGGCGAGCCGTGTGTGAAATGCGTCGTCGATGCTGCGAGAGGCGGGCGTGCTACTTGACGCCCATGTTTGAGAAGGCGGCAAATCAGAGTCGGTTCGCGCGGCGGCCCGTGACAGTTGCGCAAGCACCAGCTGCCGATGTGAGGAGAGGCGGAGAACTGGTGAGGGCGGCTGGTCAGAGAGCGGGGAGAAAGAGAGCGACGACGGGCGCGGGTTGGAGAGGGGGTTGTGGGTGGCCGAGACAGGGAGACAAAGATGAGAGCCGAGGAAGGTTGAAGACCGGGGAGAGAGGGCGGCGGTCGGTAGAAGCCCGACGTAAGCTGGAGATGGATGAGGTAAGTGACGTGAGGTGTTGGGAAAAGGGTTTGCTCCCAATGGGCTATGATGTCGGTACAACAAGACGCGGCGGCGTGGCCGAGAGGACCCCGTAAAAAAAAGCTTACTTGGCCCTGGTGGATATTGCGAGGCCGGCGCACGAGGTTTCGAATTGTGATGGCTCCTGTGGTCAAACAAATGTGTGAGAGGTGATTGAGGACGGACGGGCTCGGTAGCCTACCTGTCTTGAGTTAGGGACCAGCAGTCTAAAAGTCAGGGGTCCTCTCGCAGAAGGCAAAGCACGGGAAACTTTGTGCCGGCGACTTCTCCGCTGCCCCCCCCAAGAGGTACCGCGCCGGGCCGTTTGAGCGGCGACCGCACTGTGCCAGGCTTCGTGGGGGTCGGACGCTGGGGAATAGACCACGAGCGCGTCGATCCGGTTGCGCTGGCCGTTAGAGACGAGAGGCAATGGCTGATTGGCTGGGTTGGCGTTAGGGATGAAGAAGGGGCGACGTGTTTTGGAGAGCTGCTGCAATGGTTTCTGTTCGGTGGGGAGCTGTCCTTTGATATCCTTTTGGTCCTTAGGGGGAGGGGGTGGGGTGGAGGGAGGGGAGGGGAGGGCCCCAGTGGGAATAGGAGCCCGGGGGCGAGCGCTCACGAGCGGACGGGCAATAATAGTACGGGAACGGCTATAGGCAAGGCAGAGGGGGGGACAAAGCCTGGACAGGACGGCGGGGGTCGACGATGTCGTCGAAGCGGATGATGGATGGATGGATGGACGGACGGCTTGGACGAAGCGAACTCAGGTCTTTCATCAAGCGTGGGCGAGGTGAATCTTCCTCGCGCACGGTATATGTACAGTATGAAGACGGTACGAAGTAGTGCCTACGTACCGAGGTACTTGGGCATTGCCCGAGGGCTTACTCCGTACCTCGGGGCGCTTCGTCAGGCACAGCGCCATGCACGCAACGGAGCACTGCTCGATTCTCGAAGCCCTCTTACCTCTAGTACAAGTGCCTCGTCCCTTGTGTGCACAGACACGCCATGTCCAACAGGTACCTGGCCTACCGTGCGTGGATGCCGCGCCTTGGCCGGTTTTGCACTCCAGACGATGGCACGGGACTTGAGCAACCCATCCCATGCATGCATGCTCCGGACAGCCATCGATATGTCGTTATGCATGTAGATGGGGGCATGCAGACCGTGGCAACGGAGTAATAATTCCTGCTACATGCATACATGCATGCATATATGCCCATTTGCATGCAAGTACGGAGACGGGGCACATGAACCACCCGAATGCACCCTCAGATACATGCAACTCGCTAGGCACTTAGTATCTACAGGCAAGACCCTCTCTCTCCCTCTCAGGTCTTCCTCTATCTCTCTACAGACTATACGAATACAAAGGGCATGCCATCTCTTGAGTGTAGGCAAAAAAAGCGCCGAGCCGTCTCCTCTTCTTTGTCCCGTCTTCCATGGGCGGTTGGGCGGGTGGCTTGTGGAGGCGAGAGTGGATTCGTGTGGGAAAGGAGCCGGATGATGGTGCGGTTCGCTCCCCCACCATCCCCAGAACGCAACCCCTCCCCCCGGTCGGCAGCACGCCAGCCGCTACCACAAGTGGGCTAGTGCCTCCTCTGGCCCTGGACTGGAAGTGATGGGGGCCCTGCGGGTGGGCCCTCCGCCTCCCCGCCAGAATCTGCATCAAGCGCTGGATTGGACAAGAAGCACGTTTACTGTACTGTATTGCGAGGTTGGCACCCACCCATCCGACAGACATTTGCATTCCTCTGACTGCAGGTCGTGGTGATGGACATTCGCCAAGTACACGCACTCGCTCGCAGTCGTACGGTTGTGTGCAGGAGATTAATTCGTACTACCTGAGGGCGCATCGACTGAGAAGCACGAACCGAGTCACTTGATGCCACCGAAGGGTGGAGAAGAAGGGAGGGGAAACTGACGGCGCACACACCTTGAGCTAACGGACGACGGAAGGATGCCCAACAGCGTGCGGGCGTCCGATTACTGGAGGAAGGGGGGGAGCGCTGAGGTCCTGCGGCCAATTAACCAAACTCTGCCTCCAACCCCTCATTTCGTCGTCAACTCTCATGATGCTCGAGCCCATACTGCAAGACTCACTTTCGTCACCGACGAGTCCTGCATACCAGCCAGGTGAACCCTCAGCTCGCGCGGGCACACTACGCCCGCCGTTTGGTTTCATCGACACCACGGCGCTAAGGCGCTTGGCCGTGGCCGTGGCCGTGTTAGCACGGGGCTGTAATTCCAGGCCCACCAGGAACCAAAACACAATTCGGCCTGCGTCCACACAATATCGGACGGGAGCGTTGAGGCAAAGGCCGACATGAGGAGGGGCCCAAGGCGGGTATCACACCTCCTGGTTACCCTTCTCGTCCAAATACATCTGACCCAAGGGTGTAAGTCGGGTTACTTTCCAGCACAGTGCCCCGCACAAAGCCCCCCCTTGACCAATCCGAGCACCGCAGTGCAACCCGACGCACTTTGCGCAGAGAGTAATAGTGCCACAAGGTAGAGGGTCGGCTCGAGGCTCGAGGCCCCTTGAGCTATTCAGTCAGAAGCCCATGGCCTTGTCGAGATCCCACTTTGACCTGACGTCTGCGGGCGCTCTGTTGGTGGCACAGCGTTGCCCGGCAGTATCTCTCGTCGAGCTGACGGGAAGCCCTCGTGGTGGCCTTTGGGTCAGAGTGTTGCGAGTGACAATACCGACTGTGTGGTTGGACGACAGGCTAGTGCAATGGCTGCAAGGTAAGGTGTGGACGAACAGTTGTGTATAACGTGCGGAGCGAGCCATAGTCCGCATCTACAGTACAGTACCGTCCATGGCAGCAGAGCTCGTCCGGCCTTCTCAGCCCACGCCATGCATCTCGAGCAGGCCAGCCAGCCGCAGGTGTCGAGTGGGATGGAGGCCGAGCTGCAGCTCCGATTAGCTGCAATTGATGCTGAGCTATTCCAGTGCAATATACAGTACCTAGCCTCCTTCTCCTTCTCTCGTGAGCGCATGAACCCCCCCGTCAAATCGTGTGGCCCCCGGCTGCGACTTGGCGCGGGTGGGGATGGGCGCACTCCATCGACGATCGCACAGCGCAGATGGGCACTAGCACACGAAAGCAAAGGAAGAGCAGAGCAAGAAACGGAACAGAATCGATTGACGGCTCTGGCGCCCGCCTTTGAGCACGAATCGCTGGGCGCCCACTGTATCAAGCCCGTGGCGTTTCTCCGACGTGAGATGGGAGATTCCCCCCCCTTCCCCCCCGTTCTATCGCGTATGTTGCAGCTCGTTAGTCGAGCTAAATGCTCTTGGCTCAACGGTCGGTCGGTCGGTCGGTCTTTGTGCAGAGTTGCAAAGGGGATCTGCATCTTGGTCGACAAGTGACGCACATTCGACGTGGTCTTGTCTCGAAATGCGAGGCGTCGACGATCGCTAGAGACTGCCAACCCCGCAATTCACAATTGCCAGCGAGTCACCTGCCCTGCCTGTCCCAGCCCACGCCCACGCCCGACTTAGCACGCGTTAGCCCACTCTCAGCCTAGCGCCTCTGGCTGGCCCAAGGACCCCTGTTTGGGGCGGCATGAACTCGCCTCAAGAGAAGCCGTCGCGGCCAAATGCCAAAGAAAAAGAAAAGAGAAAGTCCAGAGGGTCAAATAATGTCAACCCCCCTTTTCCGCCTCCCCCCCGACATGATGCAGAGCTCGGTGGCAGCATGTACGCGCACGCCACTGAAGAGACTGTCGCAAATGCCGCTAGACGGGTATGGAAAAAGAATGGCAACAAGGCCAGGGCTCGCGGAGCTTTTTAGTAGCTTTTTTTGGAACAATCCAATCTCACCACCGGCGACCAATGTATAATGTATACATAGAGTTCCAGACCGTTGCCCCAAGCCAGTCAAGCTGACGTTTCAGCCATTGCTGTATTGTCGCATGGCGCCCTCCATCGGCACTGTGCCGCCTTGTCCCGCCCGCCTTGTCCTGCCGCGGACCAAGCGCGAGGCAGGAAGCAGAAAGTCGTCGATGCGAGAGCCTCGGCAATGACGGAAAATGACACCTCTAGGTACTGTAGGTGGATTGATGCACCAAGTACCGTACATACTTCATGCATGCCGGCCTGTCCTGACCGTCGACGGCATCCCGCGCATGCCATGTGCCGCTGCCGTTGGCCCGCGCGACGGGGTGCCCTATAGGATTTTGCCTACGCTACTGGCTACCTATACAGTAGACTCGCGCCACGACAACTGACGCCTGCATGCTTAGAGTCGACGGCTCAGCCCTCGCAACAGTCAACCGGGACACCATGACTTACGTGGCCTAGCCTCCTCGAGTTGTAAGCGGGGAACAAGAATGCGCTCGAGGCCCCTAGGCAGGTAACCTGAAGGAGTCAAGATACAGCGGCATCCGGGCCACCCTGGCGCGTGGCCCCCCTATGTATCGGCTTGTGGGGAAGAAACACATTTCCTGTTTCCGGCCCTGCTAACCAGAAGCTGTTGGCTGGTTTGTTTTCTGCTGCTTCAGCTTCTCCTCGAATTTGGCAAACTCCTGCATCGCAATCTCCTCCTCTTGATCCAATATCTGGTGAACGCCCTTGACTTCCTCGATCTGTGCGCCCCATCAGCAAAGGCGACCCAGGCAGAGACGGGAACTGAACAAGACTCACGTAATGCATCAGCATGCCTTCGATGCCGTTCTTCAACGTGACGGTGCTCGAGTCGCAAGTTCGGCAGGCCCCGCGTAGCTTCAGCTTCACGTAGCCATCCTCGAAGCCTCGAAACTCAATGTCGCCGCCGTCCTCCTGGATGGCCGGCCGGATCCTCGTCTCCAGCAACTCCTTGATCATGCCAACCACCTCATCGTCGTCCTCGTTGTATGCCAGGCTGTCCTCCTCGACCGCCTCGCTCCCATCCTTGCGTTCCGCCACGTTGACAATCGTCTCGCCCGACGTGATGGCTTCGGTGACGAGCGCAAAGATCTCAGGCCGGATGTGCGCCCAGTTGGCGTCCCCAGCCTTGGTGATTGTGATGAAGTCGGCGCCGTAGAAGACGGACATGACACCGTCGATGTTCATGAGCTTGGCGGCGAGGGGCGACGGGTGCGGCGGCGAGATGGTAGCCCGGGGGTTGAGGTATTCAATGAAGGGCGCCCCGACCTCGGGCGGCACCACGCGGTGGTTCGGGAGAAACTTGAGGGCGTCCGGGTTGGGTGTATTTTCCGTTTGAATAAAGATGCTGCGCACGCCACCGACGGCCAACATTGGTCCGATGCGCTGCACTCGATGCTGCGCGCTGGGCCGCGCGCCCGCAGCCGCGGTCGGAAGCCTGCTCGTCTGGGTGCTCAGTTGCCGCATCCACCTCGGCGTAGCTCGGACCTGACACCGGGCGAGCGGTCGCGAGGCTGCTCTGGCCAGCGAACACATCGCGATCCTTGAGGCAGTTGACGGAGCCATTGCGCCGTTGCCCTGGCGGTGAATTTGCGACAAGGGCGCACAAGAGATGGTCCGTTGCTGTTATGCGGCAATGGCTGGAGAAAAATGACGTCGGAGATACTCCCGTCCAAGTGGGCCTCGTCAGTCGTAATCGTCGCTCTCCTGCTGGACTCTGTAATTCCAAAGCCGAGCGGGCGATATTTCTCGGCGCGCGTATTACTAATGACCGCGCTGTCGGCGGTCCGGTGCAATACAAGGTCGCCGACGACGGAGGGCGCGCCACAAATGATGCAACGGGTGGGGATGCCCCAGCCAGCACCAGCCACATCTTTGCTGTCTGCTGCCTGTGCGGCTCATGGCAATTTTCTTCTTTTTTTAGGCTGCGAGACGCGAGCGTGAAGAGCTCCTCCACCCAAATCCTGCAACGCAGTCGCTCGACTGCTACCATGGTGTCTCCGGATCTTCTCGCCGCGAGGGAGCCAAGCCTGGACATCAAAACAGAGCCGGCGTCGCCACTAGCGGCAGCGACAGGCGAGGAGCTGCAATATACCGCACCAGAAGCCGAGCCGATCATACCCGACACCAAGCAAAAGGGCCCTACCGCGTGCGGCGTCTGTGAAGCAGCTGCGTGGAGATACAAGTGCTCTCGCTGCTATCTCCCATAGTACGTCTTTTTATTTAAGAGCCCCAACGGCTGGCTACCTGGCGATGCAACCAAGACCCCGACGTCGTTGACTTGATCTTCCTAGCTGCTCTGTTGCGTGCAACAAAGCTCATCAGGAAAACCACCCTCCCGACCCCAAGCCCGAGCCGGTCCCAGAGCCCCCAAGCGAGCGGCCTGCCAAGCCGACCGGTCCCGCCAATCCTTTCCAGGCTCTAGACAACTCGGAGACGCTCGCATGGCTGTTTCGAAAGTACCCGAACCTGCCGCAGCAGCTACTCGACATACACTCGGCTACTCAGCCGCCGCCCGAAGACCCGAGCAAGCAGATTCCAGCCTCGCTCATGCAGGGCATCTCGAGCCGGAGCAACTGGTCCCAGGAAAAGGGCATCAGCAGGGGCAAGGCAGCGTTGCGCAGAGCTCGACAGCTCCCGGGAGAGGCTGGCGAGGCGGTCCGGGAGTACTGCACGCTAATTTCGCTCCTCCTTAGCGAGGAGGAGGCAAAGGACAGCTCGAGGGCAATGCTCCAGCAACAATTCGCACAGCAGGACGCCGATATGATCCGGCAACTCATGGAGGCGGAAACGAGCCGTCGATGAGTGCAGATAGCTGGCACCTTGTGCATCGCCGGCATCCGACAAAACGGTGCGGACTGGTGAATTGCTCCATCGCGGCTCATCGGCGCCGCAGAAAGTATTCAAGCTGGACGGCGGCCACGGCGGTGAGAGAACGCGCATGACCCGAGACGGGCTGCAGGGGAAGCTAACGTTTGAAGCGGGCAAAGAGGCCGCCTGTAGGGGATTTTGGGGATTTTGGCGAGTCCTGTGAAACTCTCCTCTCCTGGGGCGGGGAAGGAGTCTTTTCGCCTCTGCCATGCCTGGTGAGGCTTCCGAGCCGACCTCGGAGATCCCATTTCGATTCGGGCTTCCGAAGAGGTTGCGGCGATGCCACGAGAACGGTCGGTTGGGCCCATGTCTCGTCGCTCTGCGTCCAGTCTACTGGATGGTGCTCAGACGGGTCGAGAGCATCGCCACTGCCCCGCCGCTCAGCAGCAGCCGGGCTAACTGGCATGATAAACGGTCCCTTGGGCGATGCGTCTGGTTTGCCAAGGATGTTGCCAGTACTCCTCCTCCTTTTTGCGGAATCCTTCTGACCCTCATGGCCCTCTAACCTCGGCCCCGAGTAAGGCTCAAGGGTATGGCGGTGATGGCAAGGGGGTCGCTGTTCGTCGATCTCGGTCATGGTTGCAAGGGTGGGTGTGTAGTGGAACTGGTTGCGTCCGTACTGGCGCTCGCGCATGCTCTGTACCCTTCGGAGGGCTTGAGCCTGCTTGAATGGCGCAACGTTGGGACTGGCTGCGGCGATCTCGCGGCTGGCGTTGGGCCCGTCCAGATGGAACTTGATGGCTTTCTGGGACAGCCTGTGGATGAGCTGCCTGCCGGCTGTGCTGTCGGCGGTGGTGGTGCGGGCAAACTGAGAGGCTGCCACTTGTGGAACATGTCGATAGCTGGAAGAGCGGACTGGCTCGCCCCCGTTGTCACTGCAGCCCGACGACTTCTTGGAGCTCGTGAGGTGGAGCTTGTGCTTGTGCAGCCGGCGCCCCTGCTGTGCGTCGCCGATACCATGTCTGTACGCTGGGTGACGTTGGTGCTCGCCTCGGTCAGAGTTCAAGGGGGCCGACGCGTCGAAGCCGACCTGCGGCGTCCGCCACGCTGCGCCGAATATCGTACGCCTCTTGCTCGGAGCGTGGCCGTTTTGCTCGGCGAGCAAGAGGGACAATCTTCGCGTCAGCTCGTCGGGATCGAGGAGCTGTGACTGCGAGGGCCGCAGCTTGTGGCACGCCGTCGCCTTGGCGGGCTTGCAGCTTGATCTGGCGGCCGATGCCCCGTATTCCGGCGGGCAGGTCATGCTGATGACCATGGCGGGTTCACGACAGGCTGGCGTCGTATCGTATAAGTGGTTGGGCCTCGTAGCTGGCGTGGTGGAGTGTCACGTTTCCAACCAGAGGTAGCCCGGGGCCAGAGTGCCAGTCGGCCAACGTAGCTAGGAGGAAGAGAAAGGCTGAAAAGGCCCAGCAGGCCCAAAGTTTTGCGGAGAAGGACAAAGGGAGGTGGGGGAGGGGGGGGTTTAAGTTGTCTGCTCGAGGAGGGCGAATCAGACAAGCAACGGCGAGCAAAGTCGTGTATGGTGCGCGAAATCGAGTCCAGTACAAGCATCGAGTCGAGAGGGCATAGGGGGATGGATATATAGGCACTTCGTCCACGGCAAATGGAGGCCATGCAGCGGTCGCACGTGAGACGATGTGCAGCGGTAGAAGCATGCATGCGTGCGCAGAGCCAAGCGCAGATGCGTGCGTCTTTTCACGAGGCGAGGGAAGGGGACTCGTCCCTTGCTGGTGCTTCTTCGGACGAGCAGGTTTCCGAGGCTGGTCGCTGCCGAGAAATCCAGGCGAAGAAGGGGGGAGATTAAACCAAGTTCTGGGCGTGTTGTCCTTGTCGTTGTTGGGAGCGGTGGAGAGAGAATGAGAGAGGATTAGGCCTGCCGACGACGACTTTATGACCGAGGATCAAGATTGGAAAGCGTCAAGGCTCCCCTGAAACTCCAAGAGCCGATGCAAGCGGCATGCTGGGCGCGCCTCATCAGAAGAGCGGGCCGCTCCTTGGCAACTGACAAGACAGGCAGGGCTCTCACGACAACTTGTGTTGTGTATCTTTGGCGTGGCCCTCGGCGGACCGACACGACATCGGGCCAGTCCTGCAGGCCCGTTGCAACGTCGGAAAAACAGCAGGGGGGCGGACAGCGAGGTTGTCTTGGCGCGCACCCTGTTTGCTACGTATGTGTATGTATGGGGGACTGGGAAGCGCGGTGTCGTCGGGGCTGCATAATGGGACATAATGGTGTCGCAGCAGCGGCAGTGGCCATGCAAATACCCTCTCTCAGTCCGGCTTTTACGCAAGTCGCTGAGCTCGTTGATTGCCGACGTCCTTGGAGACGAGCTTTGCTTGTGGCCGGATCCAAGCGGGGCCGTTGCTGCGGGCGGCTTTTGCGGGGAAAGGGGAAAGGGGGCCGGGGCCGGTCCATCCATCAGGTCACCGCTGCCATTGTCGACTTTGTTGGGCGGGAGACTGCCTGTGCATGAGGACACACGGACGGGAATCTCAACAATCGGCTTGTGCGAGGTTACAGAGAGGCCTCGGCCAAAGAGGAGATGAAGGACGGCTGCAGTGCTCCCGTACAGCAACTTGCTGCAGCAGCAGGCCAATGGTCGACGGCGCCCTCGCCCCCCTTTCTCCTCTTCTTCGCCAGCATGGCCCTCAAGGAGGACGATAGGGCCAAAGGGAGAAAGCGTAATTATATCTCACTCCAAAGAGCACGAGACCTCTACGCATCCGCGGCATTGGTTGGATGGGGGAACACGTCGTTCAAATTAGGGAGGTGACTTTTCTCTGCAATGCACCACCCGCTGGCGTTCACGGACGACGACCCTTGATTCTTGGCCCCCGCTTTTCCTTTTTCTGCCTCAGTTTCGTTTCGTTTCGTTTCGTTTCGCTTTTCCAGGGAGTGACGCCTTCGGGGCGCCAGTTACACAATGAGAGCAGCCTCTCGGTATCCTCGTGCAGTCTGTATTGGGCGCCGCTTCGCTGCAAGCTGGCTCATATTGATGCAGCCGTCCGTCGCTGGCTCTCAGGAGGTCCATGCACGAGACGGCGCCGGCGCCGAGGACACGGGGTCAGAGTAATAAAGGCAAACCTCTCGAGACCGGGTATGAGTCGATAGCGTCAGGGCGGTTGGCGGTCTCGAGGGTACAAGTCCGGTATGTGTTCCCTCGACAGTCCAGACACTTGTTCTTTCAAGCCTCCGAGCGTCCGAGGGTGAGAATTGGTATGCGAGTACATGCACGCCGCCCAATATCGACTGCTCTCTGCCACTGAGCAGGCGCCGCGATCGGGACGGGAAACCGATCTCCCGGGCTGCAAGCGCATCATGCTTAGAGAGCTGCCCAGAATAGGTGAGACAGCGAGGCCCGATGGCGTCCCGTGCTACAGGTTAAGACACGATTTGACGGCCGTCCGTCTCCGCTGAGAGGGCCGTAATCAAGGACCTGTCACGGGCTTCCTTGGTGCCCTGTCAGCGAGGCAAGGGGTGCAGACGAGAAAAATCAGGGCTGGAGCTGAATGCCAGCCAACACCGGCAAAGGTCCATGATATCAATGGGAGGGCGGAAAGGTTTGCTCGCCGCCATTGTGGCCCACAGTCTTCTGCAGACTCACAGTACAGTAGGGGGCTCTTCCTTTCTTTTCCCTCAGATCGGCTTCTGTGCAATCATCCGCCCTTGACGCTGTCCAGAAGACGGCGTTTTGCGAGAGCGGGCCCGGGGTTCGTGCATGCACCGACAGCGCGAAGGCAGTTGGCAGCACACCAAGAAGAAGCGGCCGCGAACAAGCCGAGGGCGTACCTGGCACAGGAGCATGGTTGGCTGTCTCGTCCTCGCGCCCCCGGCCACAGCTGAGTCGAGGGCAAGGCGGCGCGACAACCTGGAAACCAGGGCAATCGGGTGCCGCCTGAGCCCCCATGTGCAAAGCATGCATCTCGCCGCCCTCGCCTCCCAAAGTCCAGTCGCCGCGCTGCGGGCCCGCCGCCGAGAAATGGTGACGCGGCATCCCCGGCCGGTTCGACACAGCTCGGAAGGGTTAGGGTTTGTTGGTCAATGTCGTCAAACTGCGCAGTGTGTTGTAAGAAGGGCATTGGGCTATTAAAAGGTGTCCAGATACCTTACCAGTAGTTACTTAGGTGGCTGCCCATTTCAGCTTGCGACAGCTCTCTCTCAGGGGACACTCACTCACTGCCCTGCGTTATAGCGCTGGGAGAGCACTGGGAAGAGGGTGGCGAGTGGAACCAAGGGTTTCCCTGCCTCGCATATTTTTCGCGACAGCTGCATGTTTCTTTTTCCATTTTCTTGTTTCCTTGTCATCTCTTCACCTACGAGGTCCGGCTGGATCCCCGGCTGTGTGCGCTCTGCCGCTCGCTGGCAGGCAGGTAAGTTAACTAAGGTAGCTACGAGCAGCAGCCACGGTACCAGAACCGAGGTACCTGAAACCACCTTGGGCACCCGTGAGCCACTACAAAACTGCCGCCGAACCCACCACCCACCCCGCGCCGCCTACACAGCGTACAGAACTCGCGGTGAGCGTCGACTGCAAGCTTCCCGTCTCTCATCCCGGAGCTCCTTCAGGTCGCAGGCGGGCCCGTCCCTTGGTCTCGGCAATCTGCTGCGCCTCTCGAGAGCCTCAGAGCGGGCCTTGTCGTGCGTCTTCGGTTAGTGACCGCCGTGTTTCTTCTTTCTTCGCCGTCCCTGGCTGCGCAGCTGCCGCTCCTCATTCAACTCGATTCGCCATTTCCTTTCGTTGCCAGCCTGTTCCTGCGCTTCTTCACCACCTTCGCGCTCGCCTCCTCCTTGGCGCCCTCAGTCCGCGACCTGTGTCACGATTCCGAGCAAATTCGGAGCTCCAAAGACTCACCTCGTCCTAGAATAGACGGCCCCGAAGCTTCACACGGGCCCTCATCCGGCCCCGCGACACCGACTTCGACTTCGAGTACCCGAAGCGCCCACACGCTGAGTAACGTCACCGGCAGCCTCCTCTCATTCGCGCGCCATCTCTTGAACCCCTTCGACGACGGCTCGACCTAAAACGACTCCAAGACCTTCGTCTCCGTCGTCGACCGTCCCTTCTTCCAACCCTTCGACCCAGCCCTCGACGCACATACCGAACCAGAGCCCTCTCACAGAGACTGCGCCCCCAAACTCCACCACACCAGACATGGCAACGGCACGAACCAATGCTGGCCATCGCCCCGTAGAGAGTCTATGATCATTGGCCACCCGTAAGATCACTGGGTAAGCATCAAGGCGGCATATGCGCAAGAGGCTCCCCTTTCCGAATCCTCTTCCGCTTACCGAGCTACTCTAGCTTGGCATTGACACGAGCTTGCTGGGAACACGCAAGTGCTGATCGTGGCCTTTTGTCCTGCAGCCGATTCCAGCCTCCACCATGGAGAGCTTCAACATCGCCGTCATCGGCGGTTCCGCCGTCGGCAAGTCGTCCTTTATCCAGCGTGTCTTGGGCCTGCCGCGACCGCCCATATCCAATGCCTCCACCGTTCGCTTGGTCGTCGACAATGTCGCCCACTCTGTCACTCTTCTCGAGCTAGATCTCGCCTCTTTCGAACTCAACTCTCCCCAGCCGATTTCGTGGCCGAAGCAGATCAATGGCCATATTGTCCCAAAAGTGGATGCCTCCCTCGTACTGTATGACGTCGTCAATCAGGAGTCTATGCGTGGCCTCCCTCAAATCATCGGTACGCGCCACAACCGCGACCCGTCCTGACCCCTGAATGGTGCCAGCAAGTCCCTTGCGCTGACCTTCAAGGCAGCCGCCCTCACAAGCCCTGGCCTTCCCGCGGTCCTCGTCGCATGCAAGTGTGACAGCCCAACGGAGGACTGGGAGGTGGACGCCGACGCAATTGCAAATCACAAGGTCTTCAAGCCTTGTGTAGCCAGCTATAAAACCTTCATGGACAAGCCCGACATTTCTCAAGCGTGTTTACAGACTATACTCCGGGTCGCAATCGCCCACCGAAGAGGTAACCAAGATGCCGGCTTGTTCTTGGTGGGCTGGAAAAGTCATGTGCTAAAGAAACCCCAGACGAAAATGGCGAAACGGCCCCGAGAAGACGGGCCCAATCGGCGGTGAACCTCGAAGCCCCAGATCCTGCCGCCGGACGACCTCTCAGCGAGCACAGCAAGCACAGTCGTGCCAGCTCCGACTTTTCCGTCCTTCGCGGGTTTGCGAATCCACAATCCTCGGATAATCATCGCACGCAAGCTTCGAGGGGCGCAAGACCAGGTGAGCATCATGGTGCACCTCGAGGATCAAGAAGGAACCGCTGACATGCACAAGGCTTTCGGATGGGAAAATCCGGTGCCGATTCTTTCCTCGAACTCGAAGAGTCTGATGGAGACTCCCCTGAATACGCCGACGACATTCCCATCTTGCAAAGAGGCGATGACATTATCGTAGAAAGGCAGCCGAGGATGGCGGGCGTCACGTTTGACGAACTCGTCGACCGACTGCTTGCGCTGCGGCTGTCAAGAGCAGACAACAACTTCTCCGACATTTTTCTGTGTCTATATCGCAAGTTTGCCGCCCCTGGCGACCTCTTCTCGGCCATTCTTGTCCGGCTGGACCGAGTCAGAGACGACAAGTCGGTTCACTATCTCACGAAAACGGCAACCCAACTCAGGATAATTGAGGTGGTGGCGAAATGGGTGTCGCTGTATCCTGGTGACTTTGCTCGGCCGACAACGCGGCAGAACCTCGAGGACTTCATCACCCACCTGTCCACCGAGCCCATCTTCTCGATTGCGTCGCAACAGATGCGTCGCAACCTTCGGTTTAACGTCATCATAGACGACGATACCGGCTGGGCAAATACGGATGATGCCGGCGATGAAATAGCCAGCAAGATTCTGTCCAAGGAGATTGGCCAGTTGTCCGATGGCGTCAGCACTCTCCAGTTCAGCGACGAGGCGGGTGGCAGGCGATCGAATAGCTCGGAAACTTCGGGGCCCGAAAGAGGGACCGAGAGCGGTAGCCAGCTCCAGTTCAACTCGCCCGACGAATACGAGAGGGAGGCGGCGCTGCTGGAACCAAAAGATCTCCAGCCGATGAACAAATTCCGCTACCACATCTTCATGGACATTTCCGACGACCATATTGCCGACGAGCTCACCAGAATCGACTGGATCATGTTTTCATCCATTCGGATCCGCGATTTCGTCCGCCACGTCAGCCTGTCCGCTGCGGAAAAGGAAAAGTGCAAAGGCCTGTGCAACATCAATCGCATGATCAATCATTTCAACCACATTGCCAAGTGGGTCGCCAACATGGTGCTGCTAAGAGACAAGCCGAAGCACCGGGCGCAGATGCTGGAAAAGTTCATGGACATTGCCCTTAAACTGCGACAGTTGAATAATTACAATGGTTTGGCCGCAGTGCTGGCCGGGATCAACGGTACGGCCATCCACAGGCTCGCTCAGACAAGAGGCTTGGTCCCCGCCGATGTCCAGAAGCGATTCGCGAGACTGGTCATCCTGATGGGGACACAGAAGAGCCATTTCGCATATCGACTGGCCTGGGAGAACTCGCCGCTGCCCCGAATTCCCTTTATTCCCCTGCATCGCCGCGATCTGGTGTCGGCCGAGGAAGGGAGCAAGACGTTTGTGGGACCAAACAGGGACCGCATCAACTGGAAGAAGTTTGAAGTATTGGGAGAGGTCTTGTTGCCCATGATGAAAAGCCAGGGCACAGCATATCCCAACTTGGCCAAGCACGACTCTGCAAGAGACCTGATCCTGGACTGTCGCATGCCTACAGATGATGAGGTGAGCTCGCGCACAATCCGGCTCCCAGGCGCCGGGCAGCCTCGCTGACATGTATGCGGCAGGAGATCTATCAGCGAAGTCTGCAAGTCGAGAGCCCCTCGTCGGGCCCCGTCGAGCCAAGCAAGAACAAATTCCCCTGGTTCGCCAAGTAAGTAGATCTGCAAGCGAGGAATTTGGCAAAGCACTCGGTTAGGGGGCGGAGCGGGATTCTATGGACGGCACTCGGGCATCTCATCGATCAAGGCCTCTGGCAGGTCCGGACGTGATGGTTCGGGGGGGGGTTGCCAAGGGCTAGACGCGTTTGCAAACGCATCATGTGAGAAGATGACGACGTCACGTATCTGTGGCCTTTCTGCGGCATTGAAATCAAGTGGGCGAAGTCTTTTTTTCGCCGAGCCGCTCCTTACTCATGGGGCGAGACCAAGCTTGACGGTCCTGCCACATCTATGCCTTGGTACACGCACCTTATCTTTTGACCATGAGATATCGCACACTCGCAAAAATTCATCTCCACGGCCACGAGGTTGGCTCCAACCATGCCATTGTTTGGCCCATGAATGCTGCGTTTCTCGACCAGCCTCCAGTATGCGAGCTTGCTCGTAGGCAATGCAGCGCGAGAGCCGTCCTTGTTTGGCGATAACCTTGTCCTCGGAATGCGATGCCGAGCTCGGCCAGACGAAGGGACAAGATGCGGCACACGACAGTCTCGATGCCTGCGATACGCGTTGCTAGCAAGCTCGAAGACCTGGAGCTGGTCGTCCAGGCGTCACTGTTGCTCGGCTTGCCAGAGAGCCGGGGCCGCCTGACAAGTAGCGATGAGCTACTGGACTTGGTCACGACGAAGCACCTGTGGATCTGTCGAGCGGGCTCCTGTCACTTTAACGTCACCATATTGGTAGAAGGAGAGCCCATTGCTGGAATCGACGAGGAGGCTCGACTGGCCGAATGGGTGGGAGAGTGCGAGGTAAGCCACCTCATGCCCATGGGCCCTGGGTAGCCGGCTGAGGACGCAGGTTTGGGATCGCCTGGGGCTTCGGCTGCAGTACTGTGGCAGCACCTCGCGTACGGGGTCGCCCGGAGAGATGATTTTTTCGATCCAGCACCCCGACTTGTCGTCGGCCCTGATCGCGCCGCAGGGAGCGCTCAGTGCGGACTTTCGATCTTCGTCATGCCGCATCGACATTTCTACCACGAGAGCGTCTCGTGCCTCGAAAGGTCGCAGACGAAAGAGGCAAAGGACAGAAGACGGGCTGGCTAGGACTGAGACGCTTCCCTCGGTAACCGCCCCGGACGAGGGTGATTTCTACCACGGCCTGACCTACGCCGATCGCAAGGCAGTCGAAGCCTTTGTCTTGAGCATGGATTTCGAGGCAAGTTCTCAACAGGATAAGCAACGCGCGGAACAGGAGGATACAAACTCCGCACGGCTAGTCGAGAGCCTCATAGGCTCTAGCAGGGCGCGGGACTTGGTTCAAGTGGCCATCAGAGTACTCGTTTGCGGGCAAAAGGGGCAACACAAAGAATTCATGATCCTGCGGAGCAGTCCGTTGCATTCCCTCGCCACTCTTGCCCCGGCGGTATTCCACGTCCCATACCTAAAGGCAAGCATCCGGAGACAAGCAACGCTTGGACATTCACTCATACGGGCCACAGACGGTGTCGGATCGCGCAAAGCTCCTCCCAATAATAGCCACGTCTTTGGCTCGAATGACAAGTGCTGAGTCGCCAAGTCTGAGACAGGCCGTCGAGTCTTTGGGGGAGTCAACGCAGGTATCTGTGGCTCGCGAAGACACCCAGACCACTCATATACCCAGAGACCAAGTTGTGGCTGGAATCGAGAGAAGGGCGTAGGAAGTTCTGCTCTCGACTGTTAGGCCTGCGCCTGTTCCCAGGAAATCGGCGGAGGGTAGAGAGAGCCCGACGGATTCGCCCGCATCCGTTGAGCCCAGTCACTCTCCAGGCCCTGGCTTCTCATTCGAGGATGGTTCAGACTCCAAGCCTACCATGGTGTCGCATTTCGGGCTGTTGAACAAGACGGCCACTCCAGAGCGCCAAAGGATACACCCACCAGCGACAGGATACATGGCTTCGAACGCCTTTACCGGATGCGAGTTTTTTTCGCCAGTTCAATCTTCTAGCTCCAGTTATCTAGGGTCACAGTCGAGTTTTTCGAGCGAGCCTCTCAGCAGTCCGATGCCCACCGAGTATCACAGCTACCACTTGCCACTGGGAGACTTTTCTCCTCGGCAGCTGCCTGGCAGCACCTGGACGCGTGTGCATTCCGAGGGTTCAGAGGTGGCGGAGAGTGATGTGCATGGCGAAAGTAAGCCAGCGTATAGTTTCTCATCTCCAGACCCGGACGCATTTTCAGCATTTGAGCAGTGGCTATATTCGACCGGAGGTTTACCGAGGGATGGGACGCGGTCTGTAGCAGCAGACTGTGAGGAAACTGAAAGGGGCCGTATTCGAGACAATGTGTCATATTATAGATGAGCTTGCCAGCAAGAACTATTTGAGTGTGAAGCATCAAAGTAAATGACCATCCCAAGCCCGCTCGCGCAATATCCGGACATGATTTCTTGCATGCATATTGAGAAGACTTGAGACATGGCTCAAAGGTCTTCTTGGTGTTTATTCCCATCGCAATCAGCTGCAACGGCGAGCCCTCGGCGGCAACGTCGTTTCTGCCTGTCGCGGACTGCTCAAATCTTGGCGGTGGCGGCACCCCTGGCATTGTCCTGGGGCTTCTTGTTCTTGCGATTCTTCCTCTTCTGCTCGGGCTTGAGAGTGGCAAAGTGGATGAACCAGAGAAAGAGGCACTGGAGGGTGAGGCCGATGAGGACGACAACGAGATTGACGAAGAGGTTGGGCTGATCGTTGAGGACGGCGACGGCCTCGTTTGTGGCGCCGACGGACTTGAGCCAGTCAAAGTTGGCCATGGCGGGCGCTGAGAATGAGGCCACCAGGGCGAGGGATAAGAGGCGGGACAAGTGTTGGATGGTCGAGGTGAAGACTGGCGACTACGAGTCTGCACGCCATCGATTTGTTTTGTTAAGCGCTGGGCCCCCTTGGGACATGGGAAAAGGAGGCTGTCCTGAGACGTTTCATCAGTGCACCAGAGGACCAAACCACGACGTCCTTGGCTTGATGGCGGGGACGCCAAATTACATCCGCGGCCGGCGGGGGAAGCATCCGAGTGCTCTCACAAGTATATTTTTCGGCTTTTCCAACACCAGTGAGATTGCAACGCAGAAATAGACATATTCCTGCTTCTGAGCAGAGAAATAAGGGGTTCGGTTCGGTGGCGGTTAGATGTTGTCGTGACTCGCAATGACCGAAAAGGGTCATGCGCCCCACCACCCCACCCTGGAGTTTCTCCCGGGCTGACATGTGAGGGATCACGTGCGTTGAAAGTCTACCTCTCTCTCGTGGTTGCTTAATTACCGCTCCGCACAGTCCTGCCGTTGCGCGCAAGGCTGACGCTAGTCCCGATCAGGGTCGAGCGGCATTCAATCGGGAAACATGCTTGGCTGGGGAAAAAATCGAGCTCATGCGAGCACGAACCAGATTGACTCACGACAGAAGAGAGAGAGCTCCGACCGCAGACGCTCGCAGACCCGTCTCACCCCTGATCCCGACGGGCAGCTAGCTCGGTGGCCATGAGCGTCGCACGTCCGGCGCGCAGCCTCTTCGGCCGGTGCCTCGTCCCGACACGATCCCCGACGACGGCCGTCCCATGCCGCCAGCTGCACAGCTCCGCGCCCCGCCCCAAGCGGCGGTCACGGTTCCGCAACGTCTCGGCCGAGGAGCTGGGCCTGCTGGACCCCTCGAAACGGGCCGAGTACCGCCGGGAGACGTTTCCAGAGTACTCGGACACGGACCGCGCGGCCCTGAGCAAAAAGTACACGCCGGAGCAGCTCGAGGCCATCGAGGCCGGCGAGAAGGCCGTCAACCCGGACGACTTTATCATCCAGGGCCGCTTCCGCGATGACGCCCACCGCCCGACCTACGTCGAGGACTTTACCGTGCTCAACCCCAAGTACGACATCAAGCCCGAGATCGAGATGACGCCAACTGAGCCCAAGTGGCTGAGCCCCAGCGACTGGGCCGACGCCTACGGCACCAAGATGATGAAGCTGACGGAGGAGAAGGCAAGCAACCAGGCAACGCGGGCCATGATCCGGGCCTTCAAGAGGGTAAAGGAGAGTCAAGGGCAAGACTTTCTAGACCTTACCCCAGAGGAGCTTGATGACCTGGAAAACGACCCGGAGTTGCTCAAAAAGTACCTTATCGAGGAGGGAAATGAGGGAGCCGAGTCTGGGGCCGAGGTCCCGGAATCCGCTACGCTCACGCGGGCTCAGATCGACCAGCTGGACACGGCCATTAACGAGGCGTGGAGAAAGGAGCTCAACAAGCTACACAAGTACGACAACGATGGCGAGCTGGAGCCGACCAACCTCGAGCTCATCGAGGACGGGCCCGCGGGCGCCAACCGGATACACACGGCTGAGGCCCCGGAGCTGGGCAAGGTGCCGGGCGTCGAGGGCCTATACAAGAGGGCGGCCGACGCAGACGACGAAGGCAGGGACGACTCGGGCCGGTATCAGGAGCTCAAGCGCCTCACGGGCATGACGCTCAACGAGATCCAGTCGTTGACCTGTAAGACACTCGTCATGCGCTTCGTCCACAACCAGACTCGTCTGGGCAAGGTGCGCAGCACTTCGATCCTCTCAATTGCCGGCAACGGCAACGGCTGGCTGGGCATAGGCATGGCCAAGTCGACAGAGCCCGGCATTGCCGGCGAGACGGCCGGGATATTGGCCATCCGCAACATGAAGCCTATACGCCGCTACGAGAACCGTACTATTTACGGCGATGTCAAGGCCAAGGTGTCGGGCACAATTGTCGAGCTATTCAGTCGGCCTCCTGGTGAGTTCCGGCTGTGGCCCCTCCCTTGCCCTCCCCCCTTTCTACTTTTCGTTTGCGCTCGCTTTGTTGGAAGCAGCCGAGAAAGCAAGACTGTATTGGCAGACGATTGACGAGCGCCGCCCCCCAGGCTTTGGCCTCCGTTGCCCGCACCGCATCTTTGAAATGTGCCGCGCCGCGGGCCTGCACGACATCTCGGCGCGCATCCCACGGTCCAAGAATCCCATGAACTCGGTCAAGGCCACGTACCAGGCCCTCATGAACCAGCCCAACCCGGAGAGCATTGCCATAGGCCGCGGCAAGAAGCTCGTCGACGTGCGCAAGGTCTACTACGGCGGCGCCGTGCACTGAGACGGCGGGCCGTAGGGCTTCTCAGTGTGAGGGGGTACGGGCGGAGTTGCTGAAGTGTACACTACTTGTATATCGACGGGCTCACTGAATGACGCGCAAAAAGACAAGAGGCGTTGCGAATGTCGTTAGTGTTGGTCGTGCCGTGTTGCAGAATGTCACTGCCGAGGACAGGCCTCGTTTGTCGGTATCTGGGTATCATCAAATGGTCCCCGGGCGCCCCACGGGCCGTGTCTCTCTCTTCCTCGACACGCCGTGGCATCACCATGCCCTCCCCTTGGCGCTCTACGCCGTCGGTGCGCGCCGCCTAGTCTTTGCTCAGCGCGTCCCCGCCTCGTCGCCCTCGCCCCAGTCAATCTCCTGCTGCAGCACGATGCTGTAGACGCTCGCCTTGAGCAGGGTAAACGCCAGGCTGGTCTTGCGCTCCAGCTCGCGCAGGCCGTCGAGGATCTCGGTCGCGGGGCGCGAGGCCAGGCCGTCGAGCTCCGTGGCCAGCTGGCCCACACACCTGGCCTCAGCACAACGAGCCAGCACAGAAGCGGGGGAGAGCGGACGGGCGATTCGAGGAGAAATCGCAAGAGACATACCTGCTTCATGTTGTTGGCGAGGCGCTCGTACTCGTCCAGGACCTCTTGCTCCAGCGGCGTCAGCTCCGGCGGCGAGAGAAGATTGCTGCTGCTGCCGCCCGTGCCGCCGGCGTGCTCCATTGCGATTGCGGCGCCGTGGGTGAAGGGGCGACGGGGGAGAGGGAGAAGGCTGTTGTCGCGCGGCGCGTGACGGCGGGTTTTCGCGGCGACGATAAGGCGAGCGCCAACGATTGCCGCTAGCTGTGGCGGGGTTGTATCCATTGGGGGGGCCTAAGCTATCAGATCCTCAGGCGTAGTGTCACATGATGGGTCACGTGTGTTTGTGTGTAAGCCTGTAAGGAAGGTGTCAGAGCAGATACGGACCTATAATACGCGTTAGTAACACCTCCAAGGGGGGGATGCCTCTATTTTGCATGGTGTAGCGGTATTTTCTCAGCTTGACAGAGGGAGCTCGGGAAGAGCTCTCGTTCTATCCTGAATCCTTGAACCAGAAATTCGATGTATTTCTCGGCCCTTTCTGCCAGTTCCTCGATTGCTTCGCAATGATGGGTCCGTGTTAGCGCTACGGTAACCTAGAACTGGCACTTGCAACTTTCCCCCTAATGGCCGTGGATTTCTTCCGTGGCAGGGGCTTTTCTGCTCGTAGCCTCGTAGGGCTGCCTGTACGCTAGTCATAGAGGGCGACGGTAAGCGCTTGGTGCTGTTCTTGCTGTTGTGGCGGTATACCTCCTATTGGGGGGAGTCCTGGAAACCCGATATACCACATTTGCCATTTACCAGTAACTGTCGCGACAGAAAGAAAGAGACTTATAATACGCGGTAACAACGCCTCTACCGGGGGTGCCCCTATTTTGCTTGATAGGGGTATTTTTCCAACTTGACGGTGCCTCCTTTTTGTGCCAAGCGTCCGGCAGTTTGCGGCTCAGCCCAGGGAGGGAACCTACCTGACCGGTTGGGTGCTATATGAGGGATCTGGATAAATAGTTAAATACAGTGCTATTTTTATACATGACGCCAATCAGCCAGAGCCGTGGCTGCGTAAACCAAGGCGTTGTGCTGTTTGTTATTCACGGTGTTCACTGCGCCCACGCCTCACATGTGCTACCCAATGATGGTCCACGGTCATTCGTAGGGGCTGAGAGGCATTCGTGGCCATGTCCGCCCAAGCCGGGGTAGGCCATGGTGATCGGAAGTCTGAGGCTGAAAATCGGCTACCAAGAATAGGAATAACGCATATCGACGGCAGTGAAGGTGTCGTCGCCTTTCACACCCCGACATGACTATATAGCAGAGGACATTGTAACCCGCAGAGATCGAAGCAGAGATAACCCACCACGGCCTGTCCTGGGAAAATTCCCGACGGTCCACTGATCACGGCGGCTCGGGATGGTGATGGGACAACTCTCCGGACCAAGCTTGACAACGGGGCTTCTGTTGACTAAAGAGCCCAGGACGGGTCAACGCTGCTTCATACTGCTGTCCTCCATCAGCACCTTGCATTGGTCAAACTACTGGTCCAACGTGGAGCTGATATAGAGGCCACCGACTCGGAGGGCGCGACACCCCCCTGCCGCGCGGCACAGACCGACGCTTTCACCGTCGCCAAGTTCCTGCTCGAGAATGGGGCCAGCGTTAGTGCCGTGATAACGGTCGAATTCGGAGCTACGCCTTTGCACATTGCGGCCGTTTACAACTTGCAGCGGATGGCGCAACCGCTGCTCAAACAAGGCGCCAGAACTAACCTAGTCAATGCCGATGGGCAGACGGCTTTGGTCGCGGCCGCACACCAGGACAACCATTGGATGGTTGTGCTTCTGCTGGAAAGGGGCTGCGATCCGGGGATACAAGACACAAATGGCCACACAGCGTTCTGGTACGCTGAGTTTAGAGGCTTCGAGGGAACATTCCGGCTTCTGTTGGTCAGGGAAGTCGATATTGGCACCCGAGGTAGCCAGGGATTCCAGGCCTTGTTTGCAGTTGCGTGGATGGGACACGCGAGCATTGTCAAGGCCCTTCTCGATGCCATCTTGGATGCCCGACGGAAGCAAGCAGAAGCTGCCGACGACGGCTTTGATGACGAGTCCAAAGACAATAAATCCAGTGCGCTCGTTGGCCGGACGCCCTTGTCAGTGGCTGCAGAGCATGAGCGCCGCGAGACCGTCGAGGTCCTGCTTGCGAAACACGCCGTCAAGCCGGACTCCAAGGACCCAAGGGGGCGAATACCGCTATCATACGCTGCGCAGAATGGCCACGAGAAGGTCGCGAGGCTTCTCCTTGCCAAGTCCGGCGTCGACCCCGACTCCAAGGACGACCAAGGCAACACGCCACTTATGTATGCTGCTCAAGCGCCATTGTGCAGCTCCTCCTCGAGGCTGGAGTGGATGCGGACGCTCAGAACCAAAGAGCCCGGACGGCGCTCTCATGGGCTGCTGCAAGGGGGGACGAGCAAGTCGTGCGCATGCTGCTCGCCAGGGGCAATGTGAGGCCAAACCCGAGCGACGTGGATGGCCAAACGCCGCTGTCGCTGGCGCTGGCCGGCAGGCATAGGACAGTTGCTCGACTCATTCTTGCCCAGGACGGCGTCGATCTGCACTTTACAGATGACTGAGGTCGAAGTCCCTATTCACATGCCATCCTGAGACAGCACGAGGCAATCGTCGAGGTAATCGAGGCCAACCCAACGGCGCTCCATCCCTGTATCCCTCCTGAACAGCGGCTCGGCGACAGCAGCAAGTTGTCAAGAATATTCCCGGCATGCTACATTCAAGATGATCTGCCAGTCCCACCAAGTCCGGACGCAGCCCCTGGCGCTGTCAGGGTTCTGAATCCGCAGTTCGCGCGGACGGAGTTTGCCGGGCTGAGGAGGAGAGAGCTGGAAGCAGCACCTGGAGAGCCCGCCGACAACAGGCGTATGCGTGTCGAGCAAGGGCCAAGTTCCTTGCTCGACTTTGGCAGCCTGTTGCACACTCAACGTCATCGGCACGCGATGGAACCCCGGGACAAGGTCATCTCTCTGCTGGGAGTCGCCCAGTTTCGACGATTACAGTCTCTCTGTTCTGGACGTCTTTACCGCCGCGGCACGGTACTGCCTGGAGAGCGATCCCCAAGGCTCTCTGGATTTCCTGAGCCACGTGAGACCTCCCTTTGTCTCGCTGGACTTGCCTTCATGGCTTCCCGACTTTACAGTTGGTCTTGAAATGTATCCCATGCTACTCGAAGGCATCTTCCAAGCGTCTGGCAATGCCCCTTGTTTGGCTTTTATCGAGCACATGAGCGGCGATGGCAGCATTCAGGGGCAGCCTACCGAGCCATGCCAGAGAGATCTTCAGCCCTCAGGGCCGATATTGCACACAAGAGTGGTTCTTGCCCTGACTCTCAGAGCGTCTGTGAGCGTCACGTCGATCGATAATCACATAGACATGATGAAAGACTCCTCAGGCTCCTATCCTACCACAGACCAGACGTGGGTTGACCTACACAAAAGCGCGGTCGAGCCAAACACCGCTGCAGAGTTCAGGCCAGACCCCGACCACGTAAGTTGTGGCTTCTGGGGTTTCAAGAAGAACCCTTCGGCGTTCAGCAATGCAAGAACAGACGACTCGTCAAAACAGCCTACGGCCGAGGACCTGAAGAAGCATTTATCAGCGATGTTCAGCTTTCAAGACATGTTCCGAGCGGTGTATCATGGGATTTCGTATTTTCGTCCTTCGGTGTCACTACCGAGGGATTCATGGGCCTGGTGGCTCCAGAAAGCAAGCCTGGCGATGTCGTTGCGGTCCTGCTGGGTGCAAAAGTCCCGTTGCTTCTTCGACCAGTTGGGCCGTACTATCGGCTGATAGGCGAACGCTACATGCTGGGCATCATGCACGGCGAAGTCATGGAAAGCTTGGATGAGAAGGAGGTACAGGATATTCGGCTCGTGTTGAACGACTGTCTGGGATTGGCCCTCAAGCGGGTGGACATGCATTACCGCGAGTAAGTAACCGTCTCTTCTCTCTGGTTCAAGCGCACGCACTCGCAGGAGGCTGACAGGCAGTAGGCAGCAGCCTCTGATGATTGGACCTTGTGCACTGATGCCCAATTCACCAAGCCAGGCGAGCAGGCAGCAAGGATCTAAGCCTCTCCATCTCGAAGCCCTGGACGCCTTATAGGCAGCAAGCACAGATGATTGCAGCACTAGGCTAGCAAACGATGAGGCTCATGCTCTGTGGCATACAGGGCATCCGCTGATCCTCTGAAGCAGAGGGGTGTCCAGTCCAGTGAGGCTGGAGAAAGAGAAGACAATGACGACAGTCACGGAGTCAGCTTCTATGCAATATCCCCAGCCATCCTCGTCTTATAAAGAGCAGTCGATTTGAGTGAGGCAGCTACTACCACTTGCAATCCAACACCAGACATTCAGTTCACATTCTCGACCATGATTCCATTTACAGGAACCCTGGCCTTCAGCCATGGCACCCAAGCCTCTCCTGAGTGGAAAAGGCGCATGGAAGAGCATGAACCGGCCGAGGAGGGTGCCCTCTGCGAGATCATGACACTCTACAACCACTCCACGTCCAGACGTGACGCCAAATGGTCCGAGTTCGAAGACTTGGCCGCCGAGGAGGAACGCCTCGCAGAACTGGGAAGGAAGTTTGCCGTCATCCATCGCCGCTCCAGGGTCGAAACTGACGGGCACCTGAGTTGGGTCACGCACTCCGTCGAGGCCCAGAGCCCACGACTACGGAGCCTTCTCGACGCCGTCTTCAGCGACTATCCGTCCTGGTACCCTGACGCAACGCCGTACGCCATCGCTCCTCCGTTCAAGCCGTACGTCCACCGATGGGACAGAATCATGGAGCTCTGCGACCAGGCAGATTCCGATGAGCTACAGCTCCTGCGACGCGAACTGGAGCAACCCATCGGCTCCTACCTGTCTGCGCTAGACAGTGCCCGGAAGACAGGGACCGTCTCGTTCCGCAATCTCTGGCTCATCCTGGCACCGGGGTCTCTCGTGGTGTCTCAAAAGAGCGGCAGTCCCTGCGTGTCGACTCTGGCGAGGGTCGGCTTCGTGCCCGCCACCAGGGCCTGCCCGGCATATTGGGCTCTGACACTGGTTCACGTTGACTGGAACGGAGAGTCCTGTGGGCTGGGCAGCCAAGCACAAAACATCCTCGAGTACGAAGACTCCATCCTCGTCACAAAACTCGACATCATCCCCCTTGAGTTTGCGCCGGATCGAAAGGGGCTCCAAGCGAAGCTCCTGGCGAGAGGAAGGAAGTTTGAAGCCCTCCGGGGCTTCCACACCAGGGCCTACACGGGAAAGAAATACGTAAGGCAAGGCAGTTTCATGGTGGAAAAGCCGGTGAGCTCACCCTTCGCGCCGAGCTGTCTGCTAGACTGTGCTGACGTCTAGATATAGGTTTCCGGTCGCATCATCGTTGACGCTCATGCATACCATCAAGTGCAGCAGACGGTGGCCCCGAAACTGGCTCCCCTTGACTCTCTGACGAGTCCTGGAAGCCTCTCATCACAAATGCTCAGCGCAATTTCAGCGGACAATGGCCGTCCCCCGAGCTCCTCCGGATCCGGCTCTTCTGGATCCGTCTCCTCCGGGTCCATCTCCTCCGGGTCCGACTCCTCCGGGCCCGAAACCAAAGTCTTAGTGTATCCCAGACTCAGTAAACGCAGAAGCAGGGCTCAGAAAGCATACAGGGGCCGAGAGAAAAAGCCAGAAGACAGCAAGGACAAGAAATCAGACAGAAGGGAAGACCTGACTGCGCTTACTGAACTGCAGTGCATCCTTGCCGTCCCCCGAGTCAAGGGCTTTGATCTGCGAGCGAAGGAATGGTGTACGGTCCTGAAGGCACCCTCTTGGATGGCTTGGTTTGCTGACGGGCTGCCTCTCAGGTGAGTTCGACGTCGACGACATGGAACCCGTCGAGTGGGACACCTCGCCCTACGACAACCTCGTGCTTCCAGAGGGCGAGAAGGACCTCATTGCGGCCTTTGCGGATCGCCGCGGGCTCAGCACGCAGGGCTTTGACGATTTCATCGCCCACAAGGGTAGAGATTGCTGCAAAGAGGGCATCGGCAGCGAGGCTGACTTGCTGCTACAGGAAAGGGCATCATCATTCTCCTTTGCGGTCCTCCGGGCGTCGGCAAAACCCTGACAGCTGAAGCAGGCAAGACGCATCATTTCCCCCTCCACGGCTTCACCATCCAGCTCAGGCATGACTGACCGGCCCACGATTGAACAGTGGCGGAAAAGTCTCGCGTGCCGCTGTACGTCCTGAGCGCCGGGGATCTTGGCACGGCCCCCGAGAAGGTCGAGGCCGGCCTTGCGGAAGCATTCGAGTGCTGCCGACTGTGGGACGCGGTCCTCCTGCTCGACGAGGCCGACGTCTACCTCGAGAAAAGAGACGCCAGCAGTCTCCGCCGGAACGAGCTCGTGTCCAGTATGCCAAGCTGCCCATGTCCGCCGCAGCGGCGTGCAGTAGGCCAAGGCTGACACCCCTTAGTCTTCCTTCGCCAGCTCGAGTACTACCGTGGCCTCATGTTCCTGACGACGAACCGCGTCGCGGCCATTGATCCGGCCTTCAAGTCCCGGCTTGACCTCGTCCTTCCGTATCATGACCTCGATGAGTCGTGTCGCCGAAAGGTCTGGGTCAATTTCGTCCAGCGGCTGGGGCCGGATGTGGCTTCTCTTGCCGACGGCGACTTTGACCAACTGGCAAAGACGCGGCTGAACGGGAGAGAGATCAAGAACTCGATCAAGACAGCCCTTGTTCTGGCCAACTATGATAAGCCACTCAGACTCGGGCACCTCACGACCGTCTTGAACATTCGCAAGCGTGTGGCGACCTTGGAAGAGGCCTGAATCGGGTGTCCGTACAGTCGTCCGTGTCCACGCTCTCCGCACTTCCATCTTCCCCCTGAGAAGCCTCGGCACCAACCCCCTATGTCAAGCCTACACATGGTCCCAGCTATACACGGAAAGGCACGTTTGGAAGGTAAAACGGTCAAGATTCTAATCGAAAAAAACTAAAACTAGAACGCTCGAGGCTGTAATACAATCTTGGTGCTGTTGATCCATGACATCGTTATCCCCAAGGCTGCACATGTACTCGTTTCTCTTCGTCGACGTCGCCGCAAGCAGAGGAGGCACGACTCTGGCTCCCCTGCCCTCAACCGGCGGCGGTTGAAAGCAACTACTGCCCGTACACCACGAGCTCGTTGTCTCCGCCGGCCTCGGTCCCCACGGCGCTCTCCGAGTACTCGCTGCCGCCGTCGTCGTACTCGCTGTACGCCGCCTCCGACTCCGTGTACTGACCCGTGCTCGACGTAAGCACCGTCGTGCCCATGCTGCTCCGACGCAGCGTCCCCGCGTCACTGTGGCCGTCGTCGTCGTCGTCGACAACCGTCGAGTCGAGCGCCGTCGTCGAGCCGTCGTCGCCCGTCTCGCCGTCCAGCGACGGCGGCGCCCCGGCCTCGGACTCCTCAACCTCCTCCACCGTCTCTCTCACGCCCACGTTCTCCTTGTCCTCGGCGTCGAACCCCTTGCCCATGCCGCCGCCCCAGCTGCGCTTCCGGAGCGCCGTGCCGTGGGGCGTCCTGACGCTCTGGCTCCTCTTCACCATGCTCGACGGCGCGTTGTTGTTCATCTGGCTGAGCGACGCAATACGTCGAGCAGCTCCGTTCTGCGCCGCCGGTGCCAGGTTTCGCTTCGCTGACAGCGCAATGTTGACGGCCGGCCGCGCCTTGCACGCCTCTGCCTGCTGCGCCGGCGATTTCTTGGTGCGTTTGCGGCTCATCTTGTCGCCCTCTTTGCTGCTCTTGGCCATGAGCAGCACCCGCGAATGGTCCATGACGCCCTCCATGATGCGGCGTTCCAGGCGATCTGCGCGATACTCCATGTCGGACAACGCCTCTTTGCGCAGTCGCATGGCCGTTTCGAGCGAAGACACGTCGCCGGTGAGCCTCGTTTTCTGTCTGATGAGGCTCTCCTGCTCTGTGCGAAGGCTCACGACGCTCCGCCGAAGTCTCTCCTCCTCGTCTCTTAGACTCGACACGGACACTTCCAGGTGCTCCTTCTCGGCAAGCTTGCGCTCGAGCATAGCAGTCGTCTCTTGGAGAGTCCGCTCCCGATCCTCGTGGTCGTCGGCGATGCGTTGCGTCTGGTTGGAGAGGAACTGCGAAAGGTCGGCGGCTGTCTTGGACACCGACTGGTGCACCTGATCTAGAGCCTCCAGCCGGGCCAGTGCCTCCGCCGCGCTGTCGCTGTGCTCCACGAGCCTGTCGAGCTTCTGCTGCACTCCCGCGTCATCGTACCTTTGCTCGGCCAGCTTCTCCAGCTTCTCCAGGACCTGCGAGTCGTCGTACTTGTCTTCAATGAGCCTTCCCAGCGTCTCCCGCACCCCTGTGTCGTCGTACTTGAGCTCCGTCAACCTGTCCAGCTTCTCGCGCACCTCTGAGTCGTCGTACTTCTCGGGAGGCGGGAGCGCGGGCTGCTCCGGCGGCTTCGACTCCACAATCTTGTCCTGCAGCTCCGTCGTCGAGGCCTTGGAGTGTTCAAAGTGCTCGCCGACGAGGAGCAAGAGGTCCTTGACTGCCTCGAGGATCTGGGGGTGAAACTCCTTGACCTCGCCCTGCAGTTCTTCGACGGCCGTGACCGTTTGCTGGATTTGATCGCGCGTCTGCTGATGCTCCGTCTTGCCATCCGTGTGGTTCTCCTCGGCACGAGAAGCGAGCTCCTCGACTTGAGCAAAGACGGTCTTGGAGGCTTCCTCCATCTTTTCCAGCGAGTCCGTCACCGTCGACCCCAGCGTGTCGATGAGCAGCTTCACCTCTTCGGCCACGGCCTTGGTACCGACAACGGCCGCCTCCGTCTCAATGTCTCGAGCTTCGCCTGCTGCGTTCCTCTCGTCCATGGCTGCCTTGAACTCGTCGTACTTGGTAATCAACTCTGCCATCTTGTCGTCGATCTTGGTGCCGATATTCTCCGTGGCTTCTTGCAGCTTCTCGTTGGACTCCAGCCGCGCACCGGCGACAACCTCCTTGGACTCGTCGAACTGCGTCTTCATGGTGTCGAGCATTTCCTTCAAGTCCGTCCCAACATTCTCGTTCTTTGCGACCGTCTCGCTCATGCCTTCGAGGAGCTTGTTGAGCGCCTCAAGGCCGGTGGAGCCTTCCTCCAGCCGGCCCTTGACGGTCTCCTGGAATTCCTCCAAAAAGGCCTTGACGTCCGTCACGCGATCAGCGACGCCAACAATCTCAGCCTGTCGGTCGTCAAAAGCTTTGGAGGATGACTCGACATGGGTCTCAAGCTTCTCCGCGGCCTCCTTGACAGCCGTCTCCAGGCCGGCAATGTCCTCCTTGTTCGAAAACGACGCAAAATCAGCGACCGCGAGCCCGTCGAGCATTGTCTTCATCTCGAGGACAACCGTCTCTACCGCCTCAATGTCCGTCTTGGTGGCCTTGTCGTCGTTGGCCGCATCCTTTTCCGCAAGCTCCTTCGTCTCGTCTAAACGGGCACCGACTTGGCCGAGGAGGGTTTCCAGCTCCGCCAAGTCTTCCTTTTGGCAGACGCCTCCAAGCTGGTCAGACACGGAACCCAGAGTCTCGCGGGTCTCGAGGGCAAGACTCTCGACGACATCCAGATGTTCCTTGCGGACTGCCTGCTCTCCGTCAATCAGATCGTCGAGGAGTGCCTTTGTGTTACGGAGAATCGTCTCGATGGCCTCGACGTCTTCCTTGGTCGCTGCGTCACCGTTGGCTGCCGGAGGAGCGTCTCTCGCCTCCTCCTCTTCCACCGGAGCTGGTGGCGCCCGGGACGAGATGTCGTTGACGCGCTCCTGCACATCGCGAAGCATGTCCTCCAATCGGGCCAGGTCTTCTTGATGAAGGCTTTCTGTCTCTCTTTGGGGCTCCATGGCCTCAACCTTGATTCTCAGTTGAGTGATAAGGACCTCGAGGTTTTTGATGTCGTCTTGTTTGATCATGTCGGCAGGAATAATGGCGTTATCGGGTGCCTCGTTGCTGAGTGCCGTCACGGCTGCAACCGTCTTGTCGTTGCTGCTATCGCGTAGAGCTTCAATGTCCGCTCGCACCGAGTCCAGGCCCGACCTGAGCGCGTCCATGATCTCGTCATTGGCGGTCAGGTCAACGGGCTTGTTCGTCACCTTGTCGATCCCCACGCGGAGTTCGTTTAGGCCCTCCTGCAGGGCGTCCAGGATCTCGCTGGTTTCGGGACGTGGCCTGAGGATTTCCTGCCTGAGGCTGTTAAGACCACTGTGCAGAGCCTCGAGTACTTCCTGGTTGTTGTTGGGGGTCTGGGGGCTCGCGGGAACCATTGAGGAGTTTACAATCTCCCGCAAGCCTTCAAGCTCGGTCTGAAGCTGTTCACGCGAGCTCTCGTTGGCCTCGGATACCACATGCGCAAGCTCCTCCTTGAGCTCCTCCATGCTTCTACAGATGCTCTCAATGATCTCGTCCTGTCCAGAGGCCCCAGCGGCGCGGTCAACGTAGCCTTCGATGGCGACGCGGAGGTTCTCCAGGCCGTCCTTGGTTGCGTCGAGGATCTGCTCTGTGTCTCGCTCATCGTGCGAGCCGTCTTGAGCCTGCGTCTGGGACACCAGCTCGGTGATATCCTCCTTGAACTCGTCCATGCTTCTGACAAGACTCTCCATGAGCTCTTCCTGGCCAGAGGCACCGGTAGCGCGATCGACGTAGCCCTCGATGGCGACACGAAGGCTCTCCAGGCCGTCCTTGGTCGCGTCCAGGATCTGCTCCGTGTCTCGCTCATTGTGCGGGCCATCGCGGACCTGGGTTTGGGACACCAACTCGGTGAGCTCCTCCTTGAACTCGTCCATGCTTCTGGCAAGACTCTCCATGAACTCTTCCTGGCCCGAGGCGCCGGTAGCGCGGTCGACGTAGCTCTCGAGCGCTGCGCGAAGGCTCTCCAGGCCGTCGTTGGTTGCGTCGAGCACCTGTTCCGTGTCTCGGCCGTTGGCGGCGACGTTCTCCTTTGCCTCCTCGGACACGGCCTTGAACTCGGCTTTGAGGTAGTCCATGATGTCGTGCAGCCGCGTCAGGACCTCGTCGTTGTTGGAATGGGCAACGAGGGCGTCGCCGCGGGGGAGATCCAAGCCCTCGAGCCCTTCCTTGACGGCGTGCACCATGTCGCTGTGTGTCATGTCGTGGCCAACGGCAGAGGCCGACACGGGAAACTCGAACTCCTCGAGACAGTCGCGGACTGCTTCGATGATCTCGTCTCTGGATATGGTGGCTGTCGTGTCCATCTGCGGTGGCACAAAGTGCTTCAGGCCCTCGACGACGGCCTTGAACACCTCCTCCCTCGTGGCCCCCGCCGGCTTCTCGTCACGGGGCATGTATTCCTGGAGCCCCTCCTTGAGGCACGTCAAGACCTCTTCGCGCTCCAGGCCCAGATGCTGAACTTCGATTTCGGGCTTGTAGTTTTCCCATGCGTCCCGCACAGCCTCGATGACGTCCTCCCTGCTCAGGTCGGGCATCTCGCCTCGGGAAGCCTCGTTGTCCCGGAGGGCTGCTCGCATGGCGTTGTAGATCTCCTGGTAGTCGACCAGCGTCTTCTGCGACGATGCCGAAGCCTGGGACTGGCGTCGGTGCTCGCGGAGAACGTGATTCAGCTGTTCCTTCATTTGCTCCAGGCCCTCATCAATCACCCTTGAGACCTCGTCCTTGCTAGGGGCCTCGGATTCCTCAATGGCCTTGTCGCCCATCTTTTCCAGCCTCTTGCCGAGCTCGCGGCCCATGCCGAGGACTTCGCCCCGGAGCTCGCGCACCAGGGCCTTGACCTCGGCGGTCAGGCCGCCGCCCTGAGCGACGCTATCTTTGACAGAGCGTATGATCTGGATGAGGTCCTCGTTCAGTAGCTCTGCGCCTCTCCCTGGGGGTGCCGAGGATCTCCGGGATTCGCCACTGTTCAGCAGTCGTTCCATTCGTTGGGTCAAGGCGCCGTTGTCACTGAGCCCCAGCGAGCCCTGGTCGCCGAGAGATTTGTAGCGGACTGAAACATCGGGCACGATTGCGCTTTCCGACTGCTCACGGACGAGCTCGGCGAGCTCGTCGATCTTGTCGGCCGTGGCCATGCCAGATACCTTCTCGGCCAGCTCCTTGAGGAGGTCCAGCAGCGACTCGTTTCCCTCCTTGGTGCCGAGCCCGCGCAGAATCTTGTCCAGGAGCGCAATGGACGCGGCCCCCTCGGCGGCGCCGGACAGCGACGGCGTGCTGACGGAAGCGCCGTCAATCGAGTCGGCAAAGCTCCTGGGAGATGGTATCCGGGGCACTTGAAAGGGCCGCCCATTCGAGGGCGAGGTGCAGTGGGGCTTGTTGTCGATGAACAGCCCGGCAAAGTGCTCGCGCGACGTGATTCTGCTCGATGCCTCGCTCATGTTTCCCATCAGGTCTCGGAGGCCCCTGCGGATATCCTCGTCTCTCGTGCTGGTGGCCTCTTTGAGGCTCAACAAGTCGGTGGCATTGTCCTTGCTCCGCCTGCTGAGCTGTGTCAGGTCCTTCTTCAGGGACTGGGCGATGCTGGTCAGGCTGAGAATCTGCGCAGAGAGTCCTTCCAGGCTATGGGGCCCCTTGCCGACCGAGGCGCCGTTTGTGATGTTGGATAGGGCGGGCTCGCCGTCCTGCGACCTCGGCCGAGCACCCATGGCCTGCAGAGCGAGCATTGTCGATGACTGAGGCGGCGTGTTCTCGCCCAGGATGCTTTGGGTAGTGGCTGGTCGGCGGACGGTCGGGCGAACGATTGGCGTCAAGCTGGGCCCCGGCATCGATGGCGGTCCGTCGGTGCAATGCTCGTTGGATCGCGACTCGAAGCCCGGGTAACCCTGCGTGGGAGTCGACGGCCTGTCCTGCCTGTCACCCGGTCGTCCAGGAGTCTGCGGCAAGATGCGGGGGCCCTCGAGCATGAGACTGAGGTCGCGCACGGAGCCGGGCTGCAACGACTGCATGCGCCGGTGGGATCCCTTGACCAAGGCCTTTTCGGGAGAGCCGTCATTCATGCGCCTGGCCAGGGCGGGGACGAGGGCAGCACTCTCGCGCGCGCGCTCGCCAAGGGCCGCATGGGCCGACTGGATGGCGCTCGAGGTGCCGGCGCGCGAGGAGAAGCTGGGCGACTGGGGGTTCAGAGGCAGAGGCGGCGGCGCGCGGTCTGGATCCGAGCTATCCCACCTGGTCCTCGTCAGCTTGCGCCACATGAAAGACGGAGTTGTAGTAAGGTAGAAGAAATGAGGACGACGCACATGGGAACCAGAGCTCGGCTACCATGATCCGACGAGGCAGAGTGTTGGTGTCTCAGACGTCTCTCGCCCTCTGGGGGCGAGTCCCTCTCCGACTGTGGCATGCTGGAATGAAGCAGTGGATGCGAAGGTATGTATGTCTGTGTGCCGAGGGCACCGCAGCAGCTCCGGTGCGGGTACTCGGTCCCGGAGCTGGTCGGTCGATTTCAGGCCGATGGTGATTACAAAGTTCTGCGAGGCTGTACTCTGCAGCTGTCGCGGGAGACTGGTTGAAGAGATGAAATTGCAGTTCAACTGCGCAATCCCAGATGCTGTCTTGGAGGAAAACAGAGAGGAGAGGAGAGAGGGCGACGCGGACAGGGCCGCTCACCGCATGGTAGGTACAACACGCGCTAATAATGGAGGCGCTCACTGCGAAGCAAGTTACACACATGCAGCAGGGGGCTACTTTCCATTGTCCAGCTCTCTGTCGCAGACGGGCGGCTGTTGGGCTCGGGGCAGGTGAGCTGGTGTGTTGTGTGTTTGCGCCATCGGCCGAGCGTCGCCTGGGGCAACGGCGCGTAGTGGACCACGTCAGTGCCGCCCAGGTGGCTGTAAATACATAATTACCTTAGTACGTACCTACTTCTACAAGTACCTCGAATCACCTATGAACAAAGCCTAAGAGCCAGCGGAGTAATTAGCGGGGTCCGGGGGCGGGAGCCAAAGTGCCGTGCTCGATCCAATCCGATTCGCCAACAACTCACCTTTTTGACTCAACATCAAATAGTCCGGGCTTTCTGCTCGTCCCTTGATGATATTGCTGATGATTCGACAGCTGGCCCCTGGCGATTCCTCTCCCACGTATGTACTCCGTAACTGCAACTTTGTCTCTGTTTGCTCGTCCACCCTTGACCCAGGCGGTGTGCAAAAGTAAATGCATGCAGCAGGTAGGAACAAACACTCTGTACCAAGTGGTTGAGATTAAAGAGCCGAGTAGTGTGTCTTCTTTCTCTATGCCCAACCGACATACTGGTGCTGTTCTGCTCATTCGGCGAGCCCCTTGCCCACACGTAGGCGGCCTGAAGCACCCGTCATCTAGGTCCTTTCACTACCTGCCTACCCCTTGACAGTCCATCGTCTCCAAGGTGACCAATCAAGTCCTAGCCAAGAGAAAAAGACGAATATTAACAATAACAAACCAAGCCCAATCATGAACCCGTCCTCTGTCACCGCATGGCGGCGTCAAAGGCAGGGATGAGTGTCTGGGCAAGCCAGAACGAGAAGACCAGCTTGGGTCCCGTCATGAGAAGCTACAAACAGTAGACGTCAGCCGCAGTCAACTAAGGCGCGCCCGCACCGCCCTACCTTGGGAACCAGGCCCTTGAAGAAGCTGGAGAATCCTTCTTGCCGGGCCATGTTTGTGAGGATGCGGAATCCGCTCTCGGGGTTCTCGAAGTTGCGGTTCTGGATTCGCGTCTTGATCACGTCGAGAGGAGCCGACACTACCAACGAGGCCGACGCGCCAGCAATCGAAGCCACAAAGTTCTGGAACCATGTCGCTTTGTTATAGTCCTGCAGGTGGAACAGGTATTCCTTGGCAAAAGCAGAACCTCCGAAAAGCTATTTGCCACGCGTTTAGTGCAACTGAATTAATCCGCTCCAGGGCCGGCCCGGCATACCGCGAATGAGCCAGGGGCGTTTCGGGCGGCAGTCCACCCCCAGCCTCGATAAAGGCCGAAGCCCTCGTCCGCAACAATCTTGAGGACACCACGGCCCCTGAAGGCCTCGGGGTTCGTCTGACGTTTGATCTTGAGCACGTCGAGGGGCAGAAGGACGATCTCTCCGATGCCGATCAGGCTGGCACAAGTTAGAAGTTTGCTCGAGCCCAGGAACCAGCCATCGCCAACACTCACCTGCCTGCCGTAGAGTGCATGATTGCTTTGCCAGTCTTCTTTCCAAACGCCGATTCAAAGTCCGTTCCATAGTGCTTGGCGAGGTAGTCCCGTGCAATGGGCTGGCCGCCATATTTGTATATCCTCTGGAGGATCTTGTAGCCCGCGGCGTAGCCCAGACCCGGGAATAGAGAGACAAACTTGCGGCCAAAGGGAGCGGTGGCCTTGTCCTTGAAGATGACTCGGTTGAGTTCGCTGGCGCCGGCGATCTGCAGTGATTTTGATTCAGTTTGTGTCCATGCTATTCACTGCTGGCTCCTGCTCACTCGGGTCTGGTTGCTCATCAATCGCTTCGCAATCGTGTCCACCTTGAACAAGGCCAACGTCAGCGCATGGTTCTCGGGAGTAGCCTCGTCTTGTGGCGGCGGTGACGCACGGGGTGGAAGATGGCCAGCTCGGCGATGCCAGCAGAGCCTATCGATCGGCTGTCAGCACGTGCGCGTTTCTCGACGAATGGCAAGAGTACCTGAGCCGAGGAGCCTGGCCAGGTTCGACTCCTTTTCACGGCCAGCGACCATTGCCGGGGGCGACATGATGGGCGATGCGGATTGCTCTTTTTCGAACTTGCCAACGAGTGACGGCGGAAATTTTCCTGCCCAAGAAAATCATAAGCTGGACCGACAGGGACCAACAACCTTCGGTCGGGAGCGCACCCAACTGTATCCCAGTGCTAGCCAAGCCGCCCGAAAAGGTACATGGCTTCAAGGTACGAACTCGGCAGTACTCCGTAGGCCTCTGTCGGCGACACTGTAGCACTACCGCTTGGCGCACCCTGTTGGATACCTCGGGTCTCTTAGCGGGTACTTTTTATCGTCAGCGCCACAAAGTACCCTGCCCTGAGAGCTCGCGCGGATTTCCGCAGCCAATGCTGCCAACCGATCCACATGTCACGCAGCTACCCTACAGTTAAAGGGTCGTTCCGAAATGCAGATTCAATGCACCTTCCTTTGTCATCACACTTTCTTGGCATGCAATTGTTAAGAAAGTGGCACAATTTCTACCAATTTGCTTAACACGTGCACGACAACCTCTGTAGCCGCGCTCTGCGCTGGCTTCGGCTGCGGCCATGGCATCTGCCACGAGCTCGCATGCCAGCTCGGATCCCTTTGATCTGGGTGCTCATACCCCGCCTAACCTTGCTCGCTTAGCCCGTGCATCTCAGCTGCGAAATAGTTCTCCCATTGTGACCCGTCCCATTGGTCTCTCTTCAGCATTCCGGCGGCCGGCAGCAACGCCGTCGTCGCCCCTCATCCGCCTGTCCAATGCCGCCGCTACGGAAGGAGCGCGGCGTGAACCGTCCGAGCCTGCCCGGCACCACCGAGACCGACGTGCTCCAACCGGTGTCTATCATTGATGCAGCTAACAAACTCGCCGGCGACGAAACCGATGCCCACAACGCCAAAATGACGGTTTTCGGGCCTTCTGCGAATCATTCGAGCAGACTGCGAAGCAATTCACATCTGGTCTCGAACACAGCTTCGCAGAGCACTTCTCCAACCGTTTTCTCGACCTCTGGAGGCAGACGCCCTCCGATCTCCGACTCGCATCTGCGCCGACGTACAGCAGCGTGGCCGCCGGTCGCACCGCAAGCCAGCGGCCATGTGGCCACTCTCCACGGCCGCTGCAGCCCCGCAACAAGAGCCACAACAGCCAATTTCCCGTCTCCAGGGACGACCAATCCCCGCCCGCCGAAAGAAGACCTCCGGGTTTTGTGCGACTCCCGGCCGAAGCACCGGCGAGGACCACAATAGCTACGCAATCCGGACCCACATTGCCGCCAAAGTCGGCATCGACCTTCACCAAGTCCCAGCCGCTTTCAAGGTGAACTCCGGATGGGCCATCAGAACAACAGATGCGACCATTCGGGATCTTATCGTCCAACGACAGTCAGAGTGGTCCCAAGACATGGGCGCGACAGATGTAGAAATCAGCCAGAGATGGTACACCTACGCCGTGGCAAACTGCCCTATATTCTTACCGACCTACAGGGAAAGAATTGGACTACGAGCCAGCCGCCAAAGATGAAATCGCCTGCCAGACCGGCCTCAAACCCATCAGGGTGCGCCCCGCCAGGCGCAAGCCGAACGACCCCCTGACCTGTACCTTGATTGTCTCATTCCTCGAACCGACTGATAAGCCCTGGAGGCTGTTTGGATCCAGTCGGCTCGCCCAATACATGAGAGATCTAGCCTGCCCAGCCAGTGCGACAAGTGCTGGGACTTTCACGCCCGACACACCTGCGACCGACAAGCATCCTGCAAGCGGTGCGGACGGCGCGGCCACGACGCGGAAGCTTGCGTGGCCCTCGAGCGGTGCGCGAACTGCCTTGGGCCCCACGCCGCAGACTTTGCGAAGTGCCCTGCGCGCCCGAAGCGATCACACGGCGTCATTCGCCGTCTGACGAGAAGAAATCTCGCGTCCGAGGCTGGGCGCTCAACTGTCCGCCCGGCGAAAGGAACAATACGAAAGAGTAGAACGATCCGAGCAGCCCGAACGGGATGCCACCTGCTCGCCGGGTGGTGTCACCGAAAGACAGTAACGCCTGGGCCTGACAGGAAGACCGCCTCGGAATCGACGCACCTCACCCCGACCTCAAGTGCTGCCCGGGACGACGGACAGCAAGCCCAACCTCATGACGAAGCCCCACGGCGCGGTAGCGAATCGACCCTAAGCTCGACCAGGACCGTAACCCCGCCTTCCGTCATGATGGCCTCGGCACCCAAACCTCCGGGTGGAGGCCAACGACACAGATCTGCTTCTCCTACGAAGAAGCGACGCATCGTGAGGACTCTGTCTCTCCATGACGAGATACCCACGCACAAATCAATGTGGCAATAAGACTCTGCGAGTCTTCCAAGCGAACGTGGGCAAGATCTCGCCGGCGCACGACTGCGCCCTTGCCCTCGCCGATTCCGAACATTACGATGTGGTGCTCCTCCAGGAGCCATGGACAGAAACAAAGGGCGGCCGATGCCTTGCAAAACACATCCCGCCTACGACACCTTCTCCCGGTTGACAGCTGGGAAGACAATAGCACCCGACCCAGAGTCATGACCTATGTCCGCCGCAGGCCTGGGCTGATGGTAGATCAGAGGAGGCCCGCGGCAACTCGTGACATTCTTTGGCTCACGGTCAACGACATCACTTTGGTCAACGTTTACCGCCAACCGTCATACGACGAGGCCCTCGACATACTACTCCAATGGCCCGCGCCAAACAGATGTCTGGTAGCAGGCGATTTCAACGCCAAACACCACAGCTGGCAAGCCGGCCGCATCGAGGGCCGCGGCGAGGCTGTAACTGCATGGGCGACAGCCAACGGTCTGAACCTGCTCAACCCGGCTGACGTCCCGACAAATCCTCATGGCAATACGATCGACCTTGCCTTCTCTAATATCGCCTTGGCCAATGCCGTGGTGGAAGACCATCTTGCCACCAGCTCCGACCACTTCACGCTCAGCACTACCCTGCCTGAGCTCGCTGTAGCGCCCCCACCCACTGGGAAGGTTCGCCTTACCTCTGACGAGGAAATAAGACGCTTCGTAGAGATGGTTGAAAACGGCGTGGCGGCTATCGAGCCGTCAACCGCTTCCCCTCAAGACTTGGATTCACTTGCCTTAGCAGTGACTAACCTACTTCAGTTTGCCGCCAAAGCTGCAGGCCGGCCGGTCCGCAAGGGCGCACGCAGCGCGCCCTGGTGGACGGAGGAATGCTCCTTGGCCGCGGTGGAGTATCGCGCAGTGAGGAGAGTCTACGCTCTCGGTTTCGGCCGAGAGGTTCAGCTCGCGAGGAAGTTCCAGAGAGTCGTGCGGCGAGTCAAGCGCCGTTACTGGCGCGATCTGATTGACAGCTTCACGGACAGTGCGTCCGTCTTCAAGGCGGTCGGTTGGGTGAGATCGCCGGGTGCTTTCAACCACCGCCTCTGCAAGTGGATGATACCGTCTATGAGACCCAACTAGACAAAGCCAACGCCCTGCGACGAGCAACGCTCGAACGTCGCACTTCGCAGGATGACATCACGGATCCGTGGGTCCCAGTGGACACAGCGAGGACGATTCCTTTCGCTCAGAACGTTTCCCTGGAGGAGGTCCGGGACGCGACCCTTCGCACGGGTAACACCTCTCCGGCTCCGATAACATTACGGTCAAGATGCTCCGTGCCGTCTGGCATACCATTGGAAGCCTCGTCCACAAGCTGTATCAGGGCTGTCTCGACATCGGTCACCATCCTAAGCCTTTCAGGAAGCGGAAGTGGTTATGATCACGAAGCCGGGGCGTCGGAACCTGTCAGAGGCCCGCGCCTGGCGTCCAATCTCTCTCTCCTGTCTGGGAAAGGCCTCGAACGGCTTATTGCGCGCCGTTTGGCGTGGGCATCCGTCCACTATGGTGTCTTGCACCCACAACAAGCTGGCGCATTGCCGAAAAGGTCCGCTGTTGACCTTGTCGCCGCATTGGTACACGACATCGAGGAGGCTTTCTCGCGCAAGCAGGTCGCCACACTCGTGACAATGGACGTCGAAGGCGCCTTCGACACTGTCCTTCGTAGCAGGCTCATTCTTCGCCTTCGGCAGCAAGGATGGCCTCGGAATGTCGCTCGTTGGGCTGGCTCCTTTATGCATGACCGAGCAGCACGTGTCCGCTACCAGGATGTCATGACACCCTCGTCACCCTTGCAGTGCGGACTGCCGCAAGGATCGCCAGCTTCTCCCATACTTTTCCTACTATACACAGAGCCAATCTACCGCCTGAGCAACCCCAAGGGCGCTTCGGCTATGCAGACGACACTGCCGTCCTTTGCGTCGGAGACTCCCTGGAGGAGACTGCCCACAGAGCGTCGAAACATGTTCACGAACTCATGACATGGGGCACCGCGAACGCGATAACCTTCGACCCCAAGAAGACTGAAGTCATGCACTTCTCCCGAACTACACCGAGGAATGCACCTCCAGTCTTCCATGGCGAGGTAGAAAAGCGGCCAGGCTCAGCCATGCGGTGGCTCGGCATCTGGCTTGACAGCACCCTGACGTTCAAGACGCACGTCGAAGTGGACTGCCAAAGCGCAAGCAGTGGCCTACCATCTCAAGGGTTTGACAAATACCAACCGCGCCCCCTACCAGGTGCGGTCCGGAGAGCCGTCCGCGCCTGCATCGAGCCGCAATTGTTCTTTGGGGCAGAGGCGTGGTACCCGGGCATGACCTGCCCGCGATGGAATAAGCCGGCAAAGGAAGGGCCATCAAGAATACGGCACCTCATCCGGCGGATGGACAAGTCGCTCAACACGGCCATGCGAGCCATCCTCCCGGTCTGGAAGACGACGCCGCTCAGCGCCAGGCACCGGGAGGCGGGCATACCGCCAGTTTCGCACCTGCTCCAGGCGTGTCGAACGCGCTTCGCAGCCCGTCTCAAGTCCCTCGACGAAGCGCACCCGCTTGCGGTGCGAACGAAGCCGATCCGGGCCCCTGTCATCAACAGGGCCATTAAGTTAAAATACCAGCGTCCACGACAACCTTTCCGGACCAGACTGCGTCGCACTGACGAGCTGCTCCCAAGGTGCGCCAGGCCAGACCTTCTCGCACGTAGGTTCGCCAGCGACCAGCGTGGACCCTTGCAAACTGCGCCGAAAGAAGAATCGGCGGCAAACTTCGGCAGTGGCTCCAATCAGTTGCTCCACGGACAGCAATCGTCTACTCGGACGGATCCCTCTCCCCGGAGGAGCCGCGGGGTACGGCTATGCGGTACATCAGGATGGACTCACCGTCCTCAGCGGTAACGGCCGTCTTGGGCTTGCTGAGGTCTTTGATGCCGAGGCGAGAGGCTCCTAGGGTCTGCGTGCTGCGTTGAGCCTCCCGGCTGCAGACCAGATTGTCGTATGCCTCGATAACCTCGCGGTCGCGACGTGTCTTCAAGGCATGCCGTCAGATTCCTCCCAGAAGGAGTTCCTGGAATTCCAGGCCTTGGCCGCAGAACATGGTGCCACTGAGATCCGCTGGATCCCCGGCCACACCAACATCCCAGGTAACGAGCAGGCAGACGCCTTAGCAAAGGCAGGAACCTCTCAACCCGAGCCTGCAGACGCTCTCCCGACGCTGGCATATCTGCGCAAGGTCGCTAGGCAGCGACCAAAGACGCATTCAAAGCCTGGTGGGAAGTTTCTGCACCCCAACAGTACAGGGTCCTCGACCTCGATGCCACGACTGGCTGCCCGCCAGAACTTACCATTCCACGACCTCTGCTCCACCATCTGCTCGCAGCAGAACCCACCACGGGGACTTCGCTGATTACCACGAAAGGTTGAACCACGACGATGCGCGACTGACGTGCTCATGTGGTCGACGAAAGAACAAAGCATCTCTTCTATTGCCGGAAGATCGCGCCGCGACATCGGATGAGGTTGGCACCCTCACCGAGCGCGGCGGTCAACCGAGCAATAGGCAGAACTTCGACCAGTTCGTCAAGGTGGCGAAGGCAAGCTCGTTCTTTGGAACGATCTGCCCTCGCCACTAGGCGGCAACAACCGCTTTCCTCCTTCCCTTCCCTTTGTTTGCACACACCCATTTTCTCTTACCCGACTCGGCCGGGCGGAGGGTGCTCTCGGAACCGGCCCTGTGAGGCCAAAACGAAAGACATGGCTGTCGCGCCTGAACGTCCCGCTGACGGGCAGCAGGCTGAGCAAAGAAGCGCCTTTGAGCCGATGAAATGCTGAATGGTGGATTGTTTACGTTCTGTGGAAGGGGCAGAAGACGCGGATTGGTACTCGTTTCGTTTCGCGTATTGTGGGCCTACTCCGCGATAGTAGACTTCCAGCAGCTCAGCACGTCCTGTGCCCCGTCTCGGGGACCTGAGCGACCTAAAGGTCGCTGGACGGAAAATACAATAATAATAATAATAATAATGCAGATTCAATGGCATCGACGGGTCCCCCGTTTCCACGTAAAGCCCGATTCACGAGCCGCCGAGGTTCGCGCTGCTCATCATGCTTCTTCCTGCGTACACATGACGCCGGCTCGACCCGAAGCCATGCGCACTGTCGTACAAATCACACAAGTTTCTTCACCCGCGTACGGATATCTCGTCTATTCCTTATTTGCAATATCCGAACCGTTACCACGGGCCAAGACGGCACCCATTGTGCTTTGTCCCTCGACCCCGGCCCAATGAACCGATCAGTAGTCTCGGACGACCGCCACCATGTCGTCAAGTCTCATCACCTGGCCGAGGAGCTTCGCCTGCTCCTCCAGGTGTCGGTTGTACTTGTTGTAATGCTCTGCCGTCATCACCTCCTCCTCCTTGCCCTTCACGTCCTTTCTTTCCACAAATGACAGGATGTTTCGCTCCTTGTGACGCTCCACTTGAAGCGTCTGCAAGCACCGTAGCATGGCCTTGTACACATCGTCCAGTAGCTGCGACTGTGTCCGCTCGCCGTCAAAGAACCAGAAGAAAAGGGTCCGATTGGCCAATCTGCTGTTGTCCTTGGGAACCTCTTGCACATCCACCAGGCCCGCCATCTGCATCGCTAGCATCTTCCCCTGCACATCCGACTTCTTCATGAGAGCGGCTGATGGCAGCATCTTTTCGTCCAGCTTCCCCTTTTCACGCAGGATCCGAGTCAATCGAAGCCCGTGCCGCCCAAACGACTGCTCGATGTAGGCGTCCAGCTCGGCCTCTCGCAGACTCTCCATCAGCTGACCAAAGTCCACTGTCCACTGGCCGCGGCCATTGGTACCGCAGTGCCGCACGAAACGGTGTCTGCTCTCGGCAAGCAGCAAGAGATGCTGCCGCATTTGGTCCAAACGGCTGTCCTTGGATGCTGCCTCATCCTCAAACTTCACCTTGGTCTGGCGGTCGCCGTTGACCCGGGATGCGGAACGCGATCCCTTGGCTCGAAAGCCGTCGTCATCGCTTGATCCGTCAGACTCGTCGTATTCGCCACTGGTGATGGTTCGTGGGGCTCTGCCGCGAACCGGTGGCTTGCCGTCCGAGTCGTCCGAATCGCTCTCGCAGTCCAGTGGAGAAGGCCTGACCTTCTCAGCGCTGTGAAAGTCTATCTTGTCCCTCGGTGCCTTTCCTATCCCGCTTTGGACATTGACCCCCTCGTCGAGGTGCTCGTATACCTCAATCGAGGTCACTGTGACCTGCTGGCCACCTCCTTGGTCCCCACTCAACTGATCAGACCGGCATCTGGCGAGCTGGACCGTTAAGAGCTCCAATAACGCGTGGTACACTTTTCCAGTCGCTTCGCCGAGAGTGTCTGATGCAAACTGTGCGAGGCGCTGGTTGCGTAACTGTACCAAGCATTTCTCGTGGTTTACCCTGACCACAATGTTGGGCTGCAAAACTGTCAGCCAGGGACTATCATCGTCACGTAGACGATGGGCTTACATTGAGCGGCGCCAAATCGTCTGCAAACGGATCGTCGGCATGCGCGTTGCCGTTCTGAAGCTTTCTTCTTTTTGCTACCGGCCCGTTTGCCTGGTCAAGTTGCCGCTTCAACGTCCTGCTTTGGTCTCGGAAGGTTTTGAAGCGCTCGACAATCTGCATGTGTTGCTCTATCTTGTTCCTTGAAGCCCTTTCTCCGGGGGCCGTCTTGGTGACCTCGGCCTCGATTTCGCGATACACTTCTGCTGGGTTGCGAAAACTGTCTGGTCGAACGGTTTCCACAATTTCGTCCTGTATGAGACGGGTCAAGACCATATGGAGATGGTCTTCAGACTCAATCAGGCCCGAGGCAGACTCATGAGCCCCGTTCGCATGCCCGTTGGACTTGGGGGCCCTCGAGCCAAATGCATGGGTGAGATCGGCAACTCGAGCATATCCCAGAAGCATGAGAGTCTGAACGAGATCTCGCCCCGCCGTTCCGTGTTGGCTTTCGACGACTTCCAGTATTTTTCCGGATCGAATCAGATTGTAGCAGGCGTCGGAATTGGCCTCGTAACTCGTGACTCTCGAATCGGGGTCAGTGTAGTAGAAAAGCAGATTCTGCTGGATCAGAACGCCCAGGCCGTTTCGTAGATGGCGGGGGCTCAGCGACGTGATCTGCGCCAACTGTGCGATGCTGGATCGCCCCTTGGTGAAGAGCGCCGCCAGAACTCTCTGTACGTTGAGGGTTGAGTCAGCTGGAAGGAAAATATCTTTGCGGCCCCATCAACCACCGAGGCGACGTACCGAAGGAAGCTCGCCAAACAGATCGTTGACTAGGAGAGCACAAAGCTCGGCGGCGTGTTTGGTCTGCAGCATGGCAGGTCAGCGACAGCGGCAGACGCCGGCGTGGGATGGGGGGGCTGCGCTGACAACAAGCATTGTCCTGCTCCTAGAGATCCTCTCACTATCTCTAGAGCTACCACGGTTGCTACCGGGGCGTCATTGAAGAGGGACGTAGATGGCAGGCAGCAGGATTGCTGCTGAGGGGTTTGCCTAGGATAGAGTCGCGACAAAGTCTGGTGGGAGACGAGAGGAAAGGCGGGCAACTCGGTCGCATCCGCTAATTTTTTTTCTGCTGGTGGTGTAAGTCGATCTCCAAGTGGGCTGGTTGGTTGGTCCCGTACGAGCTGCGGCGTGCAGAATGGCAGGTGCCCGCCAAAAGTTAAGTTACCTCCTCCTTGGCACCCACCAAAGGGCATGGCGGCTCGGCCAATCAATAGTCACGTGATCCTCCCAGCTCTCCCAGCTCTCCCAGCGCCGAAAATTAAACGGGAGCTGGCTTGACGGGCCACCTCTTTTCCGCGGTCAATTGCTGCTGCACAACCGACGGCCTAAGGACCGCCAATCGCCCACGCCACCAGCCTCGACAATGATCTCGAGATCCCTTCTCGCGAGAAACGCCCAGCAGGTCCTCCGGCGGTCCTGCGGCGTCCGACCCCTGCAGTCCCGTGGCTTTGCCGCCGCTGCCGACACGGGCGCCTTCGACACCTCGGATATCTCTGGACTCAAAGTCGCCTCCCGGGATGCCCATGGCCCGACGGCCAAGCTTGCCGTCGTTGCCAAGGCTGGCACTCGATACCAGCCACTGCCCGGCCTGACCGTTGGGCTGGAGGAGTTTGCTTTCAAGGTACGCTGCTAGCTATGCCGGGGGAGTGCTTGGGCTGACGCCGAAGCGCCGTAGAACACGCAAAGACGATCTGCCCTCCGCATTACGCGCGAATCCGAACTTCTTGGTGGTCAACTCGCTGCCTCGCACACCCGTGAGGCTCTTGTGGTAGAGGCCAGCTTCCTCCGTGAAGACCTCCCCTACTTTGCCGAATTGCTTGCCGAGGTCGTGTCTATGACCAAGTACACAAGTAAGGGCTCCTTGATCATCTCGGCACACGGCCGGAACTGAACCTGCTGCAGCCCACGAGTTCCACGAGGACGTTGAGAGAGTTCTTCCCATCAAGCAGGCTGCTCTGCGTGCCAACATCCCCGCCCTGGCCCTCGACAATGCGCACGCCGTTGCCTTCCACACCGGTCTCGGCGCCCCTATATATCCTTCCCTGTCGACTCCGCACCAAAAATACTTGAACGAGGAGTTCATTGCTAGCTATGCCGATGTCGTCTACTCCAAGTCCAACATTGCCGTTGTCGCGGATGGCGCCTCCGCCTCCGACCTGTCCAAGTGGGTTGGCCAGTTCTTCAAGGATGTCCCTGCCTCGTCACAAAGCGGACAGACTCTGAAGATTGAGGCGTCAAAGTACCACGGTGGCGAGCAGCGGATAGACCATGCTGGCGGAAACTCCATGGTCATCGCCTTTCCTGGTTCGGACAGCAACGGCTCGAAGCCTGAAATGGCCGTCCTGGCATCGCTACTTGGCGGCAAGCCTACCGTCAAGTGGGCCCCTGGCTTCAGCCTGCTCTCCAAGGCCAGCACTGGACTGGCTGGTTTCTCCGCCTCTACGTCGAACCTCACGTACTCTGACGCCGGCCTGCTGGCTGTTCAGCTTTCGGGTCCCGCCTCGTCTGTTCGCAAGATTGCCGAGGAGACCGTCAAGGCTCTGAAGAGCATTGCAGACGGCTCTGTTGCCAAGGACGATGTGGCAAAGGCTATTGTGAACGCTAAATTTGATGTATTGGAGAAGGCCCAGTTACGAGGACCAAGCATGCTGCTGGCGGGATCTGGCCTGGTGAACAACGGCAAGGCTTTGGAGCTGGCTGCCCTGGCCAGAAGCATTGAGTCCGTCACCGCCGACAAGCTGAGCAAGGTAAGATTCCTGTCAAGCCAACCTCCTTTGTTATGCATTATCCAGACTTACTGACGCCTTTGACAGACTGCCAAGGCCCTATTTGACGGGAAGGCGACCGTCTCTACCGTCGGCGACTTGTTTGTGCTGCCGTTTGCCGAGGAAATAGGCCTGCAAGTATAGAGGAGTAAAGGGCGCGAAAACATGTAACAACAGTCACAGGTGGCTAGGTACGGAGGTTGGGACCGCCGTGCTTCTGTGAATGTCTCTAGTAAATCCCTTTGTCTACACAGCGTCCCTTGTTCAATCCAAGCCATGGCTCCGCCGGTGACAAGGCTTTGTACCGTCAAGTTCCATGGCGGGCTCTTGGCGCGTTTTATCACTGCTAGCTGCCATGACTTGGTAGTCCTGCACCGGGTTGATGTGTTGTCTATGCAATCTTTCTCATGTAGCTCAAGGCAGTGAGTGGCGACACAAGAGGCGCGACGTGTGACAGCTCGGAGGTTGGCAAGTTGCGTCCCGTGAGCTATTGGTTGGGCAACTCGAGGCTCGTCTCCCAACCCGAGGCTGCCGCCCTCGCATACACCTGTTTCGGCTGAGGAGGGAAAACGATGAGCCGTTCGGGACCTTGGGTCGCCCACGTTCCCAGACCTTAGGTATGGGAACTGAGGTCTGGGAACGAAGGACGAAGACAATGGCCTATTGCCAGGCCTTTGAATAGGCAGGCCTCCGTTTAGATATTTGTGGCTCTTGCGCTCGCGCCGCGCTCCGTAATTACTGGCTCTGCGCTGTGGGCGGCTGACTACACTGTGTAACCCGAGCAAGCAGTCGAGGGCTGCTGCTGCAAATTTGCTCGTACGAATTGTAATTGCTTTCCAGCACGGAGTACGAGGTAGGGGAGCACAGATTATGCATGTGGCTTCGCCGTTCGTGTGTCGCTCACCTGCAGGGCGCGACAGTGCGCACCAATGAAGTGACGGCCAAATTCGCACTGTAGTCAAGGTCCTGTGGCACCTAGCCTCCCGCCCCGTACCTTCTACCCGCCTGCTCACCTGGATGGCTGGCGGCCCACCACGCCTCTTTTAGTTTGGCAAGAGTGACAGGGTAGGGGAAAACAAAGCCTCATCACCACCACCGCTGGCGACCTCCGTCCCCCTTCCCGTCTTCAATTTCCGTCTCTTGACGCCCCTTTGGTCCCTCTGGCCCCTCGCGACGCAATCTAGTTGCGCCGAGCTCCTCGTTGGCACGCCGGAGGCCCATCCTCTTCGGAAACACTCTCTGTCCCTTACGACGGGGTAAGCCACGCACCACCAACCCCATCGCCCTTCCGCGCCCATCTGGCCTGCATCGTCTCCTGTCTGCCCGCCCGGGAGCCCAGCCTGGCCTGCAGCTTGATACGCGGGCAGGGCATGCGCACTCGCACAGCTCGAAGCACTTTGACTAACCCTCAACCCTCCTTTTAGGCGCTGACTGGAGGAACCTCTGGCACCGAAGCGTACGCACCGCCCGAGTCTGACCACAGCAGTCACGCTTGCCTTCGCTGCAGTCACACCAGGCCTGTCTGCCATCATCGCAAGGTTCGTAGCGACATACGAGAGCATGGACCTACGCTCGCGCCGTTCAGCATGCGTCCTGCACCCTGATTCAAGAATCCCCCTCAATCCCTACCCGGGTTGCCACCTCCATTGTTGCCCCAGCCCCATTTATCTCTACCTTTACTCAACGCAGCACGCATCCTATCTGCCCAGGATGCTGACAAGTTTCAATATGTGTTCAGGGCACATTCGTTTTTCCGACGGAGCCTCGAGGTGGAAAGAGGGCCCACGATCACAGTACATATACCGAGGGCAGAGCTTTGACTCTCGCCTGGATGCTGGGACGTCACGATTTGACAGGGCAAATCTGAAGCTGCGTCAAACAGTCTGAGATCTCACGATGCCTATGCCGAAGAAGGACGGCATGCCTGGCGGCACTGCCACGAAAGTCGACGGCCGAACACAAAATGGTGCGTTGTTTCGGAAACTGCGCAATGGGGCTGGAAGCTGACGCATCCTACAACAGGTAACCGGCAAGGCTTTCGCACCGATACCGCAATCTCCAACAACCGATTTGGAAACGAGCGGACTTTGCAGCCGTGGGTCCCAGACTCGACTGATGCTAGTGATGGCAGTCTGGAGGCCTCGACGAGCGGTCGTCCTTGGGACCAGTTTGCCGAGAACGAAAGACTGTTTGGCTTGAAGACGGACTACGACGAGAACATCTACACTACCGCCATCAACAAGAGCCACCCGCAGTACAAGGAGAGATATGCTGCGGCAGAGAAGAAAGCCAGAGAAATCGAGCGCAGTGCTCCAGTGACCTCTCACGTGGCCGAAGAACGCGTCATGGACTATACCGGTGGGAATGGACCCGCTGGAGAGAACGAAGAGGACAAGTAAGTGTGACGCAGGGCTCCGAAACCGTCTCGGTCAGGCTAACAGCATGTCAAAGGTATAGCGGTGTTCGACGACAGGACTTCCCACCACTGTCCACAGGCCGAGAGAATAGATACATGCCTCCGGCCAAAAGAGCCCCGACCAGCCAATCCACGGTCAAAGGCGCCCCTGTTGATCCAGCTATCATCTCGTCGCAAATCAAGGCCCCGTCGAAGAGGCAGCCGACCCCGTCGGACCAGACTCGGGCGCAAGCTGTCGACGCTGCCAAGAATGGCGTTTCAGCCAAACCCGAGAGCCAAAAGGCGTCGCAATCAAAGCCCGTGGAGGACAAGGCTGGGGAAGCAAAGCCAGCCACGGCGGCTCGGGACTCAAAGACGCCCGAGTCGAAACCTGCAGACAAGGCCGCCGACAAGTCCGCTGCGACCGGCCCTGCCTCCGGTCGCAACTTGGCCCCGCCGACCAAGGAAGGGGCCCCAAGCGCTACTTCGACTGTGGAGCGCGACGTTCTGAACTCGTTCAAGTCTTTTGCCTCCCAGCAGAGAATCAATGCTGAAAAGGTCCGGAGCAGCAAAGCACGGGCGGACAAGGAGGTCAAGTTGACCGAGTTGAAGAAGTTTGCGACCAGTTTCAAGCTCTCGACCCCAGTGCCGTCGGATCTGGTGTCGATTATCGCCAAAGATCCGGTCAAGCAAAAGGAAATCCAGGCCAAGGCGATGAAGAATGCCGAGGACATGGCAAAGACCAAGGCTGAGATTGTAACCCGGGACAAGGCCCAGGGGACAAAGGAGACCCAAGCCAAGCCAGCAGAGCAAAACGCTGCAGTCAACGTTGGCGATGGCCGACCGGCTCGAGCACCCGGTGCTCCGCAGACCACCGGCCCGGCCGGCCCAAGCAACAGACACACTGGTCCTCGCCAAGCGTACACTCAGCCGCCGTATCACGCCCAGCCTTACAGGAGCAACCGCGGCGCCCCCCAGCACGCCCCCCAGCACACTCCCCAGCAGCAGACGGGAAATCTCGCTCAGCGCCTGCGTCATGTGGAGCAGCAGAGATATTCCCAGCCTCTCGCACCGAGCCAGCACCAGCCCAACCAAGATATGCGGGCTCCTCCCACTGGGCCGTCGAACAACGTGGATGCAGGTTTCAATCGAAGGCTCAGCGGAGCTCCCGGTCACATGGGCGCCAAGCTCAACCCTAACAGCCATGAGTTCAGACCCAGCCCTTTCGCTGCGTCCTTCAACCCCAACGGTCATCCTAGTGCCAGCTCGAGCCCTCGGGCTCCGGTGAACCACGTTGCCGAGAGTCCTGCCTCTGCAGCCGCTCATGCGGGACATTTCATCCGTCGCAAGACAAAGGCTGTGGACGTTCGAAAGTGTTATATTCTCTCGCATGTCGGGTCTATTTCCCCTTCACAGGGCCGCAACTGGGACGACAACGGCGGGCTCCGACCCCCGTACGACACGCCTCCAACATGGCGACAGCTCCAGGACGATGAAAAGTCGGACTCGACCATGCACCTCACCTACAAGGAGTATTTTGAGCGTCAGCCGTTCTCCAACCAAACCATGAACACACCCAACCCACCGCACGTGGTTCCCCAGATTGCTCATCAGCATCAGTTGCCCTTCCACCTCCAGCACAGCTCGCACAGCATTGGCCCGCGACAATCGCCCCATATGCCTCCGATGCAAATGCACACGCCTCAGCAAGGACCCGTTCCTCATCCGCCGTTTGGTGGCGCTGATGACCATAGGATGCTGCATTCCAACTCGGCTCAGTCGTTTGCCTCGCCCCGCATGGCACAGCAAATGCCGGTGGCGTACCCGAATCAGGTCCCCTACAACCAACCAGTCTTCATGAGCCCCCAAATGGGACAGTACCGCACCTTCTCGGGCAACCCACACTACGTGCCACCACAGCAAGGTCAGATGAGCGGACCGGTGATGATGCAGCCCCAGTTCATGCCCGGGCCTCAGGGCATGATGGCCGCTCCGCAGATGATGTACCACGGCGGCCATCCACAGTTCATGCCACCGTCGGGCCCGCCACAGCCGGTCCCGGGCGCAACGGGCTACCCCAGCCCGGGTCGTCCAGCGGCGCCGGTGATGGTGCATCAGGGGTCGCAGCAGGGCCAGCCCATGTATGGGATGAGCCCGAGTGTGCAGTACAACCAGCCTGCATACGGCCCCGGACAAGGCAGTGGACCAAGTCAGTGATGGCCCCCCTGTTGGGCTGGGGTCGTGGCGCGTGGCTGACTGGATCAGTGCCCAACGTGGGAGGGCACAACGGTCTTGTGTGGCATCAGCACGTGGGGACCAGCTGGCAGCAGACGTATCACTACGGGCCGCTATGATGGCCGAGTCGCAGACACGGCCGCGAAAGAAAAAGAGTCTATGCGACGCAGGTCCACCAATACCGACGGCGGCTGGGTGGCCGCTTGGCCGAGGAGTCATTGCAGAGGTGAGCGACAACAGCCGCGACGAGAATCAAGGTAGAGGGGGAACCACGGCATGAGCTATAAACACTTGTAAATGTTGCATGCTGGCCACTGTGCGTCGATGACACGATATCTCGTTTTCCATGTCAACCTGGGCCACGCGCGGCAGGGTTGAATCACGGGAGCATCTCATTCCGAAAGCTGCGATATGGTTCATTTGGTAGACAACACGACCTAGGCTCTTGGGACGCACTCACGCGCGGCGCACATGCTGTCGCCTGGTGGTCTATCAAGTCGAGGTTGGGGGGGTTGGGGGGGGGAGAAGGCTGAGGGAGAGCGTTGAGGGAGAGCGTTGAGGGATGGCGGCAATGGGGCGCCAGCATGCAGCACCTTCGTGGCGTCTCCGGAAAGGAGGGTGTTGCAAGGGGTGAGACGAACGGACTAGGCGGCGGGTGCTCAATCACGAGCGAGCAAGGGGCGAGGGATCTCTCTGGGCAAGATGGAGCTGTCTTTGCGCTCGTGAGAAGCATCCAGGACAAGTTGGAAGCTGGCCAGGATGCAAATGACGGGGCAAGCTAGCAGAGACGAAAAAGCTCGAGTTGGAGGACTACGGGGCATGGATGTGAGGAAAGCGGGCGATAATATCGTACCGGACAGCTGGCCGTAGACTGGAGCAAGAAGTCACATGAAGCAGAAGTTACGTTACGGCTCCTGGCATGGACTGGTTGAAGTGCATGAGAAAGAAGACGAGATCAAGGAGGCCTTGATTTTGCCTAGGGACCTACCGAATGGGTAAGGTCGTCGTGTGCGGGCGCGAGGAGTGTGGAGGGGAGGCGGACCAACTCGTGGGTGAAGCTTTGCCGGGCTTGGACGGACGATTGACCTGTCGAGGCGGATTGGCAGTCTGCCATTGTGATGGGTGCAGGGTGTAGCCCGAACGAGGAGGCACTCTGGCCTCATGCTGTGCTCTTGTCGTCGGTATGTAAGTTAGTGGGCGTGCATGGCCAGCGTGCACGATATGCATGTATGAGCATGTGCCTGCAGAGTGCAGGTATCCCAAACATGTACAAGAAAGACTTGAGGCAGGAAATGTGTCCGGCCCGTGGGGCCGCGGCGGCTCGGCAGGGGTTTGTGAACGACTTGCGAGTGGTGGAGTGTGGAGGGAGTGAGTGGCTCCATTCAACAGCACGCATGCACACATGCACGACCTCACGACGACTTTTGACGACGACGACTTTTGACGACGACGACTTTTGACGACGACGACTTTTGACGACGACGACGATGACTTGTTTGGAAACAAACAAACAAGGCGGCGAGACAAGGGCAGTGGCAAATCCCCAGCATCGACATGGACCTCGAGGCTCCAGGAAGGATGGGGAAGGTCGGAGGCCGAAGCGCGAGAGCCGAAAGCACCGGTTGGGAAGCAAGTTTGGTTGAGGGGCGGGCTTTTTCTGAGCCAAGAACTGGCGTGCAGAACAAGCAAGCAAGGGGGTGGGAGCGCCAACGACGTCGACGAGGCTGAAGTGGAGTTTGGAGTTGGCTTCACCAGAGGAGAGTGAGTGAGTATTTGAGTACGGTTCTGAGTGCATTTTGGCGAGGAAAGAAGAGCAGACCGAGGTCGTTGATATCGATGGCAGTGGGTATGGATGCTGTACAGAACCTTGGGGTTGCTTGCAGTGCACTGCACAGCCAATGTAAGGCAGGCACGTGGTAGGTAGTGCCCGCGACCAGGGGAACAAACAGGCAGGGCAAGGGAAGGCACTGTGGCTACTAGTACTGTACAGCCTGAGCCAAGGCACGGGAAGGTGCTGTCAGGAATTGCAAGACAGGCCTCGCAAGAGTCTCGCGTCTACAGCAGGCAATGGGTGAGTCAATCTCTGGCACCGCACGCAGGGCTCAGGGCTGACGAGGTATTGGCCGAATGCCAGGACGCGCCTCTCGGGCAGTGCTGCCGCGAGCCGAGCCTCACGCCTAGCTCGACAACGACAAGGAAATGCCAAACCAGCCCTTGCCCGATGGAATGACGGAACCGGGCCCCCATTGTCGTCCCGTCTCATTTCCTCAGTCAAGTCGACTTGAGACGAAGCGAGGGAGAACAATGATGGTGCCTGGGCCTGATTGGCGTGGCTGGCCATGACCCTGGAGGGAAAAGAAAGGGGGGTCGTCTCCTCGCGACCCCCTCAGGGGGCCGGCAGGCGCCATGATGCACGCTTGGAGGCGAGAGCCTTGGACGCGCCATCATGTGAGCCTTCGGTTGCACGGCGGCCGTCGATTCTCAGCTTTGCGAGCAGCAGCATCGACCGGTCCCTCTGCATCATCGCCAGCAACGCCTGCATGTCGCTCCCTCGCGTGGCCCTTTAGCGACGGCGCCAATGCCTGCCGGCTGTTGCAACGAGCGTCTTTGATCCGTCACTGCAACCTCGGCCGCGAGAGAGACGGACAAGAGCCCCCAGAGCTCCGTCCTTCCGTGGGGGAAGAAGGAGGGAGCCATGTTTGCACCGCTGGCAATCACCGACAAGGAAAGCAAACGTTCCATGCTGCCCGGGGGTCATGGTCGGCGGTGCCAGTGGCTTGTCGGTAGTTGCCTCTGGGTCTCAAGTCCACGGCTCGACTGCGTTCCGGCGCGAGATAAAAGGTTGCCATGTCCATCCTCCTCCCAACTCTCCCGCTTTCTCTCCCGCAGTCAAGCTTCAACCAACTTTCTCTTCTTCTCCCCGTCTTCTCGTACCTTTCACTTCTCGTTGACTCGGCCATTTGATCCCACATAACGGACTGTGTCTGAGCTGCAGCTTCCCGCCATAGTCCCCTTGTCTGCATTCCGCCTACCTGTTCCGTCCCCTTTCTCTTCGTCTTCGCCCTCACATTCTCTCCGTCAGGATGAAGACCGTGGTCATGCTCGCTGCTGTCCTCCTTGGGCTCTTTTCCTCCTCGCAGGCTCACATGGAGATGAAGAGCCCCCCGCCCCTACGCTCCAAGTTCAACCGCTTCACTACGGATCAGGACTACGACATGACATCGCCTCTCTCGTCGGGCGGCGCTGATTTCCCCTGCAAGGGCTCCCTCAAGCTTCTGGGCACGTCCCAAGGCCAGGCCGTGGCCGAGTGGACTGCCGGCCAGCCAAACAGCATGACCATCACGGGCAACACGCCGCATAGTGGCGGCTCCTGCCAAGCATCCCTCTCGTTTGACAGCGGCAGCACGTGGAAGGTCATTCACTCTTACGTCGGCGAATGCCCCGTCATGGGCGACTCGAGCTACCAGTTCACCCTGCCGAGCGACACGCCGGCTGGCCAAGCCCTCTTTGCCTGGTCCTGGTTCAACAAGGTCGGCAACCGCGAGATGTACATGAACTGCGCCGTCATCACCATCAAGGCCGCCGGCAACTCTGTCCTGGGCAACAGCAGGTTCCGTCGCAACGTGGAGCCTGTTAGCAGCGCCAGCTCGGCCTCGATTGGCAGCCGCCCCAACATGTTTGTCGCCAACGTCGGCAACGGGTGCGGCACCACCGAGGGGTTGGACCTCAAGTTCCCGAATCCGGGCCCGGATGTCGACATGAAGTCGGACCGGACGACGCCCCCCGTCGGGCAATGCTCCAACTAGAACGGGGGTAGTGCCAAATGGGGTACTGTGACACCGTACCCATGACGCCTTTCTCGCGGGCGGGATGAAACCGAAGCCTGTCGGAGACCATGGCCGGCATGGTAGTTCTTCTGTCAGTGGATGCGGACTGTGACGAAGCGAGTTCAGCACGCTTAACGGATGATGGACGGACGGACGAATTGTTAAGTTTCTTTCCCATCTTCAGCTTCGAGACACCATGTTTGTTCATGTACATATTCTGTTTTTCTTCTTCTTCTTCTTCTTCTTGTCACGTACTGTACATAACTAAGACAAGACTGCTATTTTCTGTGCATGCATTGCTTCACTTGGGCGACGTTGCGTTTGGGTGGGGAGGCCCAAAGGCATCTGTCTCAGCAAGATGGGTTTGACAAGTACAATAGTGAAATAACGGCGATTTGCTCTTGTTTTTCAAGGAAGACAACGACGCGAAATGTAGTTCACGTGCGCGTAGTTTGAAAGCGAATCTGTATACTAGACTCGGGTCAGTGCCAACAAAGAAGCAGGGTCAAAATGAGAGCATAAACACGAGCTTCTTGCACGTTTGAACTGTGTTCGGCGCAAGGGATGGAATGGAAGCATGTTCCGTCGGAATCTGGAGACGGCACGGGACAGACCAAGATTGGTTGAGGTATGTCCTTTCTGTTTGTTTTCTGGCTTCCCCGGAAGAACTACTTTTCGCCCAGTCGGTCAGGTTGGCAGAGGGGCGTGTCAGCGCCCCAGCTGAGGCTGTGCTGCTGGCTTGGGCTCTGCCCTGCTCCTCCGTCGTGGGCGAGGATCCAGTCTGTACGAAGTACACGCTAATAAAACGTCATAGAGGGGAGGGGGGTCAGAACGCCCTCCGCCCGGGGAGTTTTTTTGGGGTGGCGGTGTTTTTCTTTCTTTCGCGGCCGCTTCTTTGTCTTCGGTAGCTCGTTGGTCTTCCATTGCGGTGCTCGACGCTCGAAACACTCGAATGTACTCGCACCTTGAGAGTTATGGTCTAGGGTATTCCACTAGCAAGGGATTCTTCGCCCTGGGCCTGATCCGGGGTGCCTCTTATTAATTATCGACCCCAGTGCCCCTTGAGGCATCAGCGGTGCGCCGTGTTTTGCCGTTGCCATTTCCAGAAATGGCCTAACCTCGACCTCATTCCTCGCTCGCCATCTGCTCGAGTAGTGGGGTACTCGCTCGGTCCTTTGGCTACGCACCTCCACAGGCTGCAGCCTCAAGTACCACTGCCCTTCGGACATCCCTCTCCTCCTCACAGCCCCACTAGCCCGGTCCCAGCGTCCACTGTACTGTACTCTGGAGGCCTAGAGGGACTCGTATATCACCGGCGCCTCACCTCCCATTTCGTCCATCCTCACCGCGCTCTGCTCCCTTGGCACAACCTAACGCGCCTATTTCTCTCTCTTTCTCGCCGTCCCCCCCCCTCCCCCACCCCTTCCGCGCGCCCACTCATACTCTCTCGTTTGTCGTGTCGCCGCCCGGATCCGCGCTGCGAGGCGACGAGCGCCCCATCGTCCCCACCCCCCTTGGCTCGACCGACAGTGTCCGTCACACAGAGAGCGTCGTCGTTCGGGTCCGGAACAACAGATGGCTGGGCCGACGTCGCCGGGCAGCGAAGGTCCCACGTTCGCCCCTCCTCAGCTCCCCGCGGGCTGGATCGCGCAGTGGGACGGCGCCAGCAAGAAGTACTACTACGTCCAGCTCGCGACGGGCGTCTCCCAGTGGGAGGTGCCCACACAGGCCGTCCAGACGGGCAACACCCCCGGCCAGCAGGTCGAGCATCCCTACGGCACCCCGCCTCAACCCCAGCTCATCACCCACCCCGACGGCTCCCAGACGGTCAAGCACTCGGACGGCTCCCTCGAGCCCATCATGACCGACGGCGCGAGGGGCGTTGACGGGCCCAACGGCGATCGTGGACTGGGTGTAAGTTTGCCCCCACCCCCCAAGTGCGAGGATGCGCGCGGGGAAACACAAGAGAGAGAGTGTCAAGGGGACGCGAGAGTTGTGCCAGATTGCATCACCATACGGCAGGGTGAAAGCCGAGGATCGGACACAATGTTTGCTGACGACGGCTACCTCCGCACCAGACCATGGCCATGAACGCCCTCCTCGGCGGCAAGAACTCGAGCCAAGGCGGCGGCAGCGGCGGCGGTGTCGGCGGGCTTGGATCCCTCGCGACCCAGTTTCTCGGCGGTCAACAAGGTGGCGGAAGCGGGGGCAACGGTGGCAAGAGCACCGCCGGCAAACTCATGGGACAGCTGGCGTCCAACCTCCTCTCGCCGTCCAACAAGCCGGAGCAGCCACAAAACTACCACGGCGGGCAGACCTCCGGCCACTCCTCTCACCAGGGTGGCGGCTTGGCAGGCACAGTCTTTGGCGGCGTCGCAAACATGTTTGGCGGCAAGCCGTCGCACGGCAGCGGTGTAAGCCATCTCGTCCCCGTCTGGCGCACAAGTCACGGGAAGCCATAGCATTGGACTGACCACCCACCAGGGCCAGAACTACGGTTACTCGAATGCCGGCACCGGCGGTTCGTACTCCGGCCAAGCACCTACATATAACCCGCCCGGCTCTAGCCACTCATCCTCGGGCCACACCCCATCCGCCTCGCAGTCGAGCCAACCCCATGGTTCGCAGAGCCAAAGCCATCACCAGTCATTCCCGCCGCCTCCCCCCGGAAAGCCGCCTCACAGCCAGTCTCCGTATGACCAGTCCTACGGGGGGGACCAGCATGGAGGCAATGGCGGATACTCGCACCCACCGCCGAGTTATAGCGGCTCATCCCCCGGTAACCAAAGCACACCCTACGGCCAGTCCCATCAGGGCCATTCAGGTGGCTACAACCAGAGCCACTCTGGCGGCTACCACCAAGGGTCTCCGGGCGGTTACAACCAAGGCCAGTCTGGGGGCTACAACCAGGGGGCCCAGAGCGGCTACGGCCAGTCGTACGCCGCAGGCTCTAGCGGTCACCATCAACATGGCGGACACAACCAAGGGTCCTACCACGGCGGCCATTACTGATCGGCTCAGCGCTGGAGCGCCACAAAGGATAATGTCGTCGTTCAGCTGTTCTGTCGCCTTTCGCCCAGGGTTTCAAGAGTTCCGGATGTTTCCGATTGCAACAGGACTTGAATTTGGCCAGACGTGGCTTTGCGAGCGACCGCTTGGCCACGCGGAGGTTGCCGAGGTATGAGTTGAGCAGCTCGGAGGCGGGTCCGCGTTCGTGTATACGTATGTGGTGAAACTGTCGTGTGGTTGACCAAGTTGAAACGCACAACGATGCTGTCGAGTCTTGGGTGGAAGGTCTTTTTATGTTTCACGTTTCATGTATATAGAACATCGCACCGACGGATGCTCCTTTCCTGTGTCGGCAGCCGGGGGAAATGCCGACCTGGAAGAAGCGGGAAGCGAAGGAGGGAGGCAGCATGGGGAGAATGTCGGGACAACCTCTCGTAGAGCATATGTTTGTCTTAGTCGCGCTTCTTTGCATGTCGCCTGGGGGGTCCTGCAACAGACTGGAGACTCGAGGAAATCCACCGGGCTAGAAACCAAGTGACGACGCCGACCAGGACAAGATATCCGGCAGTTGGGATGAGCGAGTGAGGAATCACGTTGTATATAAACGGGTCCAGGATGAGGTCAACTAAGACCGGCGGAGGATGTGCCATGAGACTGACGTCGTCGGTGAAGTAGTCGGCGGCAGCTTGAACGTGGAGGAACAGGACTGACGCTTTCCGCTCTTGGGCTGCCGACCGGCGGGCCTCGGACTCTTGCTTGTCCACCACGATGGAGTCTGTCTGACGGTTGGAGGCATAGCCAGCTAGGGACTGTATAAGCTCCGGACTCCCCCAAACTGTTTCTAGCTCGTGGACATGTAGAGAAAAGCTGGTAGGTTCCTGTGTTTGCGGTCAGAACGGGATGTCCTGTTGACGAGAGGGTAACGGGGGCCATCCGGCCACAGCTCAAGTGGGGGTAAACTCACAATGGCAGCCCAGCAAACGCGCACCTCGTACCTCTGGCCCTCGGCGAGGTGGTCGAGGAGAAGCCAGGCCGAGGTCCCGCGGGGATCCGGGCCCGAGGGAAAGGCGCGACTCAGGTTCGTCCGAATGACGGAGCTCTCCGGGGTGAGGGAGTCGAGGTTGAGGTCGGAGAGGGAGGGCTTGACCAGGGGGATGTTGGCCGGGGCCGGGCCGGTGAAGATGACCTTTTCGACATTGGCCACGACGCCGGGTGCTGCAAGGGCGGCAAGGAGTAGCAGCAGCCGGGCACAAGGGGAGGTGAGAGACTGGAGACGGAGGGCCATGTCGGCTGCTCTGCACTCCTTTCCTTCAACGTGTCGTTTTGCTTTTCGAGAAGGACAGGGGGGGCGCTTCTTTGTTCGCTGTCTCCCAGGAGGAAAAGGGGGGAAGTGGAGTAAGAGAGAGAGGAACAGGAGGGTGCGGCGCGGAACGGGAGTGATGGGATGGCAGATGAGGCTCGGCGGTTTGGACGGCGAGTTTGCGACGGGAAGTACAAGATACTTTGTACCCGGTTGTAGGCCGGCTGCTCAAGTACTACCTACCTGGCTACCTTAAGGTAGGTATCTACAGCAGTCCGGGGAGCTCCCGATGGTTTTCACCGGGACAGTGCCGATAGGGCATCATTCTGTGACGGTGAAGCCGATGGGATGGATGACAGGGCGCTTTGGTCTGTTCAGCGCGAGCTTGGCGGGTGCGAAGGGGCTAGGTGCCCTCGCGCAGTGCCTTGCACACAAGAGGGTACAGCTACTCTACAAGAATCCGGCGTCCTATCGCGGGAAATGTTGGTCTGGAATCATGCCGCCCATCCGCAGTGCCAGCCAACGTTGTGGTGGGATAGAGGTCGGTACAGCGAATCTACGACTTCGTGGCGTGGGAGAGAGAGAGAGCCTGAAAACAGTGAATCATACTTAGCAATCATTGCAGCACCGGCAGTGAATTCGAGGGCTGTGCTGGCGAGCTGGCGGTAAATCAACAGAGCGGTGAGCGGCGGCAGGGACCCTGACCATTCAGAGACGCGCCTGCGTTGCCGCCTCGAGACACGGAAATCAACAAATCCTCAGGCAAATCTGCCCCTGTGGCAGGGGTACTTCATCCGGTACTCGTCGCCCACCTTGCCTGCTGCCAACGCAAGGTACCAAAGTACCGTCTTGGGCCCTGAGCCCCCCCCCCCCCTGGTTGGACAAATTCCCCCTCCCCCCCGTCTCTCTCTCCCTCCACTATTTTCCTCTCGCCTCAGTAGCACCGAGTACTTCCTCTCCCAATCCCAACCCAACCCGTGACAAGAGGGAAAAAATAGACACGCCGCCCGCTTCCTCTGGCTTGTCGACTTGCTTCTTCACGACTCGCCATCAGTCTTCGACAGCCAGTCCGTTTCGCAAAATCCCGTCACCATGCGTGAGGTCATCAGCATCAACGGTGAGCTCGAGCTCGTTGCCCCTCGCCCCCCAACGCGTCTTCACCGCATCCAGGGGCACCTTGGGCAGCTGCCCGTGCTAACCTCACCACTCCTCAGTCGGCCAGGCTGGCTGCCAGATCGCCAACTCGTGCTGGGAGGTTTGTTGCATCAGTTCAAACGCCTTGCAAGAATTTTGCTAACCTCCCCTGCAGCTCTACTGCCTCGAGCACGGCATCCAGGTAAACACGCTGCCGCTGACCGTCCATCTGTTGACAATCTTTGCCCTCTGTTTCAGACTGGCTGACGCTCGCAGCCCGATGGCTATCTCACGGATGAGCGCAAGGCTCAGGACCCCGACCAGGGCTTCAGCACTTTCTTCTCCGAGACTGGTACGAGTTGCAATCCCCATCCCCCGAACTGCAAGTCTAACCGTCTCTCAAGGCCAGGGCAAATATGTCCCGCGAGCCATCTACTGCGATCTCGAGCCCAACGTCGTCGACGAGGTCCGCACCGGTCCTTACCGAAACCTCTTCCACCCCGAGATGATGATCACCGGCAAGGAGGATGCCTCCAACAACTATGCCCGTGGTCACTATACCGTTGGCAAGGAGCTCATCGATGGCGTCCTTGACAAGATTCGACGCGTCGCCGACAACTGCGTTGGCCTCCAGGGCTTTCTCGTCTTCCACTCCTTCGGTGGTGGCACTGGCTCTGGCTTTGGTGCTCTTCTCATGGAGCGCCTGTCGGTCGATTACGGCAAGAAGAGCAAGCTCGAGTTCTGCGTCTATCCCGCCCCCCAGACCGCCACCTCTGTTGTCGAGCCCTACAACTCCATCCTCACCACCCACACCACCCTCGAGCACTCAGACTGCTCCTTCATGGTGGACAACGAGGCCATCTATGACATTTGCCGCCGCAACCTGGGCCTGGAGCGCCCCAACTACGAGAACCTGAACCGTCTGATTGCTCAGGGTGAGAAGCCTGCGGGCATACAATCCGCTGCAGCCGAACCATGATGGCTGACGCGTAGAGCTCGCAGTCGTCTCCTCCATCACCGCCTCGCTTCGGTTCGACGGCTCCCTCAACGTCGATCTGAACGAATTCCAGACCAACCTGGTGCCCTATCCCCGAATCCACTTCCCTCTGGTTGCCTATGCCCCCGTCATCTCGGCTGCCAAGGCTGCTCATGAGTCCAACTCCGTCCAGGAGATGACCATGTCCTGCTTCGAGCCCAACAACCAGATGGTCAAGTGCGATCCCCGCCACGGAAAGTACATGGCCACCTGCCTGCTGTATCGTGGTGACGTTGTTCCCAACGAGGCGCACAATGCTGTCGCTACTCTCAAGACCAAGCGCACCATCCAGTTTGTCGACTGGTGCCCGACTGGCTTCAAGCTCGGCATCTGCTACCAGGCTCCCGAGAATGTGCCCAACGGCGACTTGGCCAAGGTCAACCGCGCTGTGTAAGCACTCCCTATTCCCCGTGACGGCCGTTTCATGGCCATGTTGCTGATAGGATACAGCTGCATGCTGTCCAACACCACCGCCATCGCCGAGGCTTGGAGCTCCCTGTCGATGAAGTTCGACCTGATGCACTCCAAGCGCGCCTTCGTGCACTGGTACGTCGGCGAGGGTATGGAGGAGGGCGAGTTCTCGGAGGCTCGCGAGGATCTGGCTGCCCTGGAGCGTGACTACGAGGAGGTTGCGGCCGACTCCATGGGCGAGGAGGAGCTGGAGGCCGAGTACTAGACAGTGCTGTCGGAAGCTTGCGCGTTTGTGTAGGGGATTACGGCACTGTTGATTAGTTACCCGCCCAAACCTGCACTCATACCCCTAGAGAGCCTAGCAAGGGTGTATTTTTCTTTACAGGGTCACAAGACACTTCACTTTTTAATGTCAGAGGCTTACTTGTAGGCGCAATTGAAGATTTTTCTGAGCTTTGGGACCGTGGACCAGCTATGTCGCAAAGTGCTGCGATTCCCCTGTTTTGGTGTATTGGCGCGGGGCGCTGTGGTGTCTGTCGGCTGATTGACGGGCCGACGGTAGGAGCCGATGCTACGCGGGCGTCTTGGGGTTGGAGCATCATCCGATGCCAACCCCTCCCGTGCCTCGCTCGCGAGACTACGTGAAGGACATTGAAGCTCAAGGCCATGTCCCTACTTCGTTCAGCCGTCTGCAGGGTCTGCAGGCGGCCCAGGCTACAGCTGCGGAGGGCCTTTGCTACGGCAAGCAACCAGCAGGCTTCGCAAGGCAACAGAGTCAAGCTTGTCGAGGTCGGGCCGCGCGACGGGCTGCAAAATGAAAAGAAGACGATTCCACTCGCCACCAAGATCGAGTTGATTGAGCGACTGGCGAGGACAGGCGTCTCGACCATCGAGGCCGGGTCCTTTGTGTCCCCCAAATGGGTTCCTCAGGTGAGTTCCAGGGCGGGGGAACGGCGATGCGCAAGACGCGGCGGTGATGCTGACTGGGCCTAACTGGTAGATGGCCAACTCGAGTGAAATCATGGAGCATCTCCTCCAGCACAAGATCCAATCGCCTGGTCCATTGACTTACTCTTTCCTTGCGCCGAACAGCAAGGGCTTCGAGAATGCGGCCAACATCCTCAAGCAGAACCTGAGGGCGTTTTCGACCCAGCTAGAACCGAGCATCGGAGGCGAGGCCGAGGCGAAGCCCGCGGTCGAGGTGGCTATTTTCGCAGCGGCAACCGAGTCGTTTTCACAAAAGAATCTCAATTGCGACATACAGAAATCCTTGGAAAGTTTCAAGACGGTCATCCAAGACTCCAAGGCGCTGGGGCTCCGGGTGCGTGCCTACATCTCGGTGGTGCTGGGGTGCCCCTTTGAAGGGTTCGACGTCGACCCGCACAAGGTGGCCGAGATTGCCACGGACCTGCTGGAGTCGGGTGCGGATGAGATCTCGCTGGGGGACACGACGGGCATGGGCACGGCGCCGCGGACGAGCGCGCTGCTCAGGTGCATGGCTGCGGCGGGGATCCGCAACGAGGACATTGCGATGCACTTTCACGACACATACGGGCAGGCGCTGGTAAACACGGCCGTCTCGCTGGAGCACGGCATCCGGACGTTTGACAGCAGCGTGGGCGGGCTCGGCGGGTGCCCGTACAGCCCCGGCGCAACGGGCAACGTGGCGACGGAGAACATGGTGTATTTTATGGAGACGCTGGGCATGGAGACGGGCATCGACCTGGATGCCGTGGCGGACATTGGCGCGTGGATCACGGAGGAGGTGGGCAGGGCCAACGACAGCACGGTGGGCAAGGCTGTCCTGGGCGCGAGGGCGAGGGCAAATGGAGCGGCGCCCAAGGCGTGAGGTCGAAGCAACGCGAGTCGCGTCGAGAATGCAGTTTGAATGAGTGCATAACCACACAAGTTTGCGCTCAGCGCTTTGGTTCTCGCAGCCAAAGCATCTGCGGATATCCCAGCTGGACGCGCCCGCCCACAAGCGCACATACGCTTTGAAGCCAATTTTGAGGCCCAGTTCGAAGCTATCACGCACGATATTGAAAATGGCGCTTGCAGAATTTATGGACGTTATTTATAGGCGTTGAGCGCCTGTACGGATACCTGCTGCTGGCTAGCTGCAGTGCCAATTCGGCAGACCTGGACGGCTAATCATAGACCAATTCGTCGCTGAACACGTCAAGCGGCTCGCTCGGACTGAAAGCAGCAGAATATCCAGCGAGTATTTAGTTCAGCTCAATTCCGCTCCTTTTCTTGGGAAATCAGGAGCCACTTATTTCCTGATTCGCTAGGGATCTTTTGCCCCTACCATTATCACTCACACATCCTGTCTGTGCTGCCATGGGCCTTCCGACGGAGCCACGGCGCGAGATGAAGGTTCTTGCCCTCGGCTTACCACGCACTGGCACTCTCTCGATGGCCGAAGCGCTCACCACGTTAGGCTACGAAAACGTCCATCACACACTCAAGTCGGATATATTTCAAAACGAGCCATATAACAAGTTCTGTAGCCGCGCAGCCGATGCAATCTTCCCCGCGCTGCCAACATATACGGGGGGCACTATAACTCGAGAAGACTGGGACACAGTATACGGCACCTGTGAGGCGGTGACGGAGAGTGCCGCTTTCTTTGCTCCGCAGCTCATCAGAGCGTATCCGAAAGCCAAAGTTGTCGTCGTCGTCAGGGATTTTGATCGATGGTTCGAGAGCGTTGATGTGATTTTCAGCTCCTTGTTGACAAAAAGAGGCGAGTTTTTTATTCGATGGATAGAGCCAATCCTTGGTTTAACAACAGTCTCGGTGATGCAAAAGGGGATCCTCGGGTTTTTCGAGGCGAATGACATACTAGGGGCGCGGGAAAATGCGGAAAAAACATACAACCGGCACCATCGGGTCATCCAGGAGATGGTGTCTTCCGAGCAGCTGCTTTTCTACAGAATGGGCGATGGATGGGAGCCTCTGTGCAAGTTCCTGGGCAAGCCGGTCCCAGATTCGCAATTTCCGAGAGTGAACGACTCCAAAGCCCTGACCGCGACGGGTAGGAAGGATTATCTACGCGCCTTGAAAGCGGCCTGCTGGGTAGTTCTTTCTCGGTCTCTGGGGTTCGCCGCCATAGGGATTTCTCTTTGGGTAACCTGGAAGAAGTTACCATCATAGGACAGCGGTGCCCTCGTTTTTGGACTCTGGTCGGTTCGAGATTTATTGTGTTGCAAAGGCTGGCAAGTGTGAAAGGCTGGCCCGGAGTTTATTCAACAAGCAGGTGCCTAGATGTTGTCTATCTAGAGCTAAGGAGGAAAAGAAGCTGAACTCGAGGCGTAGCCTCGAGTGCGAGCTTATATTGCCCTTCTCGGAATGTTCTCGCAGCTTCTGGGTCCGCGGGCGGCCGGTGTTGCCACCGGCACGACCCACCGGACCCGGTACAACCGGGTCCACCAGCCGGGCACAGCCCGTGACATTACCCCCCTTGTCCCCTCCGACCAGGTCGGCGTCTGCGGGGTTCTTGCGTTCCTGCCAGCGTCTCGTACCTCTCCCTAGGGCCATCATTGGTCTTGATTGGCCCGTACTTGTCCTCGAATGCCTTCATCGCAATTGTTCCTTGCAACCACTCAACTGGCTCCCAAGTCGGCTCTGCGTAGCCCGTCCATCGCACTAGTGCTTGCCTGAATTCCCCTCGTCCGCGCTTCTTCCATCTCGCGCAGAGGATCTCGTCGACATCCCACAGATCCGTGCCGGACTCATCTTGTACCGGTGGTGGCTGTGCGTCATCTACCTTTTGGCCAGGAGCCGGATCTTGATGCGCCCGCCGCAAAGGTCAACATGAAATCGCGGGTAAATTGAGCCACGAACATCGAGCTCAACAACGTGCGAACTAATTACCTTCGTGACTGTGTACTTGTGATGCAGCCAGTCGAGCTTCTTGCACGGTCGTGGCGATCTGTAGTTTGCCATCGAGAGCCACACCTTGTCACCAACTTCAAATCGCTCCGCAGGCTGTCGCTTTGCGTTGGCAGCCTCTTCTTGTTGTTGCTGTGAGGAGGCCATCACTGCTTGCATGTACTCATTGACCTCCTGCAGGCGACTGAGTAGGCTATCAGCTCTGCTTTCCTCTCTATGCCTCGGTGGCTCTTCCGATTCCTCGACGCTGATGGGATCGACGTGGTAACCATGCTCAGCGAAAAAGGGGCTGATCTTGGTCGCTGCGGATTCACGATTGTTGAGTGCCAGCTGCGCGGGGAGCAGTTCTCCCAGTCGTCCTGCACGTACGACACGTAGGCTCTCAGGTAGGCCTCGATCTCCTGGTTCATTCTCTCTGGCCCTCCGTCCGTCTGAGGATGATAGGCCGTGCTCAATTTCTGCGTGACACCTGCAAGACGGCAGAACCTCTTCCAGAACCTACTTAGCCAGTTGCTCCCGCGGTCGCTGACGATGGACCGTGGCATTCCGTGAAATCGGTAATGACACTGGAGAAAACGGTTTGCACACGGCTCAGCTTCCATGTTGTCCATCACCTCGAGGGTCACAGCCTTTGTCAGTCTGTCCACAATCACCCACAGGTACCTTGCCTTGCTCGGTCCAGTAGGCGGCAGATCTGTGATGAAGTCCATGGACAAATGGCTTCGGGGTCGATCTGGAATCGGCAGAGGCTTGAGAAATCCCCTTTTCGACTGGCGCCAGATGTGTGCTCTGCCGCAGGTGTCGCAATTGGCTACGTACCGGCGAACCAGCTGGGACTGCCCAGGCCAGTAGAATCGCCGAGCCACAATAGCCAGCGTACCTTCCCTGCCGGGATGACCGGTCGCAACAGAGTCATGCGACTGCTGCACAATGCGGGTTCTCAACTGGTCTTTCTCAGCTTCCTCCTGGTTACCCTCCTCTCCGGATCCACCCGGCACCCAAATACGGTCTCTGAATGTCAGCCTTTTGCCTGCGTCGATCGCACATTCTGAAATCTGGATCTTCAGGCCCAGCGAGGGCGGGAAGGCACGCTCGCGATCGCGGACTGCCTTATAGGCTGCCCGGAATATCGAGTCCTTCGCCACCGTTTCGTCCCAGAGTTGCTGCAGGTCCGCTACCTCGAAGACCTTCATCTTCGGCAGGGTGGATGCCTCTGAACAGTCAGAACTCATCGCGTTGATACATGCTCTTGTCGATGATGGAATGGCACTATCCGGTATCAACTGTATCATTCTTCCTTGTTCCCGCTCGTCGTCAATGCCCTGTGGCTTGTCTTGTTCACGGCGGGACAACGCATCAGGCACGACAGCCTCGCTTCCCGGTCGATACTCGAGCTTGAAGTCGAACTGGGACAATTCGGCTGCCCAACGGCTCTGCCGTTCCGTGAGCTTCTGGCGTGTCATGAAATACTCCAGGTTGCGGTGATCGGTAAGGATTGTAAATGGGCCGCAGCTCCTAAGTTCGGCGTTCCAGTTGTCGAGACATCTCATGATGGCAAGCATCTCCTTGTCGTGAATGGGATAGTTGTACTCCGCTGGCGAAAGTCGCTTCGAGAAGAAGGCGCATGCGTGTCGACGTCCATCTGGGCCTTCCTGCGACAGGACGCCTCCCAATGCGTAGCCTGAGCAATCCGTCTCCAAAAGGTCAGGAGGCTCGGGTCCCACTGCTTGAGCACCGGTGACTCGCAAAATCGTCGCTTCAGCTCCTGAAACGCCTCGTTCTCCGCTCGTCCCCAATGAAAGGCAGTTCCTTTCTTAAGCAGGGCATCCAGAGACTGCGTGATCTTGGCATAGTCGGGGATGAAGATCCGGTAATAGTTGGCGAAGCCCAGAAAGCTTCTGACACCCTTCACCGTGGTCAGGGCCTCCCATTCGCGGATGGCGCGCTGCTTTCGGGGTCGCAGGCGATTCCTTTCCCTGCGTTGACGATGAACCCAAGGTATTTGACCTCTTGTACCGAAAACTCGCACTTCGCTGGGTCTAGGTGCAGCCCAGCGTCGGCGAGTGCTTGGAGAACTCGTCGCACCTTAGCCTCATGATCCGCCTTCGAACCGCTCGAGTAGATCAGTACATCATCCAGGTACGCTGTGACAAAGTCGTCCAGCCATTCGCGCAATACACTGTTCATGTATCGTTGGAATGATGCCGGGGCGCCGCTCAGGCCGAAAGGGCACACGAGCCACTCGTAGAGCCCAAACCTCGTGCGAAATGCAGTCTTTCCCTCATGTCCCGGAGCCATGCGGATCTTATGGAAAGCGGCCACCACGTCCAACTTGGTGAACCACTTAGCCTTGGCCAGATTCTGCAGGGTCTCCGCGATGAGGGCAGTGGGTATCGGTCGCGCTTGGTGATTGCATTCAGCGCTCGGTAGTCGCAACAAAATCGCAGCCCTCCATTCGGCTTCCGCACGAACAGCACCGGCGCGGCAGCCGCTGAGCTACTCGCTCGGATGAATCCTCTGTCCAGCAGGTCTTTCAGGGTCTTTCGCAAGACCAACAGCTCTTCTCGTGACATGTTGTAGAGTGGGCCCCACGGAAGGGTGGCTCGTTGCCGTTCTTGTCAGGCTGCAGGTTGACTTCATGATCCACACCCGGTCGATGTGGCGGCAGCTTCATTGCCTCTCCTGGTGAGAATAGGTCGCGGAATTCTTTCAGCACTTCTGCCGGGACCTTCTCGCTCGGATCGACTGGCGGCTTCGGCTGAAGCGCCCTCTCTATATCCGACAAACTGATTGCATGAATCGAGATCGCGTTGCACTTCTTGCGTCTCTTTGCGCGTCGACACTCCGCCGTGAATACGGCTGCCGACACGAGTCTTGCGCTTCGAATCGCGCGTATCTTGGCGGGCTCTTCCTGCCCAATGAGGCGTATCGTCACACCTGCCCTCCCATGGTACATTCGCTGCTTGGCAGCATCGTACACGACGTGATTTCTCTCCATCCAAGGCCGGCCGAGGAACATGTCCTGGCCCAGGCTTGGGATCACGTATGCAAAGACACGTTCGTCAAATCCAGCTGTCTCGACCACAACAGCCACGACCCTGGGGATATGACACTCTTCGCTGACTCTGAGAATCCCCCAATTTCTCGTGGTTTCGAGTCGACGAAGGGTATCCGCAGCTTCCGAACAAGGGCTTCGTCGATCACGGCATAGCAGTCACATCCACAGTCGACAAGGGCGCGTATTCGATAGCCTCGGTTTACCCGCGCGTTGACTAATACAGTCCGACTATTCATTCGTGGCTTGAACGCTTCCCAGTCCCAGATGTCTGCCTTTGCAGGCCCCGGCGCCCGCTTTCGCCCGGGGCTAGTCTTTTCCCGCCGACTCGTCCTCACTGGATGCTGCGGTTGATTCCGAATCATCTGCGGCATCGGGCTTCTTCATGCGCGCAGCTTTAGGTCGCTGTTGCTTCCCTTCGCCAGGAAAGACCACCTGGGCTGGGCAGTCCACGATAAGATGATCCGTCCGACCACAGCGATAGCAGCGGCGCTCATCCTTCGGCTTCTTATCGACATGTCGACGACCCTTCGACTCGTGGCCAATACGGTTGATGTCCGTCATCTTAACATCTCCGTCGGGGTCCTCCGGTTCCTCCTTGGGTCGTTGCCTTGGTAGCTGTTGAGGCGTCCGCTCAGTCGACGTCGGCTGCCTACCGGGTTTCAGTCTCTCAATCTGCCCGCAATTTCCTGAACTCTCGCAAGCCATCCCTGGTAGTCGTCGGGTAGGACGGCTGTGACCAAACTCTCTTGGAGGCGTGCATTTATTGCGTTCTCTAGAAATACGATCTTTGCACTGTCCGGCCAGTCTGCTCCCCCGGCTTCAGCTAATGCCTGTTCGAATCGGGGAAGGAAGGACGCGAGAGGTTGGTCTTCGCGCTGCCGCATAGTTCTCAGCGTGGCAGCAGCGCGGGATTGGATGTTGCTGTCCTGGTAGGTTCGGTCGAGGTATCGCATGAACTCTTGGGGTCGTAGCTACCCCAGGGCCTCCGCGGCGTAAAGGTAGCGACCACTTGCTGTGGTCGCTCGTCCAAACATGAGTTGATGAGGTACCAAAGTTCGCGATTTCCACTGTAGTAGTGTGCATCAAGGTCCAGCTTGTCTCGCATCTGCCTGGCCCAGGAGGAGTAGCTCTTCCGTGAGCCGTCATACTTGGGTGGGTTGGGCAACGGTTTCCGCATTCCAGTACCGCAGGTTTTGGGAGGGCGTGCCCAAGCCAGGCGTGCTCTCCCAATCCTCGTGCCACTGGCGGCGATTGCAAGTCGGCGCTCTGCGGCTGCGCTCGCCCGAGTTGCTCCATCAGCAAGGAAAGTTGGTCCTGTAGAGGGCTGAGAGTCGCATTGACCGCTTCTTGAATGCGTTGGTCAATCCATTGCTGCTGGAGACTTGGGCTCTCACTCTGCTGGTCCATCCTGACGAGCAGTCTGCAGCTTGCGGTATTTAGAAGGAGCTCTAGATATGTGAAAGGCTGGCCCGGAGTTTATTCAACAAGCAGGTGCCTAGATGTTGTCTATCTAGAGCTAAGAAGGAAAGAAGCTGAACTCGAGGCGTAGCCTCGAGTGCGACTATATTGCCCTTCTCGGAATGTTCTCGCAGCTTCTGGGTCCGCGGAGCGGGGCCGGTGTTGCCACCGGAGCACGACCCACCGGACCCGGTACAACCGGGTCCACCAGCCGGGCACAGCCCGTGACAGCAAGTGGATGTCACAGGTCCGGCTTTGGTGGGCGGTCAGCGGATTACCCCGCAGATTACCGCCGATTACCCGCTTGCCCTTGACATCACCTCTGCCGGGTTGATGTCATCTTCGGAGCGCCATAAAGCGCGAAAGCCGGGACCGACGACGAGAAAACCAGTTCGACTGGATAGCCTGCGTTTGTGCGATCAGAATGCACCCTGTCTAAGGTCCTACATCCTGTCGGTTGCGAGGTTGCGGTGATTTGAAGCATTTTCTAGCCTTGACGCACTGGAGCTACAGCGGCGCTTAGCGGATGCATACCCTGTCTACAGGCCACTACCGCTGACTGTAGCGACGCAGCCCTGACGGCCTGGGGGCACTTTCGCCGCCAAGGTCCTCGTCATTCTATCAGACGGGTGTTCAAAATCACTGCGCCATCGACTTTTCGCTACCACCGACGTTGAATTGCCCCGACGCACGTTTGTGTCCCTTTTTCGCCTTGCCTGTCCTTTCGGATGGCCTTGAACAACTTATCCAAAGAGCTGGGTCCACGTTCTTCGTCCATTTGCCTCGCCACGATATCTTCAGTTAAGCCGTCCGACTGGGCCCGCCTCCGAACCTCATCGACGATGATCTTGCGCGTGGAAAGGTAATTCTTCTCTGCAGATGGCCGCCATCGAGCACCCCAGTCTCGCTCAAGAGAATCCACAGAAGGCATTTCGCCCCAGCCCTGCCGCCAGAGACGCAGCAGCTCCTGTACAGATTTGACAGAACGGGGAGCTTGAAGCTCGGAGGTTCGCGCGGCCCAGGCGGCTCGCCATGCGCTCTTCCCTGGGGCTTGCCCTGGCCCGCTTGCACCATTCCTGCTGCTGCTCTAGAGAGCGGAGCGTATGTCGGACCGCCCGCTTGCGAAGGGCCTATCTCGGACCTGAGGACCGTCTCTCGTGGAGCGCGGCGCCTCTGTTGATGAGCTCCGCGATCTCCGCATGTTGACCTGCAGCACCTTGGCCGGGGCTGAAGGTGACGGTGTAGGTGGCCTGCGCAAACTCATCCAACTTTGTGCATAGTTCGTAAGAAGCCCCCAAAAGGTCTAGATGTCTTCGCTCAGCTAACTGCTCGGCTGCGACCTGTTGAGTCAGTACTGTGCGCAGCTTCTCCGCAACCACCGGGATCGCTTTTGAATGACCGTGGTATGGCTGTCTTCGTGGTCCCGTGTGCATGTGTCTTGAACTTTGCTGGCGAACGCTTCAAACTCGGGGCAAGAGAAGACCGGATCCTGAAAGATAGGATGGTCGGGGTAGGACTCGCGAAGGAAGACAGCGTCCTGCAGGAGCACCTCTCGAAGCCACTCCAGGAGTTCCAAGAAGGCGCCGGCGGCCATGTTCTGCTCCACCCCGAGATCTGAGAAAGGGCTACTGTGGGCCTCTTTCCATTTGTCGAGTTGAGGCCAGACCTGCACGAGTAGCACCACAGGCGGCCTCACGGTGGCCCGGGCACGAAATAAGACCCCGACCATTCAGGGTCAAAGTCGGCCACGGCCCTCGAATTCGAAAGGCAGGGAAGTCAGATAGCAGCCGGTCATTTGGTCTCCGTTATTCCAACGACCGGCTCGGCGGATCTGTATAGTTCAGGTCAGCCCAGGCCAGGGGTTGGCGGCTTGCCTAGGGCAGATGACATGCCTGGCCTTCATCCACTCCGGCCATGTCGGCGTTTTGCGTCGCGGCCACTCTAGGCGCGTGGCTGACCTTGGAGACCTTGATGCCGGCCTTCTTGTAGAACCTGGACGTCCATTCTCGGGCAGTCTGGCCCGACAACGGAGCTGTATATTCGGTGAGTGAAAGGGTCGATGCACCCTCTGAGTTATGGGATTCCGGTGAATGCCATCACGCTTACCTTGAGGCTCCTTCGCCGATCGGCGGAGCACCTTCGTTTCATACCAGTCTTCGCTTCTTTGGAAGACGGGAAACCTTTCCGCCTTTTCTACCTGCCAGCGCCAGAAAAGCCAGAACGCGAGGGCGCCGATGAGACAAGATCGCGGATCTCGATGCCGCAAAGCAGATCCATACTCCATGCGGCCGTGCTGGTTGGTCTTCCCACAGTTCATCACGACAACCAGCGCCTTCGTGGTATACCCCTGGGCCTTGAAGCCCTCGTTGGGTAAGTCCAGGGGAAAGCAGTCTGCCAACTCCATCGGCAGGCGGTTGCCGGACCGCAGCAGCATGTGGTTCCCGAGCAGAAAGTCCACCTGCGTCCTCAGGGCGCAGGCGATCTCTCTCTCGGACCATGCCACGTTGGTGTGGTCGGGTATCTGCGCCGGCGCATACACATCTCTCAGAGTTCCAACTCCCTGTCCATGTATTCCTTCCTCTTCCGGCTCCAAGTCGTTGCAAGAATGCTGCGTTTGAGCGCCTTCAGTGCCACTCCCTGTGGCCGGGCCGCAGGATTGACTCCCGGCTCTTCTGCTCGTCGTAAAGCTTCTGTATGGCCGAGACGTAGCCCCGTACAGTATTATACTGTAGTTTGAGCGTGGACTCATACAACTCCAAGTCGGAGTCTGACTCGTATTCGCTACCTCCGCCGCCTACAACGATGGTATCTGCTGGGAAGCTGGGTGTTAGTATGATGGGCTGGCTCAGTCCGACGACCACATCCCGTGATCAACATCTGTTACCTGATGGTGCTCTGCGTCTTTCACGGCCCTCTTGGCTTCCTGAGCCTCGAGGTGTCGTTTTCTTTCATCGGCGACCCTCTTTCCTTTCTTTGGAGGACGTGATGCCACTACCTCCTTCATGAAGAGCAAGAGCTTTCCTTCATCGACCAGGTCTCCCGGTAGCTGTTGGCCCTGTGGTACCGAGGCCGGCCAAACGTCCGGGATCGCAGGCCAGTTGGCTTGACACCACTCCTGTGAGGCAGTCAATGCATGGATCTACATGAAGATTGCAGGGCGCGCATGCGGGCTTGCCTTCCATTCTTCCTGCTTGGGACGATAATTTCGCTTCGTATTCTTCGGCTGGGTGTTCTCCAGATCTAACAGGTAGTGCTCAATGGCCGCCCTGACCCGGGGATCCTCTATCGCGTTCGACATGGTGCAGGCGGTCGCCGTCGCGACGGTGGCAATGGAGGAGGTGGAGGAGGTGGGAGGAGGAGGTGGAGCGCAACGCGCGTGAGCGAGACCGAAATCGAAGGTCTCGCGCAGGGCCCGCGGGCGTGGACCTTCGATTTTGCCGTCCGATGGCGGTAATCCGACTAAGAAAACGCCAGCCCCGCAGGGCCGGGCCTTCGAAAACGACATGGTTTTGCGTGGGGCGGGGCGGTAATCCGATTACCGGATGACCGGTCAGCCGGCCCCGGGACCTGTGACACCAAGGGGTGCAACCCACTCAACATTCAACAGTAAACTCATAGTCACCAACGTTAATTCAGCAGTCATTATCAAGCCCATCGCAGCTGTGCCGACGAACTCTTTAAGAGTTGGCTGAAAATTCCACCTACTTAGGTACATGTGTCGTGTTGGGGACCAACTTGCGAGGTCGAGGAGAAAGGCGTGCAGAAGGAATATCCGTCCTCGGCGTACAGTCGGCAAGCAAGTGCGGCACGCCGGCCGAGATGAGGTCCATTACGGCAGACGGTAGAACGGGTCACTGGTGCAAACTCCAAAGCCACCGGGCGAGAATCGAGCTGGGTCTGCAGCATGGACAACCCCCCGCGTCCATCCCACGATGCCTTCGACGGAATCCTCAAACACATCTTACGCCCCCGCCTGTTGCTTCGTTAACCGATACGGCGGCGCCTCGTCCGCTACACCTATCTCGAACCTATGCAAAATGCACAACAACCACCGTCATACTTCTTCGTGCCTCGCCCACGAATCCTCCTCCACGCGATTATCGAACGGCCTACTCGACTTGGTATGGATCTCCTTTCGCTGAATCTCGAGCACAGCCAGAAGCTCGACCATGATTGCTGTTGCCGTATGTGCGTCTGGTTTGTACGCGTTCCAAACTTTCCCACATCTTCTGCAATACGGGTTCCTCGTCTCGGCTCGACCCCATCGTTTTGCGTAACTCAGGCAAAATTTAAACCATCTAAATGCGGTGCACAACCGGCCCAGTCCAACCGTACATTTTTTGCCAACTACACACGGGAATCATTGCAGACAGTGTAGAAACTGAGCCATGCCGAGATGCGGAAGGCCTCAACTAAGAGACAAGTTTCCCGATCAAGGTGTTGACAATGACCTTGTAAGCTTGTCAGGTTACGGCTTTGACGACTTTAGAGACTATGTTCTGCTTAATGAAGCTCCTAACGGCGTTGGAGACATGGTATACGTACGCGCAACACCTCAGCTGATACAGAAAACTTAATGTTACATGCTGGTGATGCCCTCATTATTGCCCTCGCCCGAAGCGCTGATATCGCGGTTTCGTATTGGCAGGGACGGGCGCAAGGGATTCCTACTGTACAGCCATTTTGACGGGGCCTGGCAGAATCGACAGCCATAGTCACTGTGGCTTAGCGTCGAGGAATTTGCCAAAGCTTGGGAGGAAATAGCCGGTCCCAATGTGATAACGGCAAAATCTCAAGCTAAGAGGTGGCAAAACCTGTCAGCGCAATCCACAGTCATTTCTCAATGCAGGGTCCGTATAATTAACTAGCAACAGGTTTCAGTTTATAAATGCCTGCTGCCTGCTACCGGAAGAACTCATGAAATTCGGGCGGTCTTGGTCATCCAAATGTGGGATTTCACGCGATCTGTCCTCCTACGCATTCTCTCGTTAGATGCCCCCACTAACGTCAGCCACCTAGCTTACTGCATACCCCCCTTCCAGCACCCTTTTCCCACTAAAAGTCGGGTTTTTTATAAATCTATAACTAATTTATTAAAATAGGTAGAAAGACTAAAACTTTATAGCTAAAGAGCTAAGCTATAATAGATTTATAAAGTACTATAAGTTTTCTTTTTCTAATAATAAATAAGTTATACTACTTTTAGTTTTCTTATAGTAAAAATAAAATACTAAATAAATCGTTTAAAAAAATTTATATAGTACTATTTATCTTTATATAGCTTTTAGTACTTAAAAGTACTTTCTATTTACTATTTTATCTATTAAATAAAAAGATAATAGGATATTCTTAAAACACCTCTTTTTTTAATAAGGAGAAAAGTTTATTACTTAATAACTTAAAAGAAAAAGCTAGTTATAAGTCTTTAACTACTTTATTAGTAGTATATCCTATAAAAAAGCTTATTTACTACTTAGCCTACTTTATTAGATTTTTTTTAATATTAATTTAATACTTTTTAAAGTGTTAAGGCTTACTAAGTAAAGTAGTAGAAAGTACTAATAAAATACTTAAGTTAGCTTTAAGCTTTTATATAAGTATAATTAGATATAATATATATAAAAAGTAAATTTTAATACCGACTTAAGCTATTTTACTAATAGTATTCTAGGAGCTACTAGGCATAACTAACTATTTTTCTTATATTTATTATTTAGTGTTTTAAAGCTTGCGTTTTAGTGAGAAAGGGTGCTGGAAGGGGGGTATGCTGTAAGCTAGGTGGCTGACGTTATTGCTGATTGCCAACTCCGCCGGAGTGTTCCAAGTTCTTACGGTAATTAGTGTCTTATTGTAAGGGTAACTTTTGAGTTATCCGTTTCCAGCTAATTTTACAAGGAATCCTGATGGTCTGGACTCAGTGAGTACATATGTGGCCACCTCAGCCGACCCCCTGTTTCAGGGAGATCAAGCGCGCAATCCACACGGTAACTTCTTCGTGTAAGGTCCACATAAACTAGTAGCGCTTGTCCTAAACGTAAATATAACTACTTGACTGCCGCCGAACAGAACGGTTTCCACGTTGCTGGCTAATATTGCAGCAAGTATTCCTTGCCTAAATAATGGCGCGCGTCACTACTTTCTCCATCTTTCTCTTACTAGTCTCAGCCGTTGCCCCCATTACTTTCCTGGGATCAAAACCTCTAATCGGGTCGGCTGGTGTCAAACCAAGCAAAGACCCGTTCTATGAATTGCCACAGTGGCTTGATCGACATGAGCCCGGGACCGTTCTAAGGCACCGAAGAACCCCATCATCCATCAGTGCCTTTGGCATTCCTCACGAAAATCTACAGACCGCTCACCAGATTCTCTACCGAACCACTGATAATCGGGGCAAAGCGACCGCTACCGTCCTTACTGTGCTGATTCCCCATAATGCCGACTATACAAAGGTTCTGTCTTTCCAGGCAGCCGAGAACGCCGCGACAATCGATTGCGCACCCTCCTTCGGGTTCCAGGTCCAGTCGACTAAGGACCCGCTCCTAAATTCCAATACCACACAAGGGCAGCTGCTCTTTATCGGGGCTGCTCTTGCTCAAGGCTGGGTGGCTATATCGCCAGACTATCTAGGCCCAAAAGGTTCTTTCGGAGCTGTCAAACTAGGTGCTTACGCGACGCTCGACGGTATTCGCGCCGCTATCAATTCGGCATCTTTTACCGGCATCAGCAACAAGCCCAACATTGCTATGTGGGGATATTCAGCCGGTGGCTTTGTTACCTTTGGGGCAACCTTGATACGGTCTGCTTACGCCCCCGAGCTAGAAATAGATGGCGCAGCAGTGGGTGGTATAGGTAGTATGACTACCTTTAGGGACTTAGACGTGATTTCCACGCTTAACAAGCAACCAACAGCCTTTTTCATTGCACTCGCGGTCTTAGGTCTGGCATCACAGTATCCTAGCCTGGGGAGAGCGATTGACGAGCATCTCAAACCCCAAAATCGAGAAAAGTTTTACCAGCCTCTCCATCAGTGTTTAGAGGCAATCAAGGCGGATTTTAAGCTGCTCGACGTGCTGGATATGTTCGATGATCCAAATTTTCTCGCAAAGATCCCCTCTATACTCAGCGAAATTGCACGCGATAATACTTTTCCGGATGTTATTCCTGGAATTCCGCTCTTTTGGTACCAATACGCTTTAGACGACCTCATTCCTAGCGCACAAGCAGATGCTTTAGTAAGGGACTATTGTAGTAAAGGTGCAACTATTGAGTATCATGTACAAAATGGGCCAGGACTTGATCATACGCAATACGGTATTATTGGAGCACCTGAAGCTCTCGACTGGCTAAAATTGGTACTAGACGGGAAAAGCCCTAAGTCTGGCTGTATAAGGACTGCATCCTCCTCACAACAGCTCCGCCCTTCCTTTTTAAACATCTTTACTGCAAAAAATCGAAAGCGTATTCTAAACCATTTACTTATATTAACATAATATATTTAGTTTCTATAAAGGAGAAACGGAAAATAAATTTATAGTTAAGAAATAACTATATAACTATATAGTAAAGTCGGTCGTTATAAATTCCCCGCCGCCCCCTACCGCCTTCCGCTTTAGGTAAGCCCCTCCCCCTTTTAGCCCGTCGCTATATACGGGATTGCTATAAGAATACCTATACTCCCTCCCCCTTTAACTCGACTCTCCTTTTCTCTTCTCCTCTTTCTCTCCCCGCTATCCCTATCGGTCGGCTATGTCTAATATATAGCCCCCTCCTTTATCTAACCCTGCTCCGCTTATACGTTCCCCTCGACTCCTAATCTATACGTTAGCTAAGATCCCTATGTTCTTAGATTTCGTATATCCGCTTTATTAGCTATATCTTTTATCCCTTTAGTCCTTTATATTAATATAGGAAGGGTAAAGAAGGGTAGGAAAGGGGCTTCTTTTATTGCTTTAGACCTTAAATTAAAGGGCCCTTACTCGCTATTATAGCCTAGGTTTCGCCTAACCTATAACCTCTATACCCTAGTAATAGCTTAATATAATTATAGCTACCCTCTTAATCCTTAGATCCTATAGTTAATTAATAGCCTATATACCTATAAAGATCTATAGGCTTCTACTATAATATTATCTGCTATTTTAAGATCGGATAATATAGTAAAAGTCTACTATTTCTTTACTAGGTATACTATATATAAATATATATAGAGATTAAGCTAGCTAACCTTTTATTATCTTATTAGCTTTAATAAAAGTTCCTTAGTATACTTAAGATAACTACCGATAAAATACTAGCTGCTTTATCGTTAGCTATTAAAGCCTCCTTAATTAGTATTATAGTAATAGGCCTTATATCTATTCCTTAATATTATAATATATAGCTTAATACTATCTTTATTTTTATCTACCCTAGGTTTAGTCTTATAGCTATATAAAGGTAGGATAATCCTTCCTTAATCTTATAAGCTATACTAATTATATAACGTTTAGGTATATAGCTTTCTAAGCTATAGCTTATAGCTAAGCGCTTAATAAAGGTTTATTTTAAAGTTAACTTTAACGTTTATAAGTTACTTAGTCTCGTTAACTTCCTTAAATAAGCGGCTTATTTAAAGCGCTCTAAGATTAAGTACTTAGTCTCTTACTTTACTATAGCTTTATAATATATTATAATTATTATTAAGATTATACTAGTAACTTATTTAGAGGTATCTAGAACTTCGGTATTAAATAGGAGGGAAAAACTAAAGTACTTAAAGGAAAACCCTCCCCTCTTTTATAGCTAGTCCGCCCTTATACTAGGTCGCGGTTATAATATATAGGAATCTTACGCTAGCTATTATAGGTATCGTTTTAGTTAGTCGGAATCGTATTAGCTCTACTATAAAGTAACCTTAAAAAGTAACTCCTTTATATATATAAGGTATATAATATTAATCGGTAGTATAAGCGTTTTTAGTTAATAGTTAATTATATAATTATCCTTAACCTTATCTTATAATAATATCTTCCTAGGCTTTACCTTATTTTTCTACTATAAGGCTTAGCGGGCTATTTTTTTTATTAATACTAGCCTTTAGCTAGGCCGGTAGTTAGGTTATTATACCGGCTTTACGCTATACTTATTAAGTTACTAGTATCGGCCCTAGGTTTTTATTTTCCTAGTTAGGGGGCCTAGACTAGGGTTAAGGGGAGGCCTCTTACTCTTATAACGTTAGCTAATTTAGAAGATCTAAATTCCCCCTTCCTAATAGTTATAAGAAGAGGCCTTAGATAAGGAAACGAAAGAAGAAACTAACGTTAAAGTAGTTAAGGATAACGCTAACTTTAAAGAAAAGGAAGCTACTAGATTAAATAATCTAAACGAAGAAGGAGACTATAGGAAGGCGGTAGAGCTAGAATACGCCTACCTTCCTACGCCTCCTCTTATAAAATAAGAAGAAGATCTAGAAGTAGCTTTTTTAGTTAGTCTTCCCGTCTCGACCCTTAAGGGGGTAGGAAAGGCACCTATCTTAAAGGATTACCTAGCTGCCTTTTTATCCCTACTTCGAGAAGTAAAGGAAGGTATTATCGCAAAGCGTAGCCTAATTTCGTAGTTCTCGGAGATATCTCTTAGCACGAGGGACCTAAGAAGCTAAAAAACAGGTTTTAAAGAAGGAGCTAAAAAGAGGTGCAAAGAGGAGGGTAGGGGCATAAGGGGAAGTAGAAGTAGCGATAGCTTCTTATAAAGGTAGCGAGAGATAAGACGGATATACCGGTAACGGCTAAAAAGGAGGGGAAAAACCGGTAAAAAGCTCGGTAGTTAAAAGGATATTAGTAGCTTCTTTAAGCAGGATCTTCTTTATTAATTAAGATGCTAGACGGGTATAAAGAGGGGCGTTAGATAGAGGAAAGAAGGATAATTAAGGCAATATAATAATTACTCCCCTACCTTTATTGCTGCCCCTATAAGAATTAAATCTCTCTGCCCTACCTATCTAACCCCTTACTTTTAATTTTACCTTTATGTATTTTTATATACTTCTCGTATCTCTCTACGCGAGAGTTATAAGCCTAGGAGGAATAGAATTCTTATACCTTCCGGCTACTATAAAAGGTACCTTTCTTATATCCCTTATAGCTTCCTTTTACCCCTCTTATTAAAAAAGCCGATTTTTACCTAACTTTTCTACCCCCCCTCTTCTATAATAATAACGAAAACCGACTCCTCTACCGTCCCTACGGTCTATAGGATGATTCTTATAGAGCCCTAAGATTAGGATAAGTAGGTAAAGGAGCTACGGGCTCGTATAGATAGAACTATCTATAATTTAGTCTTCTCTAATAAGTAGGACCCTCTCGAGCCCCCTCTTCGTCCTAGAGCAATAGAATTTATAGAGGGAGCTTCCCTCTTCTCTAAGCTAACCTCCGTATAATAGAGAGCTTTTTCTACTGCCTTAGGTAACTACGAGAGTTACCGTAAGGAATACCTTTACGAGACGAAGCTACTAACTACTATACGCACGGCGATAACGGAATCCGTTAGTGCCGTAAAGCTAATTACTCTTTAAGAGGAAGAGACTCCTAAGCAGTAGCTTTTAAAGCTCGAGACCTCGATAGCTCCCTTAAGGAGCTATATAACTAACCGTATTAGGAAGACTTATACGGCCTACCTAGGAGCCTTTTCTACTAGGAACCTACTAGCTTCTTCGTAGCTAGCTAAGTAGGAAGAAATCCTTAAGGAAGCTAACTAATACTTCTTTATAAAAGCTCTTTCCGGCTAGTAGCTATAGGATATATCTCTACTAATAAAGCCTATTAGTAACGGTTACTTAACTATCTTTTAAGAGGCTAGCCGGGAACTAGACGAAGAGGCTACTAGAGTATAATAGTAAGCAGTCTTATTCCTTCGTAGCTAGCACTCGACCTAGACGGCTCGACCTACTGCCCCTATAGCTGCTGCAGCCCCTGCTACTATGGCTCCCGCTGCTGCTACTACGGCTGTTGCTCCTTTGGCTCCTCCTCCCTCGAGAGCCTTAACGCCGTCGTTAACTATAGCTACGGCCCCGGCCCCGGCTCCGTATCTTGCTCCGGGCCCGGCCCCGGTCCTATTAGTTAGACCGGCCCGACTAGTCCCCTAATAGACCTTTTAGTCCGTTAGTCGAAAAATTAAGGAACTAGTCGAAATCGAACCTCGTTAATATTAGTAATAAGGGGTAAAAAGGGAGGGTTTTTAAGTAGACCTTCTAGACCGGGACGAGGATTCCTCGAAGAAACGAACGAGGAGGAATCGACCTACCTACTAAGTATATAAAAAGCCCTATCGGCTAGAGGACTACTAGTAGGTCTTCGAGGAAAACCGACCTAAAGGAGTTAACCCTTTAAAGAGACTATAAGAAATAGTATAATAGTCTCTTAAGGAGGACCCCTTATTATAGAAGAAGATAGACGAGATTCGGGTTACTAAGAAATAATAACGAACGCCGCTGCCTTTATTCGAGCTATAAATTCGAGGAAAAATCGTTAGTATAGTAAATCCGGCCTTCGTCTTCCCTATAAATTAATAAGGCTAAAACTAGCTATTAGAGCCCTCTAATTATCCCCTACGAAAATTAGCTATCCTCGACTCCGGTGCTTCCCTCGATATCTATAATATACTCTTACGATTCCGGTCCTTTAAGAAGGCACGAAAGGAATATCTTATTACTAGGGAATTAACCGTATAGATAGAGGGATATAGAAGGGTAAATTTCACGATAAATTTACCTAATAGGTCTATACGAATTCTTCGACGAAAAAGGGTAGCTTTTTACCCTCGATTTTTAATAAGCCTAATTTCCTTCCGCCTTCTTTAAGAGGAAGGAATCTTCTAAGATACAACGTCTAAGCCTACGAGGCTAGTCTAGAAGAATTAGACTATTAGGCTTATCGAGGAGAAATTTAGTTAATTTATTCTCGAATTCTAACCTATTTATAGGAAGGAACTACTCGAGAAGTTAGCTTTCCCTACTAAGAGGAATAGGTCTACTATAAAGGACCCTCTTTTAGTAGCCTAAGAAGACGGCATTCTTTAGTACGCACGACTTAGTTACCTAGGCCCCCTAGCTTTATATAAGCTAGGCTAATAATAGGGCGTATAAATAAGGGGCCTAAAGACCGTCGAATATAAATACTATAGCTAAGGAAAGACTAGGAAACGAATTTCTAGACGGACCCTAATACGGCCGGACTAGCTATATAAGGAAATTTAGGTCGACTAGACTAACGTCTCTAGGGACTAGGAAAGCTTTATTAGGGTAATGTTTTTTATAGACGCTTTTTTAGGGATAGTTTTCCCCTATTTCTTACGGACCTACCTAAGTAAGTATAACTAGTCTACCCTCCGGGACTTCGTTAACTAGATAAAATCCTACTTTAGCTACGAGGTAAAGAAGATACGGTCTAATAGAGAGCTATTTATAAAGGATATCTTAAATTAGCTTCGAAAAAGGGGCATTTTACCCCTCCCGTTAGCACCGAATACCTAGGCCTAGAACGGAGGGGCAGAAAGATTAGGGGGTGCTATAATAGAAAGGGCCCGTACGAT